ACTGTCATGGCTGATTGTGAACTTTTCTCGTTTAGTTTGCGGTGAACCGATAGCGCAGGGTATGGAGTCTGGCTTAATTTTTTTTCTTCAAATTACCGCTTCGTCTCATGTTGGTGTAAATAACAGTCGCTCTGGTTTCGTACGATTAAATGATGTTGCTGATAATGTGCATTATGGATGGGAGCCTGCGAACACCGATAGCAATCCGTGGTTGAAGGTAGATTTCAAGGTAAAAACCACATATATGTATATTGCATGCTTTTTAATTGCAGATAGACTGTCAGCTGATCACTGTACAATAATAACCAGTCAGATGCCAGATCCTCGACAAAACTAAATTATCCTTCATTTCATATGACTCCAGCAGAATAGAAAATTTCAAGTGATTCTATTATTTTTAGGCGGAAAATTACAATTTAAATATTTCTCCTTTTATATTATTTGTTTGGAGGGGACAATCGGATTTTAGGCTCGTCGAATGACTCAGTGATGACGTCACCTCATGACGTCATGATCTCAGATCAGCTGGTGTGTCTGATTTCGAATTAAAAATTGCTTCCACATGCGTACGGCAAAGTTTTCGAGCATTCAATTGATTTGTGAAAAGTATCCACCCCGGCGCTCCTGTAAGAGACCGTTTTGGACAAAAATTCATCCAGTTTTACATGGTGCGAATACTTATTTGCCCATACGAGAATTGTTTACGTTTTTCATGCAGGTCAACACGACATTCAGCTCAATATCAATACAGGGGGGTGTTGGTGGATCAGGGAAGGGTTGGGTCACTCGTTTTGCACTATCCTACAGCTTCGATGACGTCATATATCTTATGTACCCCAAGGTAAGTGACCTCTTTTTGCTCTCATTTCAAATTTAAAGCCTCAAGGGGAGGTATATTGATTTCTATGATTTCAAAGCCATCTGCAAAACTTTTCCTTCGTGGAAGCGAGGGAAACGATCATTTTTCATACTGGTTCGTTGGGTGTCCATAGGCGACCCAGTTTGTTATGGCAAAATTGAGCCCTCTTCTTTAAATAAGTTGTTTATTTCACTGTCATGCCTACTGTCCTTTCCCATTGGCTGGCTTTCCTTGTCCACCTCGACTAAAAATAATCGCAACATTTCTGATCGCTCATACTCACCAGCTAAACTAACTTATACTTATTAATTTTTCATTCATAAAAGAATCTAACTGGGGCACACGACTTTGATGGCGTATGGAATAGGAAACTAGACCCGAATATTGTAGCCCGTTATGTACGTTTTCATCCTTTATCTTGGGATAATATTCCTCGCGTCAGATTGGAATATTTCGGATGTCAAGGAAGTAAGTGCATGCATGATAAATAACATGACGCTTATATGACGTAGCCAAAGCAACCACTATAGTGGCTTGGCAACGTCATAGCTAGCTAGAAAGATCATTGTATACAGAAAGAGAAAAACCACAAAGTTCGTTTGTCGATTTTTAAATAATTGTTCGCATTACGCGAGAAATAAAAATTTCACTTTTTTGCCTTGGAAATGCTTATTCTTAATCAGTCATATAAATGGCTTGATAGTTTATAACTGATGGTTGCAATATACAAGCACTTACTTTTAAGCAATCATTGAAAAGGTCAGCTTTGGAAAAGTGTAATCGCCCACCAATTAATTCTGCATGAGATAAGCAGAGTTTCAAAGCGGACCTCCGCAGAAAATCATGATGACGGGCAATGTAGACTAGTTACAAAAGACTCGTGTTTATCTCCTATAACCAGCTATCATCACACCATGTTCGTCCAATCCATGTCTCAACAACGGCGTTTGCGCAGTAACTTCGTCTGGTGGGTTTGTATGTCATTGCATTGGCGATTACTGGGGGAGACTTTGTGAAAAAACATGTAAGTTTGCTGTTCCTATCTTGTATGGTTTAAGGCCGGTTTTAATGTCATTGAACTATGATACGCACATGCTTTAAAGTTTAAACTTGCACCTACGCTTAAAACGTCTACTTTTACAATACGCTTTACGATCAGAAAACTAAAACAAATAAATTTAAAAACTAAACTTTGCAGTAATAATTTTTGTATGCTCTTAATTTTTAGCTGGAGTGGTTCAGTTCCATGCTACATATATGTTGTTATATATCTAGATGACTAGATCAATTACTCTGTAACGCTCGTCGTTCGTTGTTTTCGTGAACTCACAAGAATGATATGAACAATCATTATACGACTACAGTTTCAGGTTTCTGTCCAGTGCAGAGAGCACTTGGTATGGCATCGCGTGAAATACACGACTATCAAATTAAACAGCAATCCTCTCTAACGTCACAAAATTACGGAAAATTTGGAAGGCTCAACCACACTACTGCTTGGATTTCCAGTCCAGTATCTACCGATCATTATGTGGAGGTAATGCTTTAATGTATTGTCGAGTTCCAAAGTATATATATATATATATATATATATATATATATATATATATATATATATATATTATTTTTTTTTTTAGTTGTGCCAGTATATAACATGAGCAATAATCAAGTTTCCCTTCAGATTGCTATTGATTCTATATTTTTTACTGCATGACGTATATAGGTAAATCTCGGCCAGCTGGTTAACGTGACTGCAATTGAAACTCAGGGATATAAAGATCACGGGCAGTGGGTATCAAGGTACAAAATCAAATACACTGAAGAATGGGGTACAAACTACGTCTCTTACATCGAAAATGAAAATGAAGACAAGGTAAAGGCAATTGCACTGTGAATATCGCGGAGGTGTTAAAAGAAAAAACACTCCAAATGAATTTATATAATAAGGTTAACTCGGAATTGAAGCAATTCCATTGGTCGAGAGCCATGATCTATAAGAGTACAAACGCACGGAATGACCTCACAGATAATTTTAACGAATTTAATCAGATGTCATCTCTTGTTTATCAATTTGTCAGCCAATCATATTTTAGCACGTGTCGCCCTTGTTGCACAATGTTGCCTTTAAAAAATCCTTTTGGTTGCCGTTGCCGTTAAATTTTGCGCGTTCAAAAGTTTAGCTACTTACAGGGAAGATAAATTCTTAACGGGAAACTTTACAACATCAATATTCCTAATCGTTCCACTGATGAAGGACCAGATTAACTTAACGCTCCGCATATGAAAATCATCCGCGCAGTGTTTCCACAAATTGATGATTTAGGTTTCGATTTTGGAAGAATTTGAATTTGATGTATAAAGATTTGCAAACAGGCGGTCATCATCCTGTATTACTGTTTTGTAGTTTTTATTACACTTTTTCATATTTTCTTATTTAAAAAAGGTTTTTACTGGGAACTACGACGATAACTCGATAGTTCGAAACACCTTCAAACCATACATGACGGCCCGTTTTGTGAAAGTCTATTCGCTGGAATACGAGACTCAAAGGGCGATGCGATTGGAATTTTATGCATGCACAGACGGTCAGTATCTTAACGTTCATGCTATTGATGTGTTGATTGTGGATTTTATTTATGGCGCACATATTTCTCAGGAAATTTTGGGTCCTTTTGAAGAACTACCTTAACGTTTATTCACTATGAACTCGGAAACTGCACAAGCTTGTTAGTATTTCTTAGTTAGTCACATAGCTGATAATCTGTTTGTGTCGAAATTCTCCATTGGCATTGCGATCTAAATGCGTATATGATAATGATGTCGGTGTTAGTGCAGTGCAGTTGTGCTACGACATCACGCAGTTTTCATATGGACGTTAAAGGCCCGTTTACAAATATATACATATTACTTTATGAATTCGTTTATTTGTTCATTGCATTATAGCTTTGAGTGTGGACAAGATTCCAGTTAATTTTATTATATTTTTTTCGTTCCAGTTTGCAACCCTAATAATCCGTGTTTCAATGATGCCGACTGCAATGTAATAAATGCGGGGTTTTCTTGCACCTGTGGAGTTAATCGTACTGGAAATCTTTGTCAAAGTAGGTTCGCTATATTTGATCCCAATTTTATAGCGGCAATTATTGCATTTATTGCATTGCATACCGATATTTCATGGTTAAACTGAATATTTTGGTCAGATTTTTAACACTTAATCAGGAAAGTATAGTAACGTGGGGAATATGTTTTTATGAGCATAATTAGCTATATAGCGGCTCTTTAATATCTTATTTGGAAACGTGAGTGTAATTACCAAAGGGTTCAAATTTATGACCGGGTTCCATGGAAGAGTACTAAACCTGGGCTACTTCGGATTATTTTTCAGTTTAGGAAAAGAACAACACTAAGAACAAACTTTCCATTCCATATAGATTGCTCAGTTCCTGTTGCATTAGGAATGGAATCTGGCGGTATAAAAGAAGCACAGATTACATCCTCATCATATGACACAAATTACAATCCTGCATTTTCCAGATTAAATATCCCCAAGGGATGGACAACGGGTTGGGATGAAAGAAATTGTGTGAACTGTTGGTTGCAAGTTGATTTCAAGGTATAGCTTGCATTCAAACATTAATGGCTCCTCAGTGCAAATCAGAACTTGACATATATAGCGACACGACTCACTCGACTGTTAACAGAACTAGATGCACTAATAATTTAGTTTGACTGTACTTTTTTGTTACCTGCACTAATACTATGCGCAGTTAATTGGTTATTCGTTGTGTTACGGGAATTTCACGAATTCCTAACTGGGCATTTTCTTTCCAACCATCGTAAATCACAATACGATACTCTTTGTCCGTTCAAGCAAAAGCGCAACAGAATGCATTACTGTCGATAGAAATTTTCTTCTTTATAATTCCACATGCCCAGTATTTTTGCATGTCACCAACAGTTGGCGATGTATATTAATTACTGATTCAATGATTTTTCGCAAAATACAAAGCACTTTAAGTAGTCATTGTTTACCGCGACACTGTATAGCCAACGCCACTGGATATCGCCGACTATAGGTGTTGAGCTTCCACTTGATTGTGGAAAATTTATTTCCGCCGATTCTTTGAAACTAGATTTCGAAATGGACGCCCCGCCCAAAAGTTTCATTTATTTTACAAAGGTCATAACGACGGTGAGCTCAATAAAAACTCAAGGAAAGGATACAAATGATAAATATGTGTCGGAGTTCAAAATCAAGTTCAGTGACAATGATGATAATGACAATAGTTTTGAAACATACAAGACTTATGATGGTAAAAAGGTAAGACGAAGTCACGAAGTTAGCGATCTTGAAATTTAGTTCAAAGTTTGGTCTACCTATGTTGATATAAACAGAAACACGAACCATAGCGAGGCTGGTTGAACCTTCCAACGCTAAACGCTTTGAATGCTGGCGTTCTATGTAAAACGCAAAATCTGTGATTTGTCGCGTCGTAAACAGCGAGGGTGTATTCTGAAGTCTCCACGAGGAACTTTTGATATTTAATTTATTCATTATTATACCTAGGGAGTGCCTTAGGGGTGCCGTCGCGGTTGACGCCGTAGATCTTCGTGATCGTTGTAGGGTGTGTAATTCCAATCTCAAACGTTAATTAATTTTTCCGTTAGCCAGGCTGTTCGGTAAAAATGCATGCATATAAGAAACGGGTCAAACGGGTATTTTTATTTTTTAATTTGTTCTAGTTTTTTGCTGCCACAACAGTAACATCGGTGTTGAACACCTTTAATCCAAACATTATAACTCGCTATGTGAGATTTCATCCAAAGAAATGGCACGAGGCTCCCTATGTTCGAATGGAATACTATGGGTGTCATGGCGGTGAGTTCTATACCTTTGTTATTCATTTATGCTAAGGTTTTGCTAAATGAGATTTTGGCTCGTGAAGGAGTCAGAGTAAAATAATTCCTTTTTACTCCTGCATGGCTACAATACAAGATTTGAACACCATTTTCCCCCTTCATGGAGCAGTAAATTTGCTGGTTTTTATCACTAGGATAATATAGATAATATCCCTTCTTTTAGTGCACTATTGTCTTGTCAATCCATGTCAGAATAACGGTTCGTGCCTGGAGACGGCAAATGTAACAAATCGCTGCAAATGTGCGTTTGGTTTCAGCGGAGATTTTTGTGAAAGTAAGTAATCATTTCAATTAAAAAAATTCATAATAATTATGGCAAATCCGAACGGTAGCAGAGAGCTGAGTGACGCCCCATTTGCTCCATAGCACATTGGGGCAAATGAAATGAAAAGGGGCCCGCGGGCTAACAGCCCCTTTTCTTTGGCGACGCTACAAGCAATACACTCTGAAATGAGAGCAAGTTTTTTAACTTGATCTTACTAGAGCGGTTGTCTAAAATAACACCACTTTCCCATGATCGCGATTATAAAATCATACGTTAAACACAGCAATAACGCTTTAACCCGTGAAAACAAACGCGAGACTGAGTGACGAGTTAGAATGACACTATCATGAGAAGGGTTGACTCTTCGATCTTACCTTATTTTGTATTACTTGTACGCCCATTCATTGTCTAGATACCACCGTAGTTCTTCTATTAGCAAGAAAAATTTTATTTGTTTTAGTTGACGTGTGTGACGGTCATTCATGCGTGAATAATGCTTCGTGTGTGCGACTTGCATCGTCCTATAAGTGTGCCTGTTTAGACGGCTTCGTCGGTCAAAATTGTCAAAGCAAGTGTTGATATTCATTTAGTTCTTACAAAAATCACACAAATACTTTAATTATAAATTATTTGTCATTTTACTGTATTCAAGTCTCAGTGATGTTCATAGTGTCTTCATGATAGTTTTACCACAATCATGGTAGTTTACCACAATCATGGTAGTTTATCACAATCATGGTAGTTTATCACAATCATGGTAGTTTACCACAATCATGGTAGTTTACCACAATCATGGTAGTTTCACAATCATGGTAGTTTACCACAATCATGGTAGTTTACCACAATCATGGTAGTTTACCACAATCATGGTAGTTTATCACAATCATGGTAGTTTATCACAATCATGGTAGTTTACCACAATCATGGTAGTTTACCACAATCATGGTAGTTTATCACAATCATGGTAGTTTACCACAATCATGGTAGTTTACCACAATCATGGTAGTTTACCACAATCATGGTAGTTTATCACAATCATGGTAGTTTATCACAATCATGGTAGTTTATCACAATCATGGTAGTTTACCACAATCATGGTAGTTTATCACAATCATGGTAGTTTACCTCAATAATGGTAGTTTATCACAATCATGGTAGTTTACCACAATCATGGTAGTTTACCACAATCATGGTAGTTTACCACAATCATAGTAGTTTACCACAATCATGGTAGTTTACTTCAATAATGGTAGTTTACCACAATCATGGTAGTTTACCACAATCATGGTAGTTTACTTCAATCACGGTAGTTTACCACAATCATGGTAGTTTACCACAATCATGGTAGTTTATCACAATCATGGTAGTTTATCACAATCATGGTAGTTTACCACAATCATGGTAGTTTACCACAATCATGATAGTTTTACCACAATCATGGTAGTTTATCACAATCATGGTAGTTTATCACAATCATGATAGTTTTACCACAATCATGGTAGTTTATCACAATCATGGTAGTTTATCACAATCATGGTAGTTTACCTCAATAATGGTAGTTTACCACAATCATGGTAGTTTACTTCAATCATGGTAGTTTACCACAATCATGGTAGTTTACCACAATCATGGTAGTTTACCACAATCATGGTAGTTTACCAGAATCATCATTATTAATCTATCTACTTCAGCTGATCTCTGTGAACCAAGTCCGTGTCAAAACAATGGAACAGAACCTCACTGAGTGAGTGTTCGTGTCACAATGGATTCGCTGGTCGCCAATGTGAAAGTTAGTGCAAACATTATTCTTCGAAGATATGTACATCTAATTTCAATTCTAGTTTTTAGATCAATTAAAAGCAGTGTAACAGCTGCTTGAAATTGCAAAAACACTTCTCGGCGTTTCGACCTAAAGGCCTTCGTCAAGAGAGTTACTGACTGTAACGAAGGCTCTTCAAAACGTCGAGCAGACTGTGTTTTTGACTGTTTTAGGCATTTGTTACAGCACATGCATTTGATGAGAAAAGTTGCACCAGAACGGCACCATTTTGGCTTGCATATTTGCGTTTTGTTCACATGACAATAAAATTTATTTATCTGAAATTTCTTAGCACTTTTTCTAAATTTTCAGTAAAGCATTTGATAGAGAACTTCCAAGTGTACGCAATAACAAGTAAAGAATTCGGTAAAAGCATTCCAGTCATTTGGGCGATGACTTCTGGTCTGAACGTGAGTGTGAATGTAACCTATAACGGTATCCCATGTTGCAGCGCAGGACCACTCGCAAACGCCACCGGTGAATCTGAATGTGACTGTCTTATTACGGATCCCGACCTTTTTGATCCTGACAATATGGTGAACATCTCCGTGACAACCTGGAACCGATTTTCTGGTTCGTTAACAAAATCAGTTGATGTCGAGGTATTTCGCACTCCGTTTATCATTTATATACGTTGTGTAACAATTGATGATCGCGTGATTGCGTAACTAAAGCGTCATTGTTGTTGGCTATATTGGTACAATTGTTAAAAAATTATCTTCGTATTTCTTCATACGAGATATTTCTTTCGCCTTAAGAAATGGAAATAAGAGTGTTTGCATTGTATTGGTCTATTGGATACACCACTATGTAGAAACTTTAAATGACGATCAAATGAACGGCAACAACTTGATCGAAACTCCATTGTGATTGTAAACCATGCACAAAATCTCAAGTTCCGTTTGCACTACACTCTTTTTCTTGCATTTTTCCCCACGACATAAACTCTAATGCACAGGTATTGAAGAAAATCAAAGATGCTAATTTTACGATCCTGACAACGTACTCTCAATTTGGTTCTGGAGTCGAGGGAGCAGGACCGGAACGAAACAAATTCCCGGCAGAATATCCAGTGAGGTTTGCTAGTTCGTACTCTGGAGGGCCAGCGAAGACAGTAGAATGGTTGTTTTCTTGCTCCGAGGAAACAATTGAAACGGAGACCAAACAGGATTTTCAAAAAGAATTCTCATCCTCAATCGACCAGGAATGCTCTGTTAAAATGAAGCTGAAGAACAGTATCATTAACATAAGTAATTACACCCTTCATTTGTTTTTACCATCACCACACGACACCTTACATCGCCTTTTCAAAATCTTTCAGCTGTTCTTCGTGAATTCAAACTGTACGAAAGCGTCAAGTTCAGGGACATGTCGAACAATGGACCTCGTAAAATGAACCAAACTATGAGATTCACTATTGAATTGGAAAAACTCGGCACTCGGACATGTTTGTGGGTCGACCTTGGAGACAATAGTCCTCTACGGGTATTTGGTAGCAGCAATTCTTGCCCTGGGTCGATTGATGTCAACTCAATCAATCCGCATATCGTGGTACAACCGCGTACTCTATTTACTTCCAAGCAGTCATTCACTCAGAGCATCATCGTTGATCATGTCTATTTACAATCTGGTGCTTATAACGTCCGAATGCATGCGTCAAATGCTGTTTCTTCGGTCTCAAGGGAGACGACGGTTGCTGTGCTACCGTATGTGTGCAAAAACCCAAACGTTACCATCAAAGGTACGAAGCTCTATGGGTCCGTTTGTGATTTATTCCATCACCAAGTTCAAGCGTTTTAGCAACAAAATTGTTTTCACTCAATCGTACTCGTAGTCCTAATAATGTGGCTAAGTGATGCTAACACCTGCATCATCCCATTCATTTCAACTTATTCAAGTCGTTTTTCATTTCTTCTTAGGTTTGTCTCCGAATTCCTCTAATGCCTTGGATGCCCCTCAAGTATACCGTTCTGAAATTCTTAGCTTGGTCACGGAAAATGAAGTATTTTGTGAAGCCACAGATCAAACTAAGACAAGTTGGACACTTCTGAAATTCGAGGACGATCCACGCACAGCTCCGAGCGACGTTCTTGTAGCAGACATGAAGAAGACTCTGTTTCATACGGTGAACGATACCTCGGGACTTCAGCTTGCCCGGAGATTTTTACCTTACGGCTATTACGAGATTCGCGCCCGTGTAGAGATGAGAGGTGCTGCAGGCGTGTTTGGAATTGACTCGATCATTATTCAGGTTGTGCAAACCCCGTGGCTCGGGGCTGCTGTGAATGATGGGTCTTATCATACCGTGCCATTTGGATTTTTGGTAAGACCGGCAATAATCCGCCTGTCGATAAACAATATTACCGGCAACCTTTTCTTCGCTTTTCTTTTTCGTCGAATGTCATTCTTTTTGGACACTAAGAAGGTTCCTTTCCAATTTCAGGGACGTTTGAATAGTTCGGCGTCGGTAGATCCTGATTTTGACGGTACCGAAGGAATGAACTACGTTTGGTATTGTAAAGATATTGATGACGATGCTGAGTTCGACCAGGCAAATCTCACTCAAGAACCTGTCGTTTCTGATCGTGATGTTGTTGGCGCTGGTATGAATGCAGTAAGTCACATATGCAGTTGGTTAATTTAGAATAGGTTGATTGGCACAATGGAGACATTTATAGCCTACCACGGCAGATGATTCATTCTGGCGGTGATACCTGTCTAAGCAAAGCCTAGATAGAGTACGTTGCCAGCTGCGTTAGTTATTGTTACGTGTGCTGACAAGGAAATTCCAGGAATGTATGTTGCAAAGATACCCGTTTCAAGATATGGACAAAGCAAAATTAGCAAGTCGCCTAAAATAGCCCCCGTCTCACAATCTTCTTTTACAGTCTGGGTGTTTTGGCTCTGGTCGTGGGCGCATCGATACGTCAAATTCCACCCTCATCCTGGACACCAATATGATGATTGAAGACAAAGCGTGAGTTTCCACATGATTTTCATTTGGTTAACCGCTGGTTTTCAACTAGGAAGAATTTTTTTCATTTAGAAATTGACAATACATAAGAAAGGGCCTGTTTATTTACTATTTTTCCAGGTACGAAATTTTACTGGTAGTATCGAAAACACACCCAGAATTTGGTCAACGTAGGGCAGTGACTACCATTTACTTTCATGTCGCCTTGGGCGTCCCTCCCGAACTCTCTACAAAGTAAGTTCATCAAGCGTTTAACGTTTTCAATCTGTCGTCCCTCTATGACGTCTTGAAGCTTCTTATAAATTTCAATGCTAAAACGGTCTCACGTGTTTCCTTTTCGTTGCTACTTTCGTTGCAATAAGATGTTCAAGGAATTGCGAGTCAAAACTTCGTCCAGATGAGAAAACCATATTGTTGTCGAGATGCAGCAGGTTCTGCGCCGGAGAGTTGACATTTAGTTGGTCGTTGTATCTTTACGACAATATCAACCAGCGTGAACCGTTCAATCTCTCATCGTTGAACGAGGTACCCAAAGCTGACCTTCAAAATATGGCCATGAATCCAGTTGATGAGTTAGAAATTGGTATTAAGCCTGATTCGCTGCAAGTTGGTAAGAAGTACACAATTGCATTTCGAGCGACTCGTGTGAGCGGAGTTTATGGCGAATGCAGAACTACCGTGATTGTTAATACACCCCCGGCTGGCGGTAAGAAAATATTTTTTTAATTTTATTATAACATTACTATTAAACTGGAACTATGTAGAAAATGCAAGTTCGCATTGATAACCACATAGTTTTCACGTCAGCCTGTCTTTGTATAAATCAATTCTAAAGAATTTTAAATGCAAATTTGCATAGATTCGGTATGAAATTAGTTTTTTTCATTTTCTTCCTAAATTACAGGCAGATGCTTCGTGTTTCCATCATCTGGTGTCGCCTTATCCACCAACTTCACATTTAGATGCGAAAACTGGATGGATGCCGACCCGCCCCTGGTTTACGAGGTCTCCTACGGCCGTGACCAAACCAAAACAATAATATTTCACCGTTCGCACCCCTCCGGTGTCAATATCAGCGTCAATGATTGGCTGGCGGCAGGGGATAAGAACAACAACTATTCGTTAACTGTGGAATTCACAGTTAAAGACACAGTCGGGTCAAAAATTGTCCAGATTGTTGATATTCAGGTCAGTAGGAAAGGTCTTCCATAAGGTTGCAAAAATCTTTAATGAAATGGGTTACATACAGTAGCTTCTGCGCTTTGGTTCTACTCGTAGCAATAATAAATCTACTTAAATGTCATATCTCACCTGTTCTGTTTACTCTGCATTGGCTTCCAAATCAATTATCGTATTCAAGATTTTTTTAATTGCACATTCAAAGCGATTCATGGTATTGCTCCTGATTATAATCAGTTCGTCACATCATTAAGTGAAGGAGCTCTGTATATGTACACCCTACGAAATAATGAGATATAACTATTAGCACCATATCTGGTAACTCTGGATCAAGTGCAACATATTGGGTGACAGGGCGTTTGAGTTTGCTGCATTGCACCTTTGAAACTATGGAACTCCCTGACAGTAGAAACATTCAATAATAGTCATTTTAATTAAACACGTTCTTTTCAAACATGCTTTAAAAGTTTAGTTTCTAAAATCATCCACGTTTCATCTACATGAATATTTTATGGTATATTATAGTCGTTTTTAACTGTTATTATGTAATCCAACTTTGATTTTCATGCAATTAACGCAATAAATTAAAGGTTCTTCCCAACAATGCAGTGGACACAGAACAAATTTCTGGTCGTTTGGATGAATTTCTTGCAAGTGGTGATTCAGAAGGATTTCTAAGGATGGCGTCTAACATAGCCTCTACTTTCAATGATGACCCTGGCAGTGGAGGAGAAAATGGTACTGGATCGAGCCCGGAGAAGCAGGAACAAGAGAAAAAGGTAAACAATATGAAGGAATAGGATATATTAAAGATCGCAATGAACTCGTTAACGCTTTGGGAACCAAAAAAAAATTAATTTTCGTTATCTTTTTCTTTCAAACTGTACAAGCTAAATACGCCGGCAGAAACTGACACGTCGCTAATATGAAAAATTCTCTTCTTCATTTTCTTCAAAGCTGTTAGAGCATGTCCTTACATCCCTCTCTGGAATGAAACCAAAAGATGTGTCTGGGGTGATGCAGTTCAGCGGTTCTCTTGCTCAATTGGCAGCAAATCCAGATAAGCTGACTTCAAAAGCAAAGGTAAATACTGTACTCGTCATTTCTTCCTGTCAATCCATCAATCAATCAATTTGTCAGGCGGTATTTCTTTTAACATGTGCATAATATTTTGCGTTCTTTTTACTCAGGATGCAACATTTTCCATGACAGAGACATTGACCGATAGTTTGAAACATTTGTCCGACAATGACAAGGGATTTCAATATGTGAAATCAGGAGCAAACAACGTTTTAAACGTCCTCGGTGGAATGGTTTCTTCCGGTTCTAGTAATGCTTCAACATCAAACAACAACGAGACTGCGGTATGCCATCTTATACGCGATTACGCTAAGATCGAGACTTTATTTTTGCTCGTCAAGGAAAGAGCTCTAAGTGAAATTCATTTATAAAGCCAGTTTCATGTTTTTGACATCAGGATCTTGCTATAGTTAAGGCTCTTTCTCCACTCATCCCAAAATCAACTTGCAAGTTCGCTGCGAGTGTTTGCACTGTGATTGGACGAAATTACTCGCAGCGAGCTAGTCTCACGACCAATCCCATCGCCGCTCTAGTTCAGTTGAATCTGATTTATTTTTCGTAATACGTTTGCATTTAGTCCGCAGTCAATCGCACCATCAACGTCGTACGAAACCTGCAGTCAGTGGTGCTGGACAATTTGGTCACAAACGAAGGTCCAGACACTATTGAAACTGAAAAATTGTCACTGCAAGTGGAAAAGAAGACCGGCACAACGCTTGGAAACACCGGGAATGAACTGAAGGGAAGCCGTTTTAAATCTCCGTCTGGTTATGCTTTCGGAATAGGAGAAAGTACGTGACTATTAAATTTGCATTTTAAATTTGTATTTCTCTGAAATTCGTTCTGTATTAAAGCTTCAAAGTTCATTGATACTCCAACATCCAACAAAAGACACTTTCTTACATAAACGTCCTGCCCATTTTTTAGTACTTTCAAATCCAAACAAAACATTTCTTCAGAAGCAACCAGTGGATATCAAAGTAAGAAGAATATTTCTCCATCCTACAACGCTTACTTTAAAACCGATAGAGCTTCTAGACATAAGTGGACCTTAGTGGACTTGTGAAGACCTTAAAGAACATACAGTTCGTCTTAATCTCTTCCCTACATATTTTCACCTTAATTTTTTTTCTTAATTAGGTTGTTTCGTTCAAAACAAATCCTTTTAATTGGGATGACACAAGTTCAACAATTTCATCCAACGTAATCGACATTGTGGTTGAGTCGAATTTGAACATTTCATCTTCTAACATGAGTGAAGATGTTTCCGTGACTATCTATCGAGATCCGTCCCTGTTTTCTGAAGATTCCAGTTTTTTCATGAAGCCTCGTGCAATGAATTTGACGAAAAGTTCGAAGGAATATCTCAAATATCATTGCTTCACAAGGAAAAGCAATTACACGGCCATGAATTTTGAAATGAAGCCACATCATCTGGGGATACATTTAAACGTAAGAACAAATGTTTGGCATGCACGTTTCGACGCAACCCATTTAAAACTTTCACTGAAGCATTCTTGACCTTTTGTTGTATAGGTGTATTTAAAAAGAGGAGGTAAACCAAATGTGGAAAAAGAAGATTATGAATTCTCATATAAGTTACCAGACTTTAGTAGTTGCAACGCGGGAAATACCAGTGTCAATAAATCCAAGTTGGATGATTCAAACCCTGTTCATATCGACATAAACGACTGTTCAACACATCCGTACACAGTCTTTGTATCGAACTTGGATTTTAACGGAACAGGGGAATATTGTTTTGGTAAGGCGGATATTTGATAAATATCTTTTCCCCATTTTCCTTGGGATCTCAATCTGGTAATATATTAAATTTAATCAAATTCCACGGATGTAATAAGTCCTGGTTAAGAGTACAACTTGTCAGTTATTCAGTTGCTTTTAACTCAGGAAATGCGTGAACCAAATGTTCTTATACTGCACGTATTTTTTACCTTGCAGCCATTCAACATATCGAACAGTTCCACAATGAAACATATCCGGATCCTGACACGACGTTCAATTCCCGAAATCGACGTTCAGCACCGTGCGAAGTCGGCACAGGACGTGTTCGTCGTTCGTGTGTCCTCATTCGTCCCCCACCGCCAAAACCCACCGACGCCCCAAACGGAAAACTTATCATCCTCTCAGCGGAGAATCTCGGCTTTGATGGAGAATATTTTTTCCCGAATCAAACTCCAAACTACAACTTGACGATGTTTGAATCGAGCTGTATATTTTGGGATGTGTTGAACGAAACGTGGAGAGGAGAAGGATGTAGGGTGAGCTGTTAACTTTGATCATCATGCGAGTATAAGAAGCGAGCTTTTAGAGTAGAGAAGTCAGTGTTCTATTCATTTCAAACCGTTAAAAAGCATACTTTTATAATCTTCAGGTCGATAGAGCAACGAACAGAGAGCAGATTGTATGTTACTGCAACCATTTGACGTCGTTTGGGAGCGACCTTGTTGTTGCACCAAACCCAATTGATTTCGATTCAGCATTCAGCAATTTTGGCAGCCTTGCTGAGAACGTTGCTGTGCTGGTTTTAATATCAGTTATTATTGGCGGGTATATCATCGGAGTTATTTGGGCGAGACGAGCCGATAAGCGAGATAAACTGTTGGTAAGTGTTTGTCAATCTAACACAGGTTTATATGCTATGCAATACCATAGCTCAGTATAAAAACTAACGAAAAAAAACCTTCGTGAAGTATGCTCCGATGAGGAACTCTGGCACAGACATTCACGCAATAACATATAAATTTCTAAATACCATTAGGTTGGTCCTACAATCCTTAAACCAAAAGGAACATATCACTACATTATTACTACCGCGACTGGCAACCGACAGGGAGCAGGTACTACCGCAAAAGTTGTGTTCGCAATGTCAGGAGATGAAAGCGAAACGCTACCAGTTTGGTTACACGATCGTCAAAGACCGTGTTTTGAACGAGGACAAGTCAATACGTTTGTAATTTCCTATCCTCGCGGTGTTGGCGACCTAAACTACGTTCAAATTTGGCATGATAATTCAGGTACGAGATTCCGGCAAGACACAGATTTTTGAAAGGTGTTTTTGACTTTGTGTTTTTTCGTTTTAGGACCTTCACCATCTTGGTATCTTAGCAGATTCTCTATAAAGGATGTTCAAACGGGAAAAAGGTGGATTTTAAACTGCGAGAACTGGTTGGCAGTTGAATCAGACGATGGTAAAGTTTGCCGAGTTCTTTCAATCTCCAATGAACAGGAGTTGACAAACTTCAATCATGTATTCTCGAAAGAAGCCGTAAAAGGTTTAGCTGATGGCCACTTATGGTTCTCCATTGTCTCCAGGCCTCCAACTAGTAATTTCACGCGTGTCCAACGTCTCTCGTGCGCCTTATGTCTGCTGTGTTGTACGATGATTACAAGCGCAATGTTTTATAACATGGGAGGCCAGGGTCCGAGTCCATTTGCTGTTCACATCGGATCATTGGTTATCGACCTAAAACCGTTTGTGATTGGCTTACAGAGCAGTATCATTATCGTCCCAGTAAACATCCTGATCGTGCAAATTTTCCGCAATTTGAGACCGAAAGTGGAAAAAACGAAGAAAGAGGAGGTATCTAAAGAGGAAGTGGAAGCAGTTAAAGAGCCTCGAGGGACTATCCATGGTATTCGAGTGGAAAATCAGCAACCACCTCAAGGGAAACTTCCACATTGCTTCATCTACTTTGCGTATGCGCTTTGCTATCTCGCTTCAGGCGCTTCAATATTCTTCACCCTACTCTACAGTATTCAGTGGGGAAAAGAGACATCAACCGAATGGGTGATTGCCATGGCAACATCATTCTTCCAGTCAGTGTTACTGCTGCAGCCAATCAAAGTGGTGTTGGTTGCGATCATGATTGCGTTGTGCATCAAGAAAGCGAGCGATGGAGAGGATATTTGTAACGACGATCTCGCGGTTAAACAGCAAAGCACGAAGCATCAAACACATCGTGAAAACGCGATGGAACTCGAAAGAAGAATTCAGGCAATTAGCCAGCCTGCGAGAAACATCAGTAAAATTTATAGGTTAGTTTTATTTTCATATTAAAGAACAGAAGCATGGCTTGTATAAGTATTATAATGACAATCTGAGACGACAGCTTTGACACTCATTCTCTTCTCTTCAGACCTCCCAGTCCAGAAAAGCTGAAGAAAGCGAGAGAGAAACGAATAAAGGAGATCAAAACGAACGCAGCTTTGAAAGAAATCTTCGCATTTTTCGTCTTCCTCATTTTGCTCATGTATGTAGCGCAGTACCACAGGGATCCCAATACATACCTGTTGACAAAGACCTTGTACGAAACCTTTGAAGAACTTGATGCATTTGGCTTGGATTTATCTACGGTAATGTGGCAATATATAAACAAAGTTTGGGAGAGACTTAGAATTCCAAGGTTTAGAGGAACGAAGAACAAGTAGACAAAAAGGCAAATTAAGGTTCCAAACTGAATCTTTTTTCGACAAAGGAATTCTTTCGTGCAAACATTTATTTTCGTCTTTTGTTGAACCAATTTAATTGCATTAAAACACAAGGATGCAAACGCATGTATGGATTCGCAAAGCCTCGGCCTTGGGAAATTAAATATCATACGTTAATCTTCGTTGAGATCGGATTGAATGCATATTTTTACTTTCTTAGATCTCAGATGTGGATTCCCTGTGGATGTGGTCACGGGAGACACTCATTCCCGGACTGTATTCAACAGAGTGGTACAATGGCCAGAAGATTAAGGAAGGTTGGATTGCTAACAACGAGGATTATCTCGTGGGCGTCCCGAGAATACGATTACTTCGTGTAGAAGAAGGTATATTCTTTTGACATTTCTACAGTTTGCGAAACCCATAAGTTGAGAAACAAAAAAGGTTTTTTTAATTGAAAAAATGTAGAGTACATCTTTATTAAAGCAAGAATTATCAGCATGTTTATTTGACTTTCCAGATACATGCCCCATTTCCAGTTATTTTGAGGACATCATTCCACATTGTTACGATGGCTATTCCGTTGGTGATGAAGACGGTGTTACCTACGGAGTCGGGTGGAAACCTTTGCACCGTGGAAAAACCAGAAAGCGGCGAGATATGAGGGAACTCGAGACCGAAGAAGAGTGGATGGAACTGCTAGCGAAAAGTGGACGGAATGCGCCGGTCAGACACAAGAGAGCTCTTGATCCCATCATGGGAGGACTGAGTGGGAAGAAACGAAGAAAACAGAAGCGGTTATTGGCAAGCACAAAACCAAAAGTTTATGTCGTTAATGATAATGCGTTATTGCCAGATGGTACAGTTCTGTCCTGTCTCGAAAGATGGCGTCATCAGAGCATGGTGGAGCTACGAGGGTTCCCTTACTGGGGCACCCTGACCATGTACAGTGGTAGCGGTTACGTAGCAAACCTTGGTTATAATCCTATCACAGCCTACACTGTGGTCGCAGACTTGCATTCGAACAGTTGGATCGACATTCAGACCCGAGCTGTTTTGGTGGAATTCACCGTATACAACGCGAATACGAACCTCTTCGGGATCCTTACCTATTTCATAGAATACGGACCTTCATCAGCGGCTGTAATTAGATCCGACTATCAGGCAGCCCGTTTTTATCTTCATTTGAACGGCGGGCAAACACTAGCCCATGTCTTGGTCATATTCTTTATGCTCTACTTTCTTTACAGAGAAGGAAAGCTTGTCTATAAGCAACGATTGGCGTACTTCAAAGGTTTCTGGAATTGGGTCGAGGTAATTCTAATCGTCTCTGAATTTTCACTTATCGTTCTGTTCCTTGCACGTTTGTACGAAGTCGACCGAAACATTCATCAGCTCCGAGAGAATCCGAACGATTACGTTGGCTTCCAATACGCCGCGAATGCTGACGCGTTGATGACCTACGTGATTGGAATCCTAGTGTTTTTCTACATATTGCGTTTCCTACGGCTGCTACGATTCAACAAGAACTTCCTCGTGATTGGTAAGACATTGTCGAGAATAAGCTCTCCAATCCTGAGTTTCTGCCTACCATTTATCTCCGGATTCTTCGCATTTGCGATGCTGGCTTTCACGATGTTCGGCACTGAACTTGAAGACTACAGCTCCTTTGTAAGAACCTTAGTCACTCAATTCAGTATAACGTTAGGAGACTTCGATTTCCAGGCGATCTTTATGATCAATCCAACAATTGCAACACTCTACTTCTTCTCGTTTATTGGATTAAATGTGATGGTGTTAATGAACATGTTCATAGCCATCATCAACGATTCCTATGCCGAAATACAAGAGGAAACTAGCGAGATTGAAAACGAACTGGAGATAATCGAATACGTGACAACAAACGTCACTGGGATTTTCAACAGCAAATTTTCCCGTGGTAAGGTTGCTCCCGAAAAAAAGAAAAAAAAGAAGAGGAAGAAAAAGAAGAAATTAGCTCCCTTTGAAGAGTTCTCAAACGAGCTCGATGAACGCGGAAAGAAATTGGACATTCTTTTGTATATCTGTGAGAAGAGCATGGAAGAAGATGAGATCGAAGAAGATAAATTCTGTGCAGTACCAGAGGACAAGAGGCAAGATATGTTCTTCAGATTGCTGTGTTTCATGGAAAATATAGATGATGAAGAGGATGATTGTCTAAGTAATGACGAATATAGTGACGACTCGCGTGATTACGATGGTGAGAGGTGTAGTGGTGATGAATCCGGTGATTACGATGATGAGAGGTGTAGTGGTGACGAATCACGTGATTACGATGGTGAGAGGTGTAGTGGTGATGAATCACGTGATTACGATGGTGAGAGGTGTAGTGGTGATGAATCACGTGATTACAATGGTGAGAGGTATAGCGGCGATGAATAGATAGGTAAAGATAAGTAAAAATAATGACAGTCTGTACGCTATGTAGATGTAAATTTTTGTTCCAAGTTGGATTTTTTTCAGCTACAATCATGTGCAAAAATGTTTGAGACACGGTCATTAGACCTAGTATCTATCCTCCTCTCCCCCCCAAAACAATGTTGTTCCTTGATACCAAGCCATTTGGTTTGCCGAAAATATCACTCTCAACATTGTCAATGGGGGAAATAGTCAATAATTAAACGAAATACGTGACCAAATAGTTGTCAAAATGGAAAAATACATAAAGAGTCTCATTATTTTTCCACGCAGTTTTAAGATGCCTTGAAACAGAAGCCTTGAAACAGAAGCCTTGAACCCCAATCAGTTGAAATAATGGTCCGGTCTCAGCTCAGTCCATTAATTACCCCCTCGTTTCATTGTTTTATACGAGTGCTAACAACCACCATTTAACTGTGACGAGCTTCGAAAAGCCATCACTGGGACACCGGCCCGAAAGCATTTTAAACTCTGCTGCATTTTTTCTCTAATGCTTATTCACGTTACATATATATTAACATTTTTACTATCAATTTTTTTACTACAACCCCATGTACTAATAATATGGTTTTACTCAACGCAGTCCCAGTAAGTTTTAGCATGGAAATATATAGCGGAAATTAACCGAACTTACACACAATATATTTGTCTATTCATTCGGCTTAATAAACGACTAGTTTTACTCACACCATGCAGTCACTCACAGCAACGATTATTCATCAGTTGCCCCCGATCATTGACATTTCCTTCGATGTTGCCAGCCAGTTTGAACGAATCATTTGTAAATGTCGACTGATTCGTTTAAACATTCGCTTGCACGTATAAAAACACGAGGTAACTTACCTTAAAACAACACCAGTTCAGAAAAGCAACCATGTGTAAAAAAACCTGGCCATTTTATTTCCCCGAGTCTCACCACCAGATCTCTTAAATAGGAGTTTCACCTGCTGTATCGATTTCTACTGAAACGACAAGAAAGCCATGTTGGCGGCCCACAAAACATTTGATGCAAATTCGCCAACGAATAGTTAAAATCTCAGGGTATCAGTCAGGGTGGTGAGTTGTGTTGGCGGCCCTTTGTTCCCTTGTTTTAATTAACAAAACAGTGGTTTCATTAACCAATCCTGGAGTCCAAAAATCCTAAAACTATTCAATCATCTATTGCCGTTGGAATTTGAATACCATAGGCATTTATTAAAGCCACAACTCTATACTATCAATTCTTTTCCGTATTTTGAAAATACCTTAAATGTTAGACGTTCATGCAACGAATAAAACCGGCCTATCAAAAGTAAAAGCATATATATTGTTTGCAGCGACCCTTTGCGAAACCCACAACTGATGTTCAGGTTTCGTAAACACAATGGAATTAGCATAATTTTTTCTATATGCAAATAACGTTAGCTCATTGAGAGGAGATTGATATTTGATTTCCACCTTGTCGAAGTGCGTCCAGAAGGCCCAAAGACCATCAAAATCATCTGTTGCCAGAATTTGAATTCTCTATTAAGTCTATGTAGTCAGTGGCGTAGCCAGCCTGACGATTTTGTCTCGCCATGTAAATTTCGAATTATAACTATTCATTTCCTTAGAAATTTATTGTTTTCACAGTCAATGAACAACAAAATATTAGCATAGCGAGACAAATCGTCAGGCTGGCTACGTTACTGACTCTGGTTCACACATGACGACGGTGAGCCGCCGACTCAGCCGCTAACCTGTTTCGGTAGCAGACGCACTGGATAAAAACACCGCGATAGTTGCCATTGGAAACCTTTCTTCGTTCAAAACATACCTTTCTTTAGCATAAAAATTTAAAAATTTTGATCTCCCATTGCTTAGCAAGATATTTTTAAGCAAAGTTTCATGAGGGTAATAAAAGTTAATAGCGGTTCAGTAAACGAACAGAAAATGGTAGTACATGCATGCTTCTTCCTGGGTTTTGCTCACACCAACTAGTTGCCTCTCACCAACACAGCAAGATATATGTTGAAGACTAGTTTCCACTCAGGAAAATGCTCCTTTGGATCGGACAGGACAGGAAAATTTCCTGTGTATAAACGCCGCCTGAAAACTCATCGACAAAGGAAATTTCCTGTCCGTCCCGATCCAAACCAGATTTTTCTTGAGTGGAAACTAGCCTTTAGGCAAACAAGTTGTCGCTGCTTAAACATGCAGCAGGGAATGAAAAAAGTAGCAAACTGTCCAAAATGCCTTCACAATTTGTCAACAAGGTGGAAATCGGAATCGCGAACGTGACAAAAATGTGACAAGACAGGTTGGTTTAATTTTACTTGTGCATTACGTATGTGCATTGTGTTTTTAAGTTTTTGACTGGCGTATTGGGATGTCCTATACGCAGTGCATTCGCATCGTATGTTCAGACAGCTTCACACCTTGCTGTTCACTCGCCATATCAAGAACATGCTCTGTGCATCTTTCTTCAACTCTTGCTTGGATTTTACTTTCAGCCTTAAATCCGCGTGACCTTCACCGGCGCTGACCACCAAATAAGACAAACATTTACTCCGTGAAATCTCTGTTTTGCCAATCTGGCTGTCGGTTTGGCTATCGGTCTCGCTGCTAGCTTTCGTATCATTTCCATCAGATCCATTCTTAGGGTCGGGCAATACGGTAATGTAAGTCTCCTGTGACCTTTCGAGCGATTTCGACGGAGATGAACTTTTTGAAGATTCTTGACTGGAGGAATTTTTGTTTTTTCGAGAAGAAGTTCTTGTCTTCTTGGCTTTTTTGAGGGAGCGAGATTTTTGCTCTCCTGGCTCAGAGGCACCTAAGTCAGTGTGTCTGACATCCTCCGTGCTTTGTTTTGTTCCGGAAAGGTCCTTCTCTTCTTCTCGATGTGTATCTGTTGAACCTGCTTCTGATTTCTCGTACGCATTGATTTCTTCTTCTTTATCTCCGTTAGTCATCACTGTTGATATATTAACATATATCCTATTTTCTAAACTCGCAGTACTTCCACTAGATGAATTTGATTTTCCTGAATCGGAACGGTGTGTCAAGCCAGAACTGATATCTTGTGAGCATGAATCAACCGGCGCTGTATCATCAACATTTGCACCTTCGTCGTGCTCCTTAGATACCCCGGTTTTTTCCCCAACATCTCCAATATCCGGTGCGGCGTTTGTCTCCGGCATTTTGTCACCGTCTAACTTCGCCACTTCTCTGTCTCTATCCTCGGGATGGGTAGCGTCGAAAAGCTTATTTTTGTACGAACGGACAGTCGACGAACGATTTTGATTAAAACCGCCGAATGTCGCCATCATTCGGGCAAAATCGTCGGGTTTCGTAATGTTGAAGTCGTCTGAATCACCATTTTCTGATGCTGGTTCAGCGGCAACTTCTGATGAAACGCTTGCTTCTTCGGGCCCTTTGACTGACACTTTAAGTTTTTGAGAACCAAGTCTTGCATTAGGACGCGTTCCTTTCTTTTTCTTTGGCGAAGGGAACTTGTTATCATCAACAAAATAGAAATCCTCGTCGGACTCAACAGATTCTTCGCTATCTGCCAACATGGTGAATTTTCTGGGCAAAAAGAGAAAAAAAGCTAGATCTAATAATAGAAATCTTAGTGATAAAAGCCATACATTAAAACTTGCAGCTAAATACTTCGGAAATCCGGTGGAATTTAGAAGTTGGAGTCGTCATTCCACAGGGGTTTAAGAACGTCTTAATATGTTAAAATCAAGGCTAACGTTCCTCTGTTAACACTCCGTCCATTTGTGACCTGCTCACCTGTTGATTTCATTCGGATCTTCGTCTATGAAATGACAACAAAAGAAAATGAGTACTACAGTTCACATCAAAGTAACCAAGTAACCAAGCAACCAACTATACTGAGTCAACTAACCTCCCGTGTTTACGTCATCATTCGTGATGTCCACGCCAACTTCGCCTTGTGGGATAGCAAGCAGACTGCGGACCGGACCACAGTGGCCGTGAAATGCGACACACGCGCGACCAATCACACGCGGGACCCCTTGCAGTTTCGGAAGAGGGTAGAGCAGGATAAGACCGGCACTTGTTCCTACCCATAGGAACCCGGGAATGAAAAGTAAGGCAGTTACGCAGATCTTGTCCAGAGAAAGGTACTGAACCTGAGTATCCACGTCTGTAAATAAAGCGAATTTTTAAGGAATACAAAATCTTTTGCATGAAGGACTATGCCCCTTAATTGCCAGGCATCCAATGGAGAAGAAAATGAGGAGGCATATCGTTTGTGATGTCTCTCATTCCGAGTAGTTTGCCTTCCAAAATTCCTTCGCAAAAAAGAAACACTCACCGTTTTTCATCTTGACGACAGGAGTGACGATATTGACCTCTTGTATCATTTCATAAGTCTCAGCATGGTACAGTTTAATCGTCGCTTTCTTCCAAACACTCACCCACACACCAACACCGCAGTTTACCACATGTTTCACCAAGTTCTTCATATTGGAATCCACGGAAATGATACGCTGGATAATAATGATTATATCACAGCTATTTAAAGACCAGTTACACACACGAACACATTTTTGCTGCTAGCTGGGATGTTCTTCTTTCGATAGATGTGATTGAGTGAATAATTTATGAAGAAGAATAAGCCACGCAATGTATGCTCTCATGTATAAGTGCCTTTATCTAAGCATCTGTTATTTACTCATTCACATCCATCAAAAGAGCGGGAAAATCGCACTCAAAACTTGAATAGAAAAAATAAACATTAAACGGTTATAGTTTTAAAACAAACGGCGAATATATAAACTGTGTCCATACATAAAAAGAGCTCTCAGAAAGTTGATTTTTAATCCACGCCTCTATAAATTTCCCCGGACGAGCCCTTACCTGAATTCTATCACCTTTTTTACTGACAACATAGATCTGACTACCACTGCTGCACCACAACTTATCTTTGACGTCAGCAATCATTGCCACAGGATACCGACCAAGAGGAAGAATATCAGGTTGTACTAGATTCCAATGGTCACCTGTATCGGAATAACGCATTTCGAAAACATCTTTTATGAAAGCCACACAATATTCATTTGCACATCTTGTTACAGAATTTACTTACTCGTGTTGGACCGAAATATCGCCAGCGTGCCGTTTGCCAAACCAACATAAACTTTTTTCACTGCGTATCTTAAAAAATAGAATTAAAAGTGATTTTACTTACACATTCAACTCTGGCAAAGAGCAAAGTACAGATTAAAGCACATTTATTTTACTCATGTCGAAGATTAGTCTTGAAGATCTAAAAGGCACGCTTTAGAAAAACGAAGGCATGCAGTCTGTTTACATGATCCCGCTTACCGAAGATTCAACGATGCGTGAGAGGACTTTGAGGTATTGAAATAAGTGTTTATGACACCAAACAAGCTCATGCTATTGTCGGGATGATTACACGATTGCCAGGGTCATGTTATATGCTAATTTCAATACCTCAAATCATCAACACACGCTTCATTGTATCTCGACTAACCGAGATCATCCCAAAATTCTTTCACAAGCATCGTGCTCAGAATACAACCTAATGGGAGCTTTATGGTTTTGTGTCGAAAGCGCACCGACCCTACCCCACATCTCATGGGACGTTGATGCGTTTGGCGTCAATCATCGGGTGCCTAGAGTCTAGACGAGTCCAGACCCTAACCTCATTAATTTGTATGAGTCATCCAATGTGCCGTTACCCGTAAGCGTTTCTTACAAAAGTTTCGGTTAAACTTCCTGTCGGTCAGGGGCCAGTTGTTCAAAGCTAGGTTAGCGCTAACCCTGGGTTAAATTTTAATCCAGTGTTTTAGTTTATGTACTTCTGAACCACTGTTAGTTTTGAAACTTTAGAAAATATTACTGCTATCGGTCCAGAATATATTTATGAAAAAAGATATTCAAACTTTGTAAACAAGCGATTACAAATAATTAACGTAAAGATCTGCTTTAACTCGGGGTTAATAAGCCTTGTCGAGCAAATCTCTTGTCGAGCAAACATCTTGTCGGTCAAGCGTCTGTCGGTGAAACGACCTGTCGGCTGTCACGCACTATTCGAAAGTTTGTTCTAGAACTTTCGATGTTTAACTAAATTTAAATTTTAAATACAACTAAATATTTCATCCAGCGTAGCCGGACAGGTGCTGGACTATTTTAATTTAGCTATAGAATGACAGAAATATACGTTGAAAAGAGTATAGAAAGAATAAAAATCAATACGAATGTATATTAGTGTATCAATTTCCACTGGCTTCGAGTTTTGCAATTTTATAGAGTTGATAAATTCCCACTCCTAATTATATTTCGGGGATAAAAATTACCATAGCCCATAAACACTTAATTGACGAACTCATTAACTAACAGCTGCCTCAGAAACCTCCACTATAATTGGGCGAAGGTTTTGTCATATGAGTTTATAACTGTTTGCTATTCAGAGCTGAAACACTCCAGTGGCCCAGCGACGTTATAGCCTCATACTGCATGAGAATTCAGGTGAGCACTCAGGTCGATACTCATATAAGTTATCACGTCTTTAATTTAAGAGTAATTTGTATTATTGTTAGTCTAATACAAACTACACGCGACTTGTGTGTTTGAACAAATGCGTTCAAATTAATATTGCTATCTGTTATAATTTTTCGACTTCTGTTCAGGTGAAAGAATGACAGCCCAACGGAATGGCCTGTTTCTTTATTTCTTTTTGGCAACAATTTTTCCAAAATCACAATCCCAAATGATTGTAACCACAAATGAAAAACATTTTTGTTACAATGCTTCTTTGGAAAGTGAGTATACGTCACATTGGAAGAATTGAAGGCTAGCATGTAGTATAAATAATCGTCTCATAGATCTTTAACCATGTCTCTGCCTATATTTTTTACTAGCTTTCCGACTGAACGCAACAATTCTGCAAGTAAAGGATGTGGTATCCAAACAAGAGTGCTTAGACAAATGCTTGGACGAGCCTTGTTGCAGATCCATCAATTACGAACACAGCACCTCGCCCGCTAAACCCCAAAAATGCGAACTCTTGCATGAGCTGCTAAATGAAAACGCATGTTCCCTTTTGGTTAAAAATACTTCGTTCGATCATGCCTATATCATTGAACCTCGTAAGGTAAACACGAATTGTTAAACTTGTCACAAAAAGCGTACGTGCGTGCGTGGCGTAGGAACCGTTGTTAGTATAGTCCAAATTGCCATAACCAAGAACGCGTATCAATCAAGTGGCTCAGGAAAAGAGTTGAAATTACATTGTTTGCACTTTAATGTATCCGACAGTATATACCACATTAATAATAAGATGGCATTTTCAAAATGTCCGAATAGTTTGGCTTAATTTTTGGAAACTTATCATCCTCCTAACGGAATTAACTTAACCTATACAATTTTGTAGGCCTATGATGACAGATGTTTTCATAAGTGTGAGTAGTTAAACAGTGGCTTGAGGTTTTGTCTCATTTAATAATGTATTAAAAGAAAATAAAATATAGAAAGCCTTTTGTGATTTTTACACGTCTCATCATAAGGACGTGATATTGGCAAAGTACAGGGTGCCAAAGCGAACGAATTGTCAAGTTTATTAAACTACTGAGAATATAATAATCATATTATAGTAAATGATACTCTAAAGCGAATACATAATTATCTATGCAGGCTTCTTTTTTGGAGACACCCTGTAGACGGTTGCCAACAACAAGTCTTGCAACCCCCGGAGCAAAATATTCATGCGTCGAAAGAATACCTAACAAATTCTTCAGAAACATTTTTGGAGGCTATTTCTTGCCATTTTGGCGCTTAATTCGTCAGTCTTGGCTAAATAATTCCCCGTATTTCATGATCAGAATTAGACGAATTTAGTCTCAGGGAATTTCATTTAAGAACTCTTCTTCAGTTTCAGAGACACTCTTCCTTTCATGTGAAGACGTTTTAAAAAAAAACAGGTATTTATGGAAAGTTTTGACATTTGCTGGATCTAATATTCCAGCATCCCTAATGGATCTCCAACAGCGCAGAACCATGACCCAAGACAAAACGAATCAAACTAAATGTGATGCATAAACAAGGCATTGTTTTCACTGACTATATAACCTTATATAAGCATTATATATTTGTAAGGAAATGTAAAGTGATTTCTCTCCGTTTAGCTCAGCTTCTGATGGAATTTACACACTGCAGTCATACAAAACCAAGGAGAGGTATCAGGTGTTTTGTGTATTCAACGGTACTCTTTGCGGCAAAGGCGCTTGGACACTAGTTATGCTTATGAATGGAAACAAGGTGAGTTAAATATGGAGCGTGTGTAGGCTGATATTTTGGCTGAACCGACCTTTTGCATAATAGACCAACTTATGATCTAGGTAACAAGAGGGAAATAAATCACCACGTAGCTAAAACGAGCATACCGAAATAAGTATAATTGCCAAGTTTGGCTGCAAAATGTCAGGTTGTTTGGAAAAAATAGCCATGCGTTAATATTGTATACTTTTTACTACGTCTAAATATACGGCCGAAAGTGCATGTAAGTAATTTAGTTACATGCTTTCGGACAAAATGCATACAAAATTGCCAACTTCGCAAGGCTATATTTTCCGTACTTTACAATATTTTGCAGCCAAACTTGGCAATTGCTTTCGAAATACCCATTTTGTTGCCTAAATCATAAGGGATCTCTTCATTTTATAAAAATAACAATTTTTCTATTTTCCTCAACAAATTTGCAGGACACATTTCAATATAACTCATCGTATTGGACCAACAACAAAACACTGAATGTCGAGGGCCTGTCAGATAATCACCCTAGTGACATAAAACTAGCTTCGTATCATTACACACCCTTTAACAAGATTTGCTTTGGCATGAAAAAAGTTGCTGATGACACTAAAAACTTCATAGTACTCAATTATACCGCAAGCTCGCTGTACAGTGTGATCGCGGGAGGAAATCACAGTGCAACAAATGCTGGAAGGGCCGAATGGATGTCGCTTTTAAATAACCACGAAAATAACACTTCTGAAGTGAACAACGACAAGGAAGGTTTTAACATCAAAGTAGCAGGTCAACCACTGAAGATACGAATTGGTTGGGTCGGTTGTAATGCAGCTGCTTGTATGACGCCTAACCCGTACATTGGTTTTGGTGTCGAAAATCAGAAAGGTGGAAACATCGCTTCATCTCACGGTGAAAATATAATCATTGCTGGGTTTATTTTTGTTCAGTAACTGGCAATTGCGCACGCGTGAAGAAAAAGTGTGTAAATAATTCATTCATATTTTATTCATAGACATCTGCACAAGACCAACTTAAAATACTTGGTCTGAGTGATTCGTAATTAGCTGCAACCGGTCATGTAACCTTGCATCCTATATAACACCGGAACTTTCGAAGTCAAGTTAGGGGTTTGATATTAGATATATCATTTCTGTTTTAGACTCCTGTCACAAGTACTAACTGTGGGTTTTTTCTTACTAGTATTGTCAGTTGTTAATGTAAATATATCTATACGCGCGTATATGTGACAAATTCATTAAACTAAACTAAACTAAACTTAACCAATCCGAGAAACCAAGACAAGATATATAGTTATATACGTTTTTTAGTTATATATATATATATATAATACATGCAGTTTCACATGGAAACAAAGGCTGTTAAATGTGTTGAGACGAAAGAAAATAAATATTGAAGTCAATACATATTTAATAAGTGTTCTCATATGTGAGAGAATACTCTTTTCATCTAGCATTTTCTCGGCTTATATATTCTCAATTATTCAGTTTTGAACTGTTTCGAATTTCTCGCAAACGCAGTGAACTGACCAAAGCTATCTTTAAAGGCTATTTAAGAATCCAGTAATCCAGTAGTTCAGAGAAAATATTATTTAATTTGTGTTGTTACTTTGTAATATGGAATTTAATCGTGACAGGTGCGTCTCTTGACATAAGCATTAGCACAGCTGCCAACAAGCTGTTACAAGACAGTCAATTAAGAGGGTTTAAAATAAGTGCTTTTTGAAATAACTATTTACGATGGCAAAACCTAAAAGACTTACCTCATCGCAAGGGGCGCGTCTCTCAGTTTAAGTTCCATTAGCGGACGACTTCTGTCCTCTGATTCGGCATCGTAGATAAAAATTCTGTAAACAATTCACAAAAAAGAAACTTCGATTAGTTGCAAAACTAGTCCCTCGGAAGGGTCAGCGAAGGTAATATGAAATTTTGATATTTTAAACTCAAAATTAAACCCAACTTATTCTACTCAAACCAGGCCATTCCAGAGGCAGCAGCCGAATGAATTGATAGAAAATAATAGGTCATTGAGTGAGTATTGTAAACTTAAAGGCTGAGACATAATAACTTAGTTAACGCAACATTAGGGTCTTTTATCTGCCTCTTTCGGTCAGCTGATTCAGATAAACATCAGGGGCCGGTTGTATGAAAGCCGGATAGCGCTATCCACCGGATAGTGGTTTTTTCAATCGCTTCAAAATTGCTCGTTATTTGCCACAACTTTGATTAAATCTTAGTATTCTTAAATTGAGGATCCTCTTTAATAATTGTTGCTTCCAAACTGAAATTTTATCGCTTTTCGAGCATTTTTATAGAACAGTTGAAAAAATCACTATCCGGTGGATAGCGCTATCCGGCTTTGATACAACCGGCCCCAGCTTGGGTTGTTTTGCGGGAGTCGTAGATAGGTTGGGTGAGTCTTCTCCGACTGGTGACATGAGAACAAGAATCGGGCCAGAAACCCCTTAACCCCCGGGGTAATTACCCAGACTACCCCACCCATCAAACCTACTGATTCAAACTTTACTCCCTAATAGCCCCCTTCCCGCCCTCCCCAATGACAAAAAGAGAAATGCCCTGGGAACGAGGTTGAAAAGCATCCAGTTTAGCTATACAATCCGAGGAATCCAAACTTCTTGAAAATACTTTGTACATCTTTTGTCTTATCAGTCAATATACTGTTATAATGCATAATATATATCACGTACTTGCTTGAGTGACTGCCAAGCCAGACTGTTGGAAACGGAAATCCATATTTCGTTTGGTATTTATCGGCACTTTGATCAGGTCGGGAGTTCATGGCGGGGATATGAGCCATCGAGTACACTGTTCCGGGACACACGTTGAACGATTCCACGACACGCGGCGCGCACGCATTCCTCTCGAAACGCACCACGGACACGTTGCCTTGCATCTCGCCACGCGCGCTGATCCAAACGTGGTAGCCCAGGCCACGCGCTGCCATGACTGTCGAAATATTTGCCGCCTCAACTGGATAGCATATTGTATGTTCAACCTAAAACATGCAAGTTCAACCGCTGGAAGAAAGATTCACGGGCATGGGAGAAATAATAATGAAGTACTGCCAACCTCTGGGCAACCACTGACCAGTGCCGTGGTTAGTGACGTCGTACCCTGGCTATTTTTACGCGGTCTAACCCACTATAGCCTAAAGCAAATACAATCAAAAGCTCATACCCTAGATCTTGTATTGAAAATGAACAAGTCATAATACTCGGCCAACAGAGGCATATTACGCCGCAATATTGAAAGACCGCCAGTTATGTCTTCTTCAGGCAGATACCAGCCGGGATTGTTACGAGATTCTAGCAAAATACATTACAATGTTGACGAGTTGCCTAAGGCTGGTTGTACGAAACCCACTTAGCTCTTAACTGTAGATAAGCCAAAAATAACCGACTCACCTAAAGAGAGTTTGGTGTTCATTGCATCTGCCTGCCATTCCTCCTTTACCGTGGGAGAGGAGAGGTGAAACACATAATTATGTTGACCAGATCTGCAAAATTAAGGAATACTGAATGTAATCTTTTTATGGTGATTACTTTCATTATTTAGGAATATTATTAAACTCGCATCCAAGAAAAAAAGTTCCAGGGCTTGACCACTGCGGGTTCTTTGGTTGTTGTAAAATGTAAATAGGGGTAATCTGGAATTCATAGGGATCATGTTGCACTGAGAAAGAAAAATTTTCTTCAATTGTGAAAACGCCAAAAATTTTATTACATATTTTCAAGAATTACTAGGTCTGAATACGAGGCATGATGTTGCAGATTGTTTACAGTTTCCAACAGGCAAACAAAAAACCTCTTAACTAACATACTTTGTTGGTAGAGAGAGTTCCAACCAAAACATATTTATAGCTTTCAATTCTTCAGTGATGGTATTCTCAACAGATTTATACCATCGTTCCACTTTGTGTTGATCTAAAATCTGAGGTTGAAAATATGTTAAGTACACAGGAGACCGGACAGTTTAGAAATAAACCTTTTGGGGCCGAAAGGGAAATATTTCAACCAATGTGTTATGTTCAAATATTAATACGAATACATGAATTGTTTGGGGCATGACCGAAATATTTCCGCGGTTTTTGAATTCTGTACGCTTCTCCTTACCTGATGTCCCCCCCTGAGTGATGACGCTAGTCCGGCAATCTGACCAATCACAGCAAGGTCATGTTGAAGATCCTCAATGTGTTTCTGAATCTCGGCCGTGGCTTGACGATATTTGCCTAGAATCACAATAGCGCAGATAATAGAAAAACATCGCCCCTGAGAACAGTCTTCGGAAAGTGTTAACTTGAAAAATTAAAAAGTTAAAAAGTTAAAGTCGAAAAGTGTTTTTTCTATTTTAGGCAGTTGTTATACCACATTTGATGCCAAGTCGGGTGAACAGTGTTTTATAAACTGCCTCTAAGTCGATTATCAAAATTAATAGGCATGAAATTACAGATGGAGATCACAGCATTAAGATCACAATACCCTGTTCAGAATACGTGGTCGTTGTTCCATATTTTCCAGCGGCTACGCTTACGCCAGTCCCGTACTCAATAAATTCCACATCCGACAGTGGAACATTCCACTTCAACTTGAACTTGTGTTTAGGAAGGTTCAGAAGTCCTGGTACGATCCTTTTCTTTCTGAAAAACGCAAAAACGAAAAGTGCAATATGCAAAACCAGAATATCGCAATTATTAAAAAGGAAATATCACGACTGTACGAATCAGTTAAACAGTTTTCTTACTTGCCCACTGGTGATAAACACAACAACATGTCCGACAACAAGACCAATCGCAGTTTCTTTGTTCCGACCACGGAAACACCATCTAGTAACTAAATGCAAATAACTCATGCTGAAGTTGGTTCATAATCACGAAACGCCAGGATTTGGTAAACTGTGTACACTAGTATACTCTGTAGTACTCGTATTGATAGTCAGGGTGAAGAAAACGCGACTTACACAATGGATCATGTCATCTTGACGAATAAAAAGTCTCCCGGAGGAAGACAATGGCTAAAAACAACAGAAGATATTAATCGTAGTAAATCATACGATTCTTTACTGATTCTTCATTAACAAATTGTGAATATGACTGACAAAGGTTACCTTGTTCAGTTGGCTAATTTGTGTATCGAGGTATTTCAAATAGCTCTTCATCTCACTCTCCTTACGCCGCGAGTTAATCAGTTCTGCCATGCATTCCAACTGGGTGAGTGAAAGCTGAAGGGATACCCTGTCTGCGTGGCCAACCGGCGTAACTTCTAACAGATCCTAAAATATTATATTCCGTGAAGTGTTTTTTAGATTAGAGAACAAAATTCTACTAAAGATAGTGAGTTCGTGCAAGGACGAAATTAGGTACGAGTTTCTTCTTTTTTATTAGAATCATGAATTCTGAGTTAATACATATAGAAACAGACCATTCGTTACACACAATGTCTGTACACATGCAGCGATGTCGATGAAGCAGAATACTCAAAATTGTTACCTGAGTCAATATGATGAATTCCGGAAACCTTTCGAATGGCTTCAGTATGAGATGATGGAAGCTTGTTTCAGGCTCAATGTTATTAATCTTAGCCTGCAAATGAAAATAAAGAGAGTTAATGTAATAATTCGTCTAAAAGATTACACTAAATTATATAAATACGTCATATTCCTTTGATCCTTAGGTACTTGACGTAAAATTAGCTTAAAGCGTACCAAAGACCCGTTTAAGTCAAGAACATCAACAACATGCTGTATTGTCGTTTCAGATATTTCAAACATGATATGATTCATCATCACGGAGTACACACTACTACCACTACTGACCTGCATAAATTGTGAAAACACGGTGTTGCTTTTACACGCAGCTCTGAACGTGTCAATAGCGGTAAGAAAGTTGTTTACAAAGTCCGTGTAGGCCATTGTGGTTGTAGTCTTTGAAAACTAGAAGAGAAAATATACACCTCTGTTTAGGAACATGGTCGTGCGACTCTTCAGCTAGCTACTACCCCAAAATATACGTCAGACGAGTGAGAATTTGTGATTTAAGTTGGATTTTCACTGATCAACGAAATTGTATTGCCCTTTCATTCGTGTCCCCTGATAACACAATACTAGTTCCCTCACAGCTAGCCAGTGTACATGTACTAGAAGATGTCACTAGTTATGTGAGGTCTACCAAAGTCTCAAACGGTCACATACCGAAGCACAAATAATATCTCCTAACTTTCCTTCGATCGTCCACTCGTTCATCCGAGCAGCCAAGGCCACGCTGAACATCTCATGAGTTTGCAGGATTTTTTGAAGTGAACAAAAGATCAAATCGAGCTTGTCGGCTTCTAGCAGCTTACGCTCGCGGGATTCTTTCTCGATCTAAAAATCAGAATGGCGACAACGTGTAAAGAATGTTGATGAAACTTAAGGAAGAATATTTAAAACAGTGGAAGAATATACAACATTGCTTTGCAAACCTCCACAAGTTGGTTTAAATATCGCTTGTACGTCGCCTCCGTTTCCACAATCTTATTGACAATTTCGTAACGCGTTGCCTAAAGCGAGAAGAAAAAAATTTCATTTCGCGTGGGAAGCAAACTATAACAGTACAACAGTCTCATTTCCTTTCATACACAGATTCAGACTACCTCATCTCCTGATAAACCGAGAGACACTGGAGGCATCACTGGTTCTTTTTCTCCCAGTTTGTTTGGATCTACGTACACTGGCGATCCTTCATCATCTGGGCAGAAAAAAAAATTGCGTTCGACTTATTTGCTTCGAGATTTTAAGCTACACAACCAACATATCATCACAGTCGGAGTAGTCTTAAAGATTTACATCGCCCAGCTTTACACCCAGTAATATACCGAGTACCATGGACACACCGAATTGAAGATTGGTGATTCAATTCAGGGATATTGGGACTAGAGTTTATATGATAAAGAAAATCTTTCCTCCACAGGTAATTAATGATTGCTCATTTGTTAATGATTAATCGTTTCAGTGTCGATTTGTCACTCGTTCATTAATGATTACTCATTCGCTGTTAGTGCTAAAAAATTAAATTCATTTTAACAGTAAATTATACACACACTAACTACACTGTAGCACACGTGCAATAAACAATGAAGTGCATATACGAATTTAAAAACAAAAATGAACAATTCATATTTCATACAACCACACAGACAGTAAAAAAAGAAACCAACCATATTGGCCTACGATAAAAACAAAATCAGTCACATGCATAATCAATCATATCTTCTTCGTTAAAGCTTACTTAATAAGATATAAAATCGACTGTTACCAAATGACTTCTCCGGGAGCTGGGACTTGGGGGGCTTCGCAAAGGGCAGGCATCCGCTAAGCACTCGTTTGGGAGCATGCTCGTCTTCATCAAAAATAACATTAAACTGCATCTACAAAGAGAAATTAAACAATTCAGCTGGTAATGGCTGTTTTAGTCTTTTATGCTTGGGTCAAACGTCGTTCTTTTCATGTACCGAGCGACGTCTGACCTAGGCCTTTGATTCAGCAAGTTTTCTGATTGAAAGCCTAGTTCACCTAACCTGCAGTATACCCATAGGAACTACTTGAAGTTTGAACGCGAATTTTTCGGCAATTTTATGCTGCTGGCTAAGTTCACCAAACTAAACAATTAGACCAGGGCGAACGCCCCCTCACCCCGTCATCCAGCCCCCCCCACTGACGAATTTTTGCCCCTCCCCCAGTGATTCAAACTAATGAACTTACCGTTCTTGGTGTCGGGGAGACCAACTTTCTATTTTCTATATTTTCGTAAAGGGCATCCAGATTTTCACCAAAATAATTCGGCGCCTCGGCGTCGTCTTCGAAATCCGACTCAAGTGCATCAGAATCGCTGTCCCATTGCCTCGACGGTATCATGTAGCGACCTGAGGCAGGTATTACAGGTATCACTGGTATTACAGGTATTACCGGTATTACAGGTATACAGGCAAGTAAATTACTGAATTAGTAATCTACATTCAGGCTCCAGCTCTGATCCAGCCTAGTAAATTCCTTTGTAAAGTTTCATTGGGGGGATGCTGGGTTTATTGGGATACAGACTGTATGATACAGTATTTATTATCCTAATAAAAACGATACTCTTTTTGTACCACACTATGGCAGAATCCATGATGTATTAGTGCTTGAAAGTATCAGACTTATATTATATAAGTATAATGATAAAATTTCGAGGCCAACAAAGGCAACTCAATTAAGACGTTAACTTTTTTTGACCGACAAAACTTTTTATGAACAACTATAGCTACCTGACAAACGTGGCCATAATGAAGACTTACAATGATGAAAAACGGGGTTTTATATGTTTTAAACGAGGTATTGATAAATACAATCTATTAATTATAAACGCACCATCATTAATGATGACCTCGTTGGCATTGTAGATGGAACCTCGTTCTGAAGTAGAAATTATCTTCGTTCCAAGCGGTAAATTCGATGGTATTACCGTGTCAACATCGTCATAAACTGGGTCGTCATTGTTTTTTAAATAACTGTGAGTCTCGTCCTTACAATCTGCATGTTGCTCTGGTTTCTTGAAATCCCAAAGATCTTCGTATACAGAATAGACATCTTTGGTAGTAGCATTTCCTTTAACATATACCCACATTCACGTTCGTTTTAGCAATGAAAAGGGTAAAGACATTGATAGTCTGGGATATACAATAACGGATAGAATCAGTAAAATTGACCAAGTCAGATCATATCTGCTAGTTGCTCAATGAACATAAATCATACTAAGATTATTCTGATAATCTCTATAGATCGATGCGTGCGTTAAATATTGGACATCAGCGGTGAAAATGTGCAAGGATGTATTTTATATTTTGCTTGAGAAACCGTTGCCTAAGACCCGTTTCAAACGTCGTGGTTTTTGTGTGTCGAACGCATCAAAAACAATAAAACAATTTTCTATTGTTTTTGCGCTGCCTCATTATCTATTGTTATTAATGCGTTCGCTACACGAGAAGCAAGGAGACTCTCCATTACGTCCGCCTCGCCGCGCGGGCGAAAGCCCGTCACAGTCGCATATGGGCAGATTTTTAAAGGCCAAGAAAATGCACTGTTAAGAAATCACACGACTTCAACATACAGTGATTTAAATGACGCTCAATATCCAGCAAGAACATGATTGTAGCTATCATATATATGGATCACAAAACTGACAAAAGTGAAAAAAACAACCAAACCTGTTTTATTTCCTTGGCGGGATTTTCTTGCTATGCCAGGACTGCTTTTTCGGAGAATGTTCGGTTTTGGAACTAAATATCCTTGTGGATCTTCAGCTGGTTCTGGAGGAACTTTTGGTTCTTGAGAAACTTTTGGTTCAACTGGTTCATATATGCTATCTTCGAGAGATGTTGGTGGTGACATTGTTTCATACGACTCTGGTTCTGCTGTATCAGCAGTAGTTGTGACATGGTCAACTACATCAAGTTTTATGTCATCACCCATTCTGGAAATCAATATTGCACCAATATAATTATTCACCATTTATGCCACAAGCATACAATTCAAACAAATTTTAAATAGAGAAAACTTTGTAACACTTCTTGATCTTTTAAAAGAAAACAAAGCTTATATAAGATGAAACACTTGATAATAAACAAAGATATCTTATAAACTCAAGAGATAAGCTATAAATTAAAACAAGACACAATTATTTAATTAGTGATATTTTGACCCTTTGTAGAATTAGAACTGTCAAACAAGTTATTTCAAAATGGTTGTTCTAATTTATATGTGTCATATTTTAAATTTTATAATTAAATTACTTATTTATTCAGTAACATAAAAACTGGAGGCAGTAGCAGTAGCTATGCATTTTCACTTAAAGCATTGCATTCTCAAACCAAAGATGATGAATTCAATACACAGGACAGTCAAGCATTTTCTGCTTAATCACAGTATATCTGTATATGAATAGATCGACAACTTTATCATGTTTTCAAATATCACCATATTGATACACAGGACACAGCCATAATAATTTGACATTTGTACACCAAATATGTCTTTTGGGGAAGCAGTCAACCTTGATATTGGCCTGGAAACAGCTAAAAATAACAACGCCCCTACACTGAATTATCACATGATTTAAGATTTGTTTTCTAGACTAGTTGTTTAGTAAATACACTTTTCAACAAATGAGCAACCACTGGCCATAGACTGAAGTGGAATCATATCTACTCCCAATAATAAGTGTGTGATTTAAACTATTTTTAAATATTTTTACCAGTCCGCATTAATAAATCCAAAGGTCAACAACAATGTATTTTTCAATTCTAGTTAATATTTTACCTGGAACAGCAAACATACAGTATTTCACACAGTGGCAATGGTATAATTTAGTAATTGTTAAGTCTTCAATATTCATTATATAGGAGACAGTATGTGAGACAGTAACTGCCATGGTACGTGACAAAGAGATTAGACATTCGCTAGATATTATTACTAAGACATAGTTATCATACCTTCCAGTACAATTGACAGTTCAACTAGCTACGGTCCAGTGTTCATTAATTCCCGATTTTCAACTACATACTATTAGCATTCAAGTCTCATTCTTTTTCGATGACATTCCCCCGAAACTCAAGAACGATTGCTCATATCTTTTCAATGCAAGAAAGTACAGATTTGCGACTTCGCGTAAAATAGCAACACTGTAGAACAGGAAATTTGTTACTTTAGACGTTTGATCTTTTCCGGCGCTCTTCGCATAATTTATTCTAATTACAATAAGTTCCAATAATTAAGCATACTTCCTCGTTCCCAGAGTTTCTCGATTCTCTAAGATTTAACTTTACTTTTTACTCTATTGATTTGCTTACCAGTCATAAAAGTCTGTGTAAAAATCATATGATAAATCATGTTTCAAATATGTTTGCTATATTTTGGCTGTTTCATAGTATATGAGCAAACCAAAATCTTATCTAGACAATAGATTTTCAGTTAGATTCAAGATTGTGATTAGGGAGAGATGTCATGTTGCTCATATATCAATCGAGTGCTTGTAGTTTTTGTTTTTCTTTTCTTTTATACTAGATAGTGTGACCCACATATCTTTGGTTTGAGCAATGCTTCTTTTCAATGCGCTATAATCAAGTAAATCTGAATTCCACACTGCGGCACCTTTGAGGCCAATATCAACTGCATATGCAAGTTTAATGCCAAGACTTTGCGGATCATCATACCACATTTGATGTCTTTGGTTACTCATGTCGTAATAATCAAAATACGGACTTTGACTGCCTGCATCCCACTTTCTGCCACTTTCCGTGCGAGTGAGCAGTAAGTCGTTAATTGTTGAGTAAGCCACTTGTTTTCCAGCTGCATCGCTACAATTTGCACCTTGATAAGGGACCTTCTTTATGTGGCATGTGTCCACACCAGTGACAGCTATGCATTGGTAGTCATAACCATACCATGGTAAACCAAGAACCAGTTTATTAGCTGGGATTCCCAAATCCATGTATTTCGATACACCTTCATAAAGACATTAAGTAACTGAGCACACAATCAATGCACCTTGCAATAATACCTCATGCATACCTGATTTTGTTTTGTTAAATGGTGAATTTGCATAAGCTGTGCACTCTGGGCCAAATATTTGACTCATTTCATCATATGACATTATTGCAAGAAAATCTACTGATTTCGACAGAGTAGCAACATCATAGCATCTACCATCAATGCAGTCAGGTGACCATGCCACATCAAATGTTACCTGTTGATTTGACGAAATAGGTTAGACATGGTAAGCGATTGTGCAGCAAAGCCTCAAAATCATAGCAACTTGTGAACAATAGGATTATTTATTTGTGGTTTTAAATTTTACCTGTGAACCCGGTAGCTTGTCTTTGAAGGTTTTGTAAACATCAGCTGTAAGCTCATTCAGTAGGTTCACCTCCTTGCTACCTTTGCTGATTGGCCCTTCCAAATCAAGGTTCACTCCATCAGCATGCACAGCAATAGCTTTTGTAATCAGGCCATCCACCCATTCCTCACACTTGCTTGTATTTGATAGATCATTTACATTAAAGAAACCAACGAGAACAACCTTTACCCCCTGGGGAAAAAATCACATGATTGCATTAAACTGCAAGATTTCTGATTGCAACATGCTACAATGTTAAGGTGCCAGGAACAAAACTTTGTTGTGATTTAGATTATGATAAAAGAATTATATCTGCCTTGTCTAGCATATTACTCCTCCTTGAGGCAAACAATTTTGATAAATAAACATTTTTATAAAAATACCTGGCAAAGTATTATTGCATGTACGTAACGGGTTACAAAACAATAGGCTATTACAGTATATACATTTAAGAAGATTCTGGACCCTTGAGAGGTCTCGGAGAGACGGGAAAAAACTGCAATGCGGGCCTTAATTTAATACGGTGTTTAATACTTGCCCTCCTGTGGACAATTTATATTTTTAATACCGGACCATCAACTCAATGAATCTGGGCGATCGTGAATCGTTTAATTACTGTAGATATGATAGATATCCAAAAGATAACCTTAGAATGCGCAAAACACATCAATTCATCATTCCAATCACCAAACACAGCTACAGTGGTGACAACGGACCAGTTATAGTGTTGCCAAACTTTATCACTTGTACTCCACACCAACACTTCCTTGTCAACTTCCTTTGTGATTCTTTGGCATAACTTCTCGTCCGAACAAGGACATGGACTACTTCGAGCCGAATCCACATCCTGAAAAAGAAGAACACCAGATGCAAACAAAAAAACCCTGACAAAATTGGACATTATTTTCAAACGAAGTATTCTTTTTTATTCTATTTTGTTTTCTCCCCAAAAATAATATATTTTCTGATTTCCCCTTATAAGCAGGACCATTTGCGTATTTACAAACCCTACATGAAGTTTCCGCCTTCTTTCTTTTACGGCTAGAATCTGATTAACTGAATCCTAATTCTTTTGATCCTATAATCTAAAAGTTATAATCTTAAATTTAATCCGGTAACCATCGTAATTCTAATCCGCTGCTTGCCCCCGCGAGATTCTCGCGAGAATAAAATACGCGTGCGATCGCGTGCTATTTTTGTTCGACTGTTTCGATTGACCAATGATAGAGTTCGCAGAACAAAAAGAACATCTGTGAGCCAATCAGAGTACGTTCTTTCATTTGTGCGCTTTCTTTTACATGTACTCAAAGTGCGAAGAGCTCTGTTGTTTGTTGCTGTCACTTTGTGTTGAGTGGAAACAGTTTCTTCCCGTTTTTGTCAGACTTTTGTCCTAAATCTTTCAAAGAAGATGGCCGAGGAAGTATCTAAACTCGAACGCGACAACACAATGGTTGCAACAGCGAAGGTATCAGATCGATAGAAGCGTTTGCATCGATATCTTAACTTTTAAGCCTCTCATTTTGACGCTTCTTGCTCGACGGTCTTAATTACTTTCTTTAATAGGAAGGAGAAGCGTTTCTGGAGGCAAAAGGCGGCGTTGATGAAGACGCGAAAACCCGAGGGCAACAGAAGGAAATTGAAGATATTACATCGACGGAAGACCAGAGCGATTTGAAACGAACAACGACAATGGCCGAAACGGCGAAGGTTTGTACAGAATGTTGTTATTTTCCTGTATTTATATGGAAAGATTATAAAAGCAACTGCAAAGATCACGGAATTTCGAGCGGGATATCGTTGAACTCGCACTATCGGTCTTTTGTGGGTGAACTTTACATTGTTCTTTTCTTTGTCGATATGAATGTACGAGGTTCGATTTCTAAATATTTGTGGTAAAAAGTACAGTACATTCGCGTGACTTCGTGAGCAGTTGAGCACGAGGTCTTTCCATTCAAGTAATTTATACAATTCAAATTCGGACTAAACTACTCCGATCTCTCGTGTTGTGTAGGAAGGGAAAGACTTGTTGGACGGGGAAGAATTAGGGAAGACACGAGCACAAACGAAGGCTGATAAAAACGGCGACGCGCAACCTAACCAAAACGGAAAACACGATGAAACTAACGGGAAAGTTGCCGAAGCGGACTCTACCGAGAATGGCGCGGAGACGGTTGCACAAAAAGACGAAACAGCTGATGACGACGAAGAGAAAGCAGCAATGAAACGAACCCGTACTATGGAAGAAACTGTTAAGGTTTGTGAGCGAAACATTGTACTTTGTGTTGATTTGCAAACAGTTGAAACCTTTGTTCGTAACGAAGACTAACGAAGACTGTTCATTGCTAAACTTTGCGCAATTTTATTAAACTTTACAGCCGTTTGATGAAATGGTGCGTACCTTTATATGATAAAATATTCAACCATTAGAAACGTCAACTGAAGTGCCATTTTGTAAAAATCTTTTCGAGTAATTGGCTTTTTTGATCTTTTGACTCACTTCATATGTCTGAAAGCATTTTAAAGAAACCTCGCGCCTTATCTTAATGCTAGAAAATTTTCTCTAATATTTGCTTTTACCGCTTAATTTAATTGCAGTAAGATTGTGTTTACAATTTAAAAACAAGTGATTAAAATGTGTTATACTGCAGATTGTACCAATTGTACGACTTTTGGGAATGAATAGACTTGAAAGAGAACATGCGGTTTGAACATTTTTGCCGGGATTAAAGTGACATATGTTAATAATTTAATATATTGAAGATAATTTAGAGTTCGTTTACATTCCCAAAGTGTGGTTTAGGTGTATATAAGATGGTTATTTATACCAATAACGTGGTTTCAATTTCATAGGAAAGTTGTTATTCATATTGCAGCATTAAAGTAGCAGGGAGCTTGCCTTGTGGGCCATGTGTTTCATTGTTTGATAAATACAAGGTCAAAACCATGTGGGAAATCTAATTATAGTTCATTTCTCTCATTTCAGTGTGTAAGTGTGTGCTTGCCAGTTGTTGCCTGCCATTTTCTTTCAATGCTCAGACAAAGACACTGTTCATTTATTTGAATCATGGACTCCTTACTGTATCTTGAAAAATTGCTCAAACAAATATTTCCAGGAAATAAGAGTAAATGTGGAGAGCAGTAAATGCTTTTATCAAAGTATTGCTCATTAGTAATTTGGTACCTCATGCCCAACTGGATATCTTGAAATGCTAGAATCTCATTTCTAGGAAGACTCGTTCATCAGCAGTTTGATGTGTTAATATTTGTGCTTGTTCTATTTTAGGAAGGTGAGGAATACCTCAAGAAAAAGAAAGTGGAAAATGATACTGAACCTGCCGAAGAGGTCAAGGCCTGATGTAGTCTATTATACAGTGATGGCATTTTCCCATCAAAACTTTTAATAATTTTATGCCTATTGACCTTTTTACAATCATTCCTAATATGCTACAAGCTGTAGTTTCTGTTGTAGTCCGTTTCCTATTCAGTTTCTAAACTTCTTACCCATTTCAAGCATTGTATATACAGTATCTACATATATAAATAGAAGGTTTGTTCTCAAAGTAAAATGTCTGTGTGTGTCTGCTTATTATTATGATTACCAAGTATGGTTCAAACATTACAAACATTTATCATTATGCAAAAACAGTACACAGTATCAACATTTGAATTCATTTCACCTTTCCCAAACACTATTTACAATGCATACCATTCCCCCCTGGATTTTTCTCACTCTGCAATCAGATCATAAATATTTTTAGTAATATGTAATCTTCCAAAAATGTACTTGACAGAAACAATACTACCACTCACTACATGCATCTTTTATCGAATAACACTCGCCATGAGTGCCTATATGTTTAGAAAGCTCTCTAGAAGTATTAAATGTTTCACCACATTTGTGACACACATAGCCCACATCTGTGAGGCATTTTGCATCCAACTCCTGACAGGAATCACATCTGTACAAGGCACCATGGTCCATCGCATGATGCTTAATCAAACTTTTGAAATTGGAAAAACATTCCGCACATTTATTGCAATCATATTTATTGTAATGATAGTCCATAGACCTTTCTAGAATATTTTCCTGAAAGTCTTGTGAACAAAATACTTCATTTCCACAAGTTTTACACAATAGCATGCTATCTTGCATTGGGCGAGTCATTTTGTGCCCCTCAATACTTGCACTGTTATGAAATCCTGCCTCGTAAGTTCCAAGCTCATGCAAGTTCACAGAATCTGATGGGTGGATGGTTGACTTGTGCCTCTTCATGTGATGTTTCAGCAAAAAGCTCCTTTCACACACATCACATTTATAAGGCTTTCTTCCAGCATGTGTTTTTTTATGTTGGGCTAAATATCTTGATTTTGAGAATGTTTTGTCACAAATGTCACATTCATAATCTCTCAGGACACCATTATCACTGCCTTTCCTATTAGCGTTCGTTTTAAACTTTCCAGAATATAATTGTTTAAGTTTACCTATGGGACGAAGTCTATTCTTGTAGTTATCAGACTTGTGTGGGTTTTCCTGTGTGTACATTAATTTGTGTCTGTCTAAGACTCTAAGATGCTTGACTGTTGTGTTTTGTTATGCAAACTCAGGTGTAGCAAAGATGCAGATGTCTTTTTACAAACATCACATTTATAATAGAATCTCTTGCCACTTGCCAGCATATATAGTCTTTCGCATTAGCTTGAAAGCTAGAATTTAATCATATGTACTGTGCCTTGACTTGATTTGTTTACGATTTGCGATCCGTTTAATACAGGCTTATAAATTATGGAAATCATTCAAAATTTTATTGCTCAATATTTTATATTTACAACAATATGTCATCAAAAGCCTGACAAGTCATTTGTACAAACCTCTGCTATCATGATAAAAAACCACAGCAAACTTGAACTATAATTCACCGGTTCTATACTTGTATTTCGATGCTTGCATTGTACGTTTCGAGAATTTGATCACTCCACTGAATTTTTAGCTTTTTATCCATGAAATAAATAGAAATTTCCTTGTAAATTCTAGACTGCTATCATGTACAATTTTGTTGAAATGCACTTGGTTCAAAATACTTCAATTTCAGGGAATGTACACTCATCATCTTGTACACTCATCAAAATGTACACCCTAATCTACAAGTGAACCCCTATGATCCGAATGACCCCCAGCTGGAAATAGAAACATATTTTAAAAATTCTTCTGATCTCCTCACCCATACATTTTAAGGCAGCAAAATAGGAAGTGTGTTTTCAGGTTTTCTGGAAGAATAACCAGAGGAACTTAGGATAAAGGCAAACCTTCCCCTGGCCCATCAGATCACATACTTATGCATGAAATAATAGCCTGCATAATTGTATACATATTGTCTTATTAGAATTTACTGAATAGCTATGAATATTCCATTTACAACCCAGTCACATTGTGGGTTTCAGATAAGCATGAATACAATGAATATTGTGATATTTGTGTGATATTTGTGTTGCCTATTTGACAGTGGTACAGACTATGGATACATATTCTAGATGTCCCATTCACAGAGAGATTTGTCAATATTCCTGGCCTGGACCCAGAACAACAAAGCAGTGATGTACCCTGGTTTATGACTCTGTTTCATTTTTTGTCTCATCTGCAGGCATACTTGTGGACACCTTGTTGCAAAGAACAAATTCATACAGCTCATTTCCTATATGTGTTAGTTTATGTCTGGATAAGTTGCTTGATTGTGAAAACCTTTTGTTGCATACAAAGCATTCATAAGGCTTTTCTCCTGTGTGAGATCTCTGATGCTTTTTTAAATCATCTGATCTAATGAATCTTTTGCTACAAACATCGCATCCATAAGGCTTTTCTTTTGTGTGGGTTCTTTTATGTCTAGCCAAGTGATTCGACACTGTGAATCGTCGATTGCAAATGTCACAACCATACGGTTTGTCTATTTCTCCTCCACTCTCGGCCATACCAGTATGACAGTCTAAATAATTTTTACAGTAAAAAATTTATGTCAATACTGTATTATTTAACAGTTTTGCATAGAATATACAGGTTTGCAAGTCTAAAGAAATCAGTGCTTGGTATACTTGCAGTACGTCAACTCAAGCCCAGGCAATCGTATCAACAGGTAAGGGGTTGTCAGTCAAAAAGATTTTTCTAGTTTTAGCAGACCCCCAATTCATCCAACTTATTATTAAAAATGATCACATTTTTTAAATCATTAAAAAAACTGTCCCATAAATTATTGTATTCGCCACAAACACTCAGAGTCAGGGTTGAGCATTAAATGAAGCTCTTTTTATACCAGAATATAATAAAACACAAACTTACTTTTTTTTGAAAGATCGAAAAAGAACCCAAAATGAAATTATGAAAATATAGTTGTTATTTTTACTCCTGAGTTATTCGCATACATCGGAAAGCTTCGGAATGTTTCGTGAAATCTCGTAATCCGTTCGTCATTGTTCGTCGTACCCGGAAATAATTCATGTAAGCCGAATATAATTAATGTAAACATAAAATATTAATTATGGCGTCGCCCAAAGAATCGACAGGAGAAAAACCTAAAAGTATTCTAAAACATACCGCCTCATGCGACGATCAAAGGTAAGATTAATCACAACAGTATTAAAATAAGAAAGATTGATTTGTCATTTGTCCTGCTTGAGACTTCTATAGAAACACAAGGATTCTAAATATTAATAGCATCAGATATGCGCGTAAGTACCTTTAATAGCAGGTAATACAATTTATCCTGTGATAGATCTCTGTTTCCGCTCCCTTAGCCCAAAACCGTTGGCGGAATATTTCTTCTTTTTGAAAAATTATCACTCTGTGTTTTTTTTGCGTCTTGCTAAAAATTAGGAGTTTTCTCTTACTCAAAATCCTATTTGAATATTTAATATCATAACCCACTTTATCGCGATCTTGTATATTGGAAAATTTCATTCAAGTGATCTTTTTGTACAATTTTTTTGTATAAGCTGATGCTATTACAACAATGTTAAAATAGCGAACTTGAACATAAAATAACGGCAATTTTACCTAAATGCCTCCCAGAGATTACTCCACAAAGGTCATATCTTGTCATCTTGGTGTATTGCTCGCTATAATGGGCCATCAAGAGATCTGAGCGGCCGATGTTCGTTACCTCGTTATCAGCTGGCGGTTCTTTGTCGCTGGCAGTTGAATTTTTCAGCCATTAGATCTGAGTAAAATACAAAGTGGGTAATTTGTTGCATATATACTACATTCAAAGAAAAGCTGAAAAATATAGGCTAATTAGTTGTAAGACTTTATACATAGCTAAGAAATGCGATTACCGGTGCCTTTGTTATTTAGAGTTGAGGTTCATTGGGATGAGATGAACATACTTCAGACATATCATCCTGCTGGTAAAGACTATGGTCACATGAAGATCAATGAACCACCAACACCATACAACTACCAGAATGATGAATCTGACCCTGAGTGTGCTTGCCAACTTGATCCACAACAACTGGCTGAAAAGTAAAAATATATACACATATACTTACATATTGGAAAACTGAATACCCTATTTCTACCATTTGCTTTTCCTAAGGGTTGGCAGGGATCTAAGGTTCCGCCAATAACAAGTTAATAAGGCACGCCCGGAAAGAAAAGTGAGATGATCTGTTTGTACTTTAGAATAAAAAATGTCCCTGCAGAATGCAACAAAAGTCCAGAGCCAGAGGACCAAAGTAGCTCAGATGAAGAGATGTCACCTGAACAGCAAGGTACTTGTGCTTTATGGATATGGGCTAGGTTTCAGCATTGACACCAAATATTAAACCTAAAAATTAAAAAACCTCTGTGTTACAGTGGTTAAGAAGGCATTCCAAGACAAACGTAAACATCACTACAATGAATATGAGAATGTTAAACTTGCTCGTGAACTAATCAAAAAGGAATTAGAAGAGTTAGAAGATGATGAAAATGAACAGGTAGAAAAATAATGCAATCATTTAGTTGTAGTAAAACAACACATGCAGTGATACATTAATGAACACAGAATATTTTTATACTTTTTGTAATTAATTTCACTTGTATAACATTCGGTAAATGTACTTTCTTTTTCCAGGGTTCATGAAAGAAATAATGTAGCAATGGTACATATGATGATAGCATTGCTACCAGCAACTGAATGTCTATAAATACTAGGAAATTGTAAATTATGCAATAATAGAAATGTTTGAAGCAACAGAAACAGTATGGCTTACATCAGGATTTCCTCTTGTGAACCATCAGTATTTGCTTGTGAACAGATTATGATATTCTTGCTTGCATTGTTTGTTCCTTTGTGGCATTTCAGGTTAACTATGCCACTATTGATATGAATGAATCTGGACTGCATTTCAGTTTTTCAGAAGTGCTTTTCAAACGCACATGCATCCATCTTGCTTACTATAGACTGACTGAGTGTTTTGACTGGCCAAATTTATCCCAGAGTATTTGTTAAGAATAAAGTACCATAGTACTTGCCATCTAGACCAGGCAAATCCATATTCATAGATTTACTGGATGCATGTTCTAGGTTGTTCATATCTACTTTGGCACTTCAAGGTACACGAATTTAACATTAACCATATACGCACCTTGGTTTATGTGCTTATGACTAAAAAGGAATAGGTTAGTGATATGTTTGCTTGTACAGCTAATTTTAAAGATACCATTAGAGTGTAAATGTATAAACAATGGTCAGTGTGTCAAATATATAAAGCATATTATTGCAAGAGACGTGATCTGGTGTTTAATTTTATCCAACACTACAAACATTCCTCAGCACTGCAACTAATATACCGGCGTTGGTCTAGCACAAAAACCTTTTCTCTCAAAAGCAGTTTCTGTCTTAATAGGGTTCACAATGAACAGTCATAAATATAAAACTATTTACTGAGAAAATACAAAAATAATTGCATGTCATCATTTTATGCTCATAATCGCTATCAATAGCAAACTTCTATCTAATGCCTTGCTCCATGGTTACTGCGACACGCTAAACAATGGAGGGGACCTTGGCGTGGAACGCCGACCTAACAATGGCGACTGCCTTCGTCTCGATGGGCTTACGTCACTTCGGTTATATGGTGTTGCAGACGTGTCCAAAGCATTTCTGCTATCATTTGGGTAAGGGCTGTATCGTCCGTAAGGCGAGGTACCGGGTCTCTGGGACGGCCGCTGCCTGTCACGTGGCCGACATATCAATATCAGTAGCAAAAGAATTAATATAGTGAAGAGAATTACGAAAAGATTGCGGAAATTGAAAGTAGAGCTGTGCGTGTTAGGACAAGAAGGGCCAGGACATTGGTTACTGGTAGCGAACTGTGGCACAGGCGCGGTTTGCGCGGACAGATATGAAACGGTGATCGTATCAAGTTGTGTCGTCAAACGACTTTTCACCTCAATAATGACGTCATCAAAAGATGGGACATTCGAGTCAGCCAATGATATGTCAAATGTGAGTGTGTTAGGGACTTCATCTTTACGCCGGGTTACCAAAACTAACAACGACTGAGTGTTGGCCTTGAAAAGAATAAAAAAATGTACAATACGAACATGTAACAACAACAGGAAATGGGTCCCGAATTCGTCCGGTCCCATGTGAACGTAGTCTTATAAAGTAAATTGTAAACACTAACCTGTACGTTCAGCAACATTTCATCTGTGCCATGAATTTCCACAGACACGCTTTCTCCTGTACTGCTTAATTTGACCTCATGTTTGTCAAGAACAAAGGACGGTATGAACTCTACCTCGACCAATCCAGAACTGAACTCGGTGCCTTTGCTGGGATCTTGCAGTGTCACTGATAGGAGCAGATTGGCTTTAGTAACTGATAATAATCTTGCGTCGTCTGCATGAAGACTTCGTGGAAGAATAAAACAAGCACTCTTTCCATTCTCGTATCCAGGTGTGATACTGAACACTTTCTCCGTGGTCAAACCGTGAGCATTTTCGAGGGATAATGCGCAGGAAAACGGGAATTCAAGGTTTCCACTTGAGGGTCTGTCTTTGAGAATGGTTTCGGTACATCCAACCAGGGGAGTTGATCTTTGTTTACCGAAGTTTACGTAAATAATATAACTGCCATTAACATTCGTTCCGGGACAGTTCGAGACGATGGTTTTGTCTGGATTAACAACGTTCACGTCACTGACTGAACTAACTTTCGCTTCAATGTACGTTGGAAGTGAAAGTGAAGCATTATAATATACTAGCGTGTTGCCACTGCTTGTAGCTATAGCAACACCTGAGTGTTGATCAATGCTGATTATATTATCCTTGGAGGCCCACCATAATCCATTATCTGAAAGGAGTTTTAATTGCACCATGAGTTTAAAACATTCATCGTGATCATTCCTACATAAGTTTTGAGTGACAACGAGTACCACCACCCATACCTTCGTCTCCCATCACAGTTTCCTTAAAACAAATCATCTCCCCAAGGTAGTACGTTGTGCTGAATGGCAAAATGGCTTGAGTCGCTCTCAGGTGGACAAAATCAGCAATATGTGAAGACGACACGAGCCAAACCTGTGAAAATAAAGTGATACAGCTCGTCCGTCTCATCGTGATTTCACACATTAATATATTACAGAATTGTGAATGTATTAAAAAAAACTTACATTCAGGATCGCTTCACCGTTATTATGAGCCCTTACAGAATAGGTTCCATTATCAGGACCTTGCGTGATGTGTATGGAATCAAACCTTGTAAAAATGAGAACGATGTCATTGTCATGGTTGTCCAGGTTTGAAAGTCCTGTTTGCGACAAGAGCTTACCTGTTTAGTCTGTGTTTAAGTGGGACATTTCCAGAATCAAATTTTCGTCCAATGTTATCGTGAAGAAATACTGAAAATATAGCGCTCATCCCGACGGGAAAGGCATGCAATTTGTGGGACAGAGTGTGCACGGCAGACAGTGGTGATATGGAGATAGAAGAGACTGATTTTACCTGGGAAAAGCAATATAATCTTGCGTAAAAACCAAAAAACTTTACAGTGGCACTTTGGACATCAATACAGAAATGTTTGAATTAGTATAATGATATTAGATATACGAAGTGAAAACTTACCTCAACGTGGACAACTACAGTTTGATTGACACCAAAATCCTCCCGTGACGTGACAACTATACCGGCAGTCCCTGAGATCATGCCGGTCTCAAGGTGACCGCGGTTGTCAACGGTCAGCAGTGGTCGCGAGTCACTACGGGGAGACTGTGGACAGACATCCATGATACTGTAACTTAACCTCCCCATCTCTGAAAAAAGGTGTAACGTATATATCAAATTTTTAAAACGAAAACTCGTTTCAGCCAATCACGTTGCCCGTTTAGTTAGTCCAGCTTACCTATTGGTTCTTATCCTGACGCTCACGTCATGTGGCAGCAGTAACTGACCGTCAGAAGGATGGATCAGACGTAATTTCTCAAACACCTGGACATTTAATAAACAAAGGTTGACCATCATGGACTCTTGGACAGAAACCGTTTGTATAAGAAGTACAACTTATAGTATCATTGACAATCCAGTCACCTGAATTCTGACATCATCATAGAGATCAGCAAGGACTGATGCTTGTTCATAAGATGGATCAGTGAAAACCGCTTGAAGTTTGATAACAACTTCCCCAGGATGATTACAAGATAACACTACACGGAATGCTTTTTCCGAGTCGATAGTTATACCACTCTAGAATGAAAGGTATTAAAATATCTAGCCAGATACTTTTGAATGGTGTAGTTACATTATGTTATACAGGTGAATCAAGCAAAACAAACCTTCTCATAAACAGACTTGAGTTTGCAAACATCAATGTTACTCGATGTCCACTGAAACTCCAGACCAGGAATAGCGTTTGCAAAACTAAACGGTGTCTCATCGTTGAGTCCAACAGCTCGCAATCCGATCTGAAATGATGCAGTATTTTGAATTGTATATTGTCAAATTGGTGCTTCGATGGACAGAAACATATTACCATTTGCAAGCGACCGTTCGGCGCAAACGTTTTCACGCGTTTTCTTACGTTTCAAACGTGCACGTTAGGCGGACCAAACATACATGCTGAAACGTATAAACTAATTAGTTTAGACTGTGAGTTGACATTGTTTGACATGTCACGCCCACATGTCCAACAAACGTAAGGGCGTCATTCCAGCAAGATTTCAGACATAACATTCGTATTGAGGCGTTTGCGATTTTACAGAATCAAATGTCAGTACAAGTAAAAATTATATATGGTCGTGATTACGATCGTTGTAAAACGAGTTCAATCTCATCTAATAGTCTGAAAGATTTGGATTTAGCGATGCTGTCTGAAATTGTTTGGGACACGGTGGGCAGCTATTATCGAGATGGACGGGATCCAAAGTCCTTGAGAATCCAATATCGTGACGATGAGGGTACATTTGTTACCATTACTGGAGAAAATGATGTACAGGATGCTGTTCGTTCATGTAAGTCAGTGCTTCAGGGAGACTACGAAACGGTCCGATTGTGTTTGCGTGTTGATGACGCCTGGACGCCGTTGGGGATGAAAGAAACCAAACCACTGGAGAAACCTCAAGAGAAACGGCCTGCTGTATCTCGCGATGCAAGGAAAAGATTATTTGAGCACGACCAAAAAGAACAAACAATGTATTCTTCCGATTCTTCCGACGAAGCTCAGTCTGTTGTTGCTGAAACACCTTTTCAAAGGTATGTGAAAAAAGTTAAAGATCGCATAGCCGCAAAAAGGTCTGAACTTTACAAACTCGAGAGCAACGAACAGGAGGTGCAAAGGAAAATATTACGAGTTAAATCAAATCCAACCGAAGGTAACTTATGCCGAAATTGTCACATGCGTTTAGGGCATACTGCACGTCATTGTGACTATGAAAAATGCTTATCTATTTTTGCTTGTGGTGAAGAAAAATTGCACCCTGGTGAAATAGACTCTCGCGGGGCTCGTAATTCGATAAAAAAAGTCAAAGACGAAATTGCTAAACTCGAGAAAGACCTAAGTCTAAAGGAAGAACAAGCGAATAAACTGTCTGAAAGTTTGTCAAATAAAATTGAAAAGGCCCTTATGAAAGAGAGCGGAAACCAGTATATTGACGGGGGAATAAAGAAATGGGCACTTTTGCGTAAACACGTCTATATTCTCGAGAAACACTGTAAAGAACACTTCGAAGGCAGAATACCTGCAAAGCACAAACTTTCGGATATTTTAGAGGTCGCCTTAGAACGAGAAGATGTTTCAGGAGACGAGTACAATGCCAATTCAAGCATGTCGCAAGTCAAAACCAAAAGAACCAGGGCGCTGAAAAGAACAAATCCGGCCAAAGCTCTTTTGCAAGAAAAAGGGATTTCATTTCCTAATCCCAGCGACCAAGCTACGTCCAGCTCGCATTCAAGTTCTGTTCATCGTTGCGCGCCATCAAATGTTCAAGAAGAAGCAGAGCAGCTCAACATGGTATTGAAACAAAGCTTATTAGACTCTTCAGTTCAACAGGAGTCTTTAGTTCAGCAGGAGCAGCGATCTCTCTTTACAACTGTAGCAAATGCTTGTCCCGAACCCATTCCGACACCTTATCAATTAAACAACACTGCGCCAAGTTATACATTTCAAGATTTTCCAAATTATTCTTACGGGAATATGAACCCATATTTCTATCCATACACGCCAACAGTTCAACAGCCAGTGTTTCATCCATCTGATTCCTGTCGTGTAATTTATGCGAGCAGTGATCCTGCAATTTCATCTGGAAACACTGGTACTGCTGCAAGTTTATCCGAAACCACTGCTGCGCCCAACACTATTTCACGTCCTAGTGCATCAGAAGTTCTGACATCGACAGAGTCAGAGACCAGGGATGCAGCATTACATTTAATGTTTCTCTCGTCTGGAAATGACAAATGTCTCAAGTAAGAAAGCTTTTCAATCATGTATGTTGTGTTATATCATAGACACTGTTCTATCATAGTATTTAGTTTTAGAAGCAACTATAAGTAGAAGTTTTCATATTATTCTAACTAAATATACCGGGTAAATGTATTACTGAAGGCTAGATATAAACTTGAACAGATAGCTAACCAGTATAAAGTTTGTAAATTATTTTCATTTTGTTTTAATTTTGTTTACATTTCATGAGGGTCATCCAAGCCATCGGTTGATGAATTTATATTTCGATTTTCGTTTGTATTGCACTCATGCATTGATCCATTGATCAACAATATATATTTAGTTCGTATTATATTTTTGAGAGTGCTAGCTATAGATTTAGAATAGGCTAAATATCTTGATACTTTCATACTTTATAGATAATTGCTATACTTTTATTCTCGCATATTATTACTGTAATTGTCTTCAAAACTACCCGAGTTTGAGAGGTTTGATTTGCTTTGCAAGATCATTTTGTTTATAGCAACCTGTGACTGTGTACTCTTCAAGTTCGAACCATAAGTTTGAGAAAACGTTATTTTGTTATCAATTATATCATCATGTTTGTAATAAATATAACGACAATTATTGCTGACAGTCAGGTTTATTACTTAACTGTCAGTTGCGTGCCACGCGTGACCTTTATCCCGCGGCGGAAAACTGACATAGCCCTGTTTACACTACATTCAATTTATTGGCACGGCACGGCAAAAATTGGCACCCGTACCTTATTTTATTAGTTTTCAGACTACCAATACAAAGGTGGGGCATGGATGAAATAAGCACGAGTACCCATTTTAGCCATGCCGTGCCGATAAATTGATTATATGACACTGTTTTTCCCCGAAAACAGGGCCTTTTTAACTGGCGGGCGAAAGCTCCTTCCCCAACAAACCTCACTCCGCCGAGATGGTGCAACAGTAAGTATCGCCGAAAATGCAGGAAATCAAGTCGGAGACTAAAAAATACAGGAAATTATCTGCGGGTGTTCCCCCAGACCCCTACAAACTCCCCTATTTTTCAATTAACAATTTCAGTACAATTTATAGTTAATACAATTTGTTCATGCCCACCCACTAACGATTTCTTAAAAAAACCCTACCCCAAAATCCTCAAATACCATTTTAAATGCAGTTATCAAAGTTTTGTGAGGTCAAATGTAATATTTACAATTAACACAATGTCAAACTTTACAGATATATTCAACTTTACCAAAGCAATGATATTGCTGAATCATTCTGTTATATCAATGTACGAAAATACGAAACTTAAATGTTACAAGTATTTTGTGTGAAATGTTTCAATGTATTACTGTTTGTAAGCATCACCCAACGAAAGGAAAAAGATAAGCTGTATGACGATAAAACCTCCTCGTATCCAACGCTGATATTCTTTCGACCGCTTCTGCAACAGCTAATTTTAGATTACGATGAACGTCGGCTGAAAACCGTCCGTTAAGTTCTGTTTTATTTTATTGAAACAAAGCTCAATAGGGTTAAGATCGGGAGAATATGTTGGGGTGAACAATAGCTCGATACCCATCTCAGCTAAAACTTCTTCGAGAATTTGGCCGCCTTCGTAGTGGTGGACAGCTAAATTGTCCATCACAACGATATCCCCTACTTCGAGAGCAGGACGTCGAGTTATCTCATGTGCTGCTTGAGAAGCCTCCCAGAAGAAATCCCAGAACCTTACAGTGTCAGTTGGGCCATCCAGAATGTTGTAATATTCAGGGCCATTGACTGAAATCAGTAAATTTAAAGTAAAATTTGGAGATTCTGTTTTTCGAACAATTTCCACGCAGCGTTCCCCGGACGGCGCATTTCCGTATAAACGTGTACCGATGCACGGCGTCTTAACCCCCGCCTCATCAAAGAACTTAATCCTTCTCGGATCTTTTGAAGATAGGTAGTTGATGAAAAGCTGAGTATAAATCATATTTTCATCAGTAAAGCGCTCAAAGGCTACGCTGGTAATACGCTTCCGAGTATATCGTTTTCCGGACAGAAGTCTGGATTTTATTGCTCGTGAAATCGATGACAACGAAACTTCACCACAATCACCAAATTCCTCAAGTATAGCATATAATTCATTCAGCTGAATTGTGCCATGAGCTCGCTTAAGAACCTCAAGAAGTTCGAGATCCCCTTCAGAAAATTTGCTTGAATGATCTCCGCCTTTTGGTGATGGATCAACCTTTCGTCCTTGGTAGCAAAAATTCTTCCATATTTTGGAAACTGTATTTGCAGAGATACTGAATCGACTAGCTATTTCTACGTAAGTGACGGGCAAGTAACCAACAGTTGCATCTCCACCAGACTTAAGGCATTCATCAATAATTAGACGCCTTAAATCACTATCAAGTGATTTACCAAGGCTGTATGATCTACCAAATTTATTGACATGCATAATGTAAAAGCTACAGAAGATTATGTGTGGAAATATAGAACTAACACATGCAAGTATATTTAGAAATGTGCGCGCTTACGTTTGTTGGACATGTGGGCGTGACATGTCAAACAATGTCAACTCACAGTCTAAACTAATTAGTTTATACGTTTCAGCATGTATGTTTGGTTTGCCTAACGTGCACGTTTGAAACGTAAGAAAACGCGTGAAAACGTTTGCGCCGAACGGTCGCTTGCAAATGGTAATAAAACAAAACGAAAGACAATTCTCTGTGCTATCACTGCCTCATCCATAAAGACATAACTTTGTATTGAAGACATCTCTTGTTGTTTGGACTATTCAAACTATTTACCTCAGTCTCCGTAACAAGATTGGTTGAAGGAGTAAAGATTTTCACTCCGCTTAGACGCAATACTTCGACGATCACTTGGTCCTTGAGTAAAAACGAGTGGGATAATGTCTTACTATAATTGTTTCTGCCATTTAGGGTTTAAATATTGAAGGCAAGCTAACCTTAGAAAACACGATGGTGTGACCCGATTGCGGGTCTGTGGCTTCGACAGCTCCTGTGACTGTCGACTTCCCCGGAACGCGAGCGGTGATCAGGCCAACGCTATCCACTGAAGCGACTGTTCTGTTCTTGATAGAGAATAACGTTGTGACTTGAGGATACGGGCCTCCTGTGGCCTTGAGTTGAAATGTCGCGCCGGGAATGAGTACAATGTACCTGGGATCCAGTCGTAAAGGCGGGAATACCTGTGGAATTATTAACGGTAAAATTTATGTTTAGCGCTACAACAAATGTTTGTTCTGGCATCTGAAAAGGGGAAGAGGATTATTTAGATTATTCAAAGGATTATTCAGATTCAGAATTAATTAGGATTAGTGTTAGGTTTAGCATTGTGCAATACATTGTATTCTTGATCACCTGAATATGTTTTGGTTCGCTAGTGATCTGTGGTTTGTTTGTGGGATGAGCACTGTACGTCAGTATTGTGTTGCCAATAGCAACGCCGCGTAAGTTATAGAAAGCCTTATCCAGCCCTTTCCTTGCGCTCGGCCTGGTAAAATAGGTGAAAATATAGGGCACAGTAAGTTTTGCACATTTTTACATTGGAAAGTGTTCGTACAACAGGGAAAAAAATTGTTGAACATAAACGTGTGCATGGTAAGTTTGATGATAAAATTTTGTGTATTTGAAATACCCCAGGATATACAGACTCACTTTATGTTAAGTAAATCGCGAGACAGCCTGGGTGTGAGATTCAGCAGGTCCAGTTGACTGACCAATAGAGGATTGTCTAGTTCATCCAATACCATCACAGTACAATTGATCACATGACCAAGTTCAACCTATAAGAGTCAAGTATACAAGTTGCCTTATGCAAAGTATAACCGGTGGGCTTCAATCGAAATAACCACACAAGGAGGTCTGTTCGAATTGTCCAGACAAACTACAGGCTGCCAATAATTCAAGAGAAAAACACGAATCATAGCATCGCACCTTATCGACTACAGTCACATGAATACTGTCTATGTCTGAAATTCTGATGTTAGCCGTAGCGGGGTTGGGAGAATCTAGACATTGATCATACACGGTCACAGTGAGAACTCCGGTCATCTTCGGTGTCACCTTAAAAACGGGAAAATAGTCAAATATGTGTTTCGCAATAATGCGCCAAATACTTGCGGTTTTCAGTACGACCAAACATTGAACTGAACTCACTTTGACAATGGATTTCTTGGCTGTAACACTGGCAATATCATCGTCACTTCCTTTTACGAGAAATCGTCCAGATCCTCCATATATAGTGAGATCAACCTGAACATATTGAATAGGACATATTCAAATACAATCTCTTACTACCAGCATCAATCAGAGTGATCATTACCATTGAAGTCTTTCCTTTCCATCGATAAATGGCTTACCTCACCTTACAGTATATACTTAGTAAATCACTCAAATGATATACCTTGTTCATGGGGTGATTAAATATGGACGCATGGACCGGTTCAATGCGAATATCACTCGTCAACGACAATCTGAGCGAAGCTATCAAAGGTTTCTTTAAGGTTTCCTAAATATGGACAAACACTGAATATGTTAGGAATTAAACCTCGTTTCCCAGGAGCGATACTATATATATTGTAAGATAACGAACTATCAATCAAGTACAATCTTCTTTACCTTGACATTAACCTTCGCGTTTTGCAGTATCTCCATTCTATACTTGGTTACGGCCGCCTTAATCGTGACAGAACCTTGATTTTGCTTCAAATTACACACTTGATACGCTACAAAACGAAAGCAAGATAAAAAATATAAGATAATATAAGTTCTTTGCTCCTCGTCAAACAGACAGTCCAGCAGCCAAACAGACGCGCCGAGATATAAACTTCACTTACACATTGACTTCATAAGATGTTGCCTGAAGATGTCCTCCTGGTACTCCATGCGCACTCCAGTATCGCTGAGGTCAAACGAGGCCATATTATGATTAGTTGTGGACCAGCTCATGTCAAGCGAAGTGAAATTATCGAATAAACGATTTCTGGCATCACGAAGTATCACACGAAGTCTGAGAGCCTGCGGACTCCGCACATGAAACTTTAAAATATAGATGTGTGTAAGTCACGTGTACGCTTCAAAAAGCGCGCGAAACCAAAAGCACTAACCTCCTTATTTGGACTTAGGCAATCCTGAAGACTAAGCCTGCGTTCAGAGATTTCAGGGAGGTGTACATCGGGCTCTAAGGCAAGAGTAGCGGGCACCATGCAGGCAAATTTGATGGTGACGTTGGAACTGGCTGGGAATTTGTTCGTTTCCGACGGTCGGTTGCCAATGGTAACAACAAGATCCTGTTCGCCGAGTGCTTTGCACGTGACGTGATAGAAATGCAGCGACCGTTTATCGCCAAATGGATGTTCGGGAATGATGTCTGATCTAATTGAGATCAAATCTTCTTGTTCGCCACCGACTAAAATCGAGTGAAAACATGTCATTATAACTTATAGTAAACATAAAAACCTTCACTTCCCCCCTCCCCCCCGTCAATGAACTCATAAGTTACATGCAGTTAATAAATTAGCATCTTAAATATCTGGGCCCCCTCACCTTTTTCAAAATGTGTAGATCTATCATGCACCCAGGGCTGAGGTCCACCTTGAAGGATCAAATTTTTAGCTGAGCCAAGACTGACAACGGCCACGTCCTCTGGATCCAAGGTCTGAGAAAACAAAACACGTTTTGCGGTGAGAAACATCCAGCTTCGCGCCCAGGCTTCAACGCGGACGCGTGGACACCGCGCGCGAAAAGAGATTTGTTTCTACAGACCTTAAGAGGAATATAGGCAGCCACGGTGACCGTTGCTTTAATATTGATGTCTTTATATTTATATCTTGCAGTGACTATCACAAAACCTTGACGCAATGCTTTTAAATACACCGATGTACATCCAGGTGGCGTGATCTCATCATTTTCGTCTAAAGTAAAAACATCAAAAATGATGCTTGTTTCACTGTTTGCCTTTCGGTAGGCCCCAGAGCTAACTCGCCTGCCGCACGAAAATATGTCAGCCGATTTGTCGAATCCGTTTTTCTTATTCTGACGCACTGTGATTCAAGAGGACCCAGCTTCGCCTCACCTGATGTTCCAATGACTTGAAAAATGGTCGGATCTGACACTGATACACTCACATTCATCTTACGACAGTCGTCAAAAAACTTCAATTCGTCGCTCTCTATTATGAAAGAATCTCGTGTTTTTACACATGTAAATAAAAAGCAGCTTAGCAGATGTGTTTTCAGGATACTAACTCTCACCTGGACTCAAGTAGGCTGCTGCTGCGAGAGGAATCTTTAGTTTTGTTCCGATTTCAACTTCAACTCTTGAAGCAATGAATTTCAAACTATCCGGAGGCAAAACATGCACCTAAAATATTAAAAACATTTTGCTCGAATGTTTGGATCTGATGTTTCCTTTATTTTGCCTGAATCTCAGGTCTTAACCGTGCTCCACTCCAATTGTATGTAGACGGCCCTATGTTCATGCACAGAGAGCGCTTTATACAACTTATGTAATTCATTCACAATGTCATAGACTATGCTCTATCCACGTAGTACAGACTGCACAGTACAATATACTCCACCTCTGCTATTCCATAGTGCATCGAATTCTCAGAATCATGAGCTTTCACTTGAGTGACACCAGTGTCGGTAGTTGTGGTCAGCAGTCCTCGAGCATTGACACTGGCTATTACTGTTATTTCTGAGGTCCAAGTGTAGTGTCCACTGCCCCCTGTTGCCTGGGAATACAGGATTGAAGTGCATTTAAAATCCTGTTGCAGCCTATTCCGGTATTAAAAAGTCGAATAGTTTATCTGAATTCCAGCTAAACCTTAATCCTGAACCTAACTTTGATCCCAAACGAAATGTAGAGCTTAAATCCAGTGCAAAAACCGAACTATAGAGCTAACCAATTCACTACCTATCCTCGACTCGCTATGCAGTGGTAATTTGGGAAGTACACTGATTGTTAAAATGACAGTGTACTGTACAGTGTACCTTAAGTTGATATCTGTAATATTCACCGCTGATCGGTATCCATGGGAACACAAGGATTGCAGGCACTACTGCAATAGGATCGTATATCACAAGTTCCTGTTGGCCTTTCACAGGTGGATTCAAGGTCACAACTTCACCTGTGGTTAGCAACTAAGAAGTAGATGATTTGATGATTTGATATGATGTTCTGAGTCACTTTAATAACTTTAAATGGTTCACCACATTACCTTAACACTGGAAAGAACAGCATTGAGAATAGTTTTCCCACTTTTTAGAGTTTTGGTGATATGATATGAGCCATTGTTTGATGATTTCAACACAGAGAAATACGTGTGTGGAAATTTTGTATCAATCATGATATTCTGTTGAAATGAAAGAAACAATAAATCTATGTGGGTCTTCAGGTGAAACATTCTTCATGGGAAATAAAATAATCTGGCAATAAATAGAATTAAATGCCACCTACTGGAAATTACCCACCTCAGCCACATAAAGTTTATGATTCAACTTGTCATAAACATCAACTGTGATTATATACTCTCGATTGGTTTCCAAAACCCAAGCACCATGAGGAAACACAGAGAATCCTTAAGTTTCAAAAAATTAACTGGTGACATTGAAATATACAATTATAAGCTTGGAATTTGAAACATATTCATGCAGTACAATAAATAAAGGAGAAACACGTCACATTAACATCAGGCAACTTCATGAACAAAAATTACCTAAATGATCAGGCTGAACCACATGGACGCCAGCAGTTGGTTGCCTTGAGGACAGCTGATCTTTCATATCTTACACATGTTAAGTATACTTTTAAAACATAGCTAAGACCATTTTTTATGGTACCATTCACAATGTATATATATCTAAAAGGATACTGTTATCAACCAGGGTGACTTGAGTATACCCGACAGATCGACCAATCACTTGTGAAGAAGGTTCTACTAATGTCCCAACAGTTGTATTACTAAGAACAAACTTAAACTGTGTTGATGGCATCTCTATATCTGAAATATACCAAGGAATTGGTATTTAGTATGTGTGTAGCCTTTACAGATAACCGGTTAAGTTTAACAAAACTTTTCTCACCTATGACAGAGTTCTGTCGGAATCTCTTTACATTGTATTTCACAGCTGTGTTTATCATGATGTACACATCCATAGAAGGTACTATCATAATATTATCAATAACTAACAATTTCACACTATGTGCTTCTACATCCTAAAAGAAAGCAATATTTCAGAGCAAAGCTGAACCCCATTGCATTTGTCTTGTCATTGTCATTGTCTATGGTACCAAGCAGCACAGTGATAAATACCAAGCAATATTTCAGAGCAAAGCTGAACCTATTGCATTTGTCTTGTTGAAAAAACAAACCTTGAAAGTGGGATGACTTAATTTTGCCTTTACAATTGCAGTTCCAGTGTTGATACCTTCCACAATGATACTGCTGCCTCGCAAACCCTTGAAATAAAAAATATTTTAATGATGCATAAGCCTTTATCAAAAACAGCATATAATACACGTAAGTTGAACTTCACAAATAGAGAATATATACCCTTGCTTCCAAAGCATAAATAGCAACTGATGTCTCATTTATGGACTCAGCAAAAGGAACAATTCTGAAACATAATGATAGAGCTGAAACTTTAGTAACAAAAAGAACTATTGTTTTCCTTAAAAGCAAGAACTTCGGTAATGTTTACCACTAAATTACATAAAAATGACTAGCCATATAAGCAGCCCAGACGAACTCTTACCTTAGAACAGAAGAAGCTTCAATGGATCCTTTGACAGTAATGAGTTCCCAATCAAAAACAAGACCATCAAGAGATGAAAACAAATTCCCAGTGTCGTCATAAGCAATGACATCAAGAAGCTCAGGGGACTGTCCAAGCAATAGTTCTCTTGTTGTCGTTGTTATTTCAATGTGATTTATACGGTTAACAAACACATCAGCACGCAGAATATTCCCCAAAACTTTGAAAAATTTTAACATTCAAAATAAGTATTTTACTTTTAATTAAAACTGACTGCATTATGATAACAACAGGTTTAGATGGTGTCTTACCCTTTTCCTCAGCAATAATGATAGCAGTTTGCTTCTCAGGAATTGATGATTGAGATGTAATCACAGCCTCTTGTGAACAGGCATCACCACCCGCTATTTGAAACGTCATTTTAATAAATAAATTGATTTGTCAAGATATTCTGTATTCATCATTCACACCTGGTTTGCAACCATTGTGAAAAATATTTCATAACATGCAACTGCAACCTGAACAGCAACTGTGGGGTGGGGTGGGGTGGGGATGGGTGGGGGGCACACCTCCCCCTCGAGGAGAATCCCCATTTGACACTTTCAATCTAAAAATCCAGTCTGTTGCATAACCAATCGCCGCACTGGTGCTTTTTCTTGCTAGAGAAATCACAATGTCGCTGATATCGCGAAATATCGCTTAGAATTCCAAAGGACTGTCAAAACCCGATCTTATTCTTACCTTGTCCTTGATTTTGTGAACCCTTCAAAAGAGATCTAACTTTCGCTACTTCAGGTCTGGATGACGTCCTGATAACAAAACATAAAAATCGTAAAAATACAACAAAGATGAACCAAATACTTAACACCCAATCATGCAAATCATTCCACCGATCGGCAAATAAAAACACGTGCAATATTCTTATAACTATCCGATATATTTACCATTTATAACAGCCATCACTCGCCCTGATCGTAAAATTGACATTCGCAGAACCTGCCGTGGAATACGGCAAAAGTATGCTTAAGACATTTAATACATCGGGTTGTTTTTCTGGCGATACAAGACAAAATAGTAGCAGAAGAAATTCTAGAACTGCAAGCTTCAAGCCCGCCATAATGCTGAATGACGGTCGTTTCATCTTACATAAAGTATGCCGAATACACAAACGGCTGCTGCCGCTGCCATTAGACCACAGCGAACACTCGATAATTTCAAGAATATGCATGATTAGTTCGTGCAAGAAAACTATGATAAATATATCAATTCTATATACAATAAATTATACATTGTTTGTCACAGGATAATACAAATAACTGTTCAACAATTTCATTTTGGAATTAAAGGATAGCAATTAGCAAATGTGACAAAATGTGACTGGTCAGAAAATTACGTCACCTAATAAACGTAACTCTTATTGGAACAGTTCACTGTATTCGAATCGCTATCTTTTTCAACCTCGTACCCAGGGTTGTATCCTTTTACAATTGCTCAGTCAGTCCGGCTGCATTTGTCCTTGGTGCCAGTACTCTTTGGGCTCTCGACTCGTCTCAATTAATAACCTCGTTCCCAAGTAGTACCCCTTATCTAAGTAGCACTTGTTCCAGAGGGAAAAAGTTCTCGGCAAATCAAACCATCGCCTTTCTTTTTATCAAGCCATTGGTTACACGGGAATGTTATCATTTCAGAAGAGTCTAAATTCGTGACCTCGACCCGATCTAACATCCACCCAGCACCGAATCCTTTGTTATCATGCTCTATCCGCAACCTCTTGAGCTGGCCTAAATCTAGAGCTTCCAGTGTGAACGCGTCTCGCTGACCCTTTTCAAATAGATTGACCATCTTCTTTGTCAATTTCCGCTGTCCCGTATCACCGTTGTCGCCATATATCACGATGCTGACGTTAGCGTCCGTACCAGCATGCGCAACGTCAGCGGTATATACGGCTATCTCGTATTGAATAGGTTTAAGCTCTAAAAGATTAGAATACACATAGAGAATACTTAATTTGGAATGCTTCAGCAAAATATACAGTCAAAAAGTGCATACCTCTTATTACAGCAAGCTTCGATCTTTCAGAGGATTTGCATTCAAGCTTGACTCCATCCCCTTTATTAGAGGTCAGTGGAATCCACTGTCGACAAGGGAACACAAACCTAAATAAAATATACGATGACGCATCGTATTTGAAAAAGGTTCCTTGTTCAACATTTATTAACAATTTCCTCATATAGACAACCCACCTTTCACCGTTGTCGGTATTTTTAACAACGACTTCATGTAAGTACCACGATTGGTCTTTCTCTGATTTCTTCTGCCCCGGCTTTGGATGATGTCCAACGATGACTTCGCGAATAGCTCCCAGAGGCTTGGTAACGAATTTAAACGTGTCGCTACGGCCGCGTCTGAGAATCTTATTCTTGACGCTGTTCTCTATATTATACACCTGGGACTTTCGTTTCTCTCCAAGCAGTATAATAGACGCATTTTGATTGGTTCCCGCATTCTGCTTGTCACTCGTCAGCATCGTTATCTCAAAGACTGAAATAAGAAGGAGGTTGAGATTCCGTGTACGAAGGCATTGATAAAATAAATACGAGATTTTGTTGTCGATAGGTCTGTTCATACGATTCAATTATTTTTTGCATCCAATTCAATTCTAATGGATGTGGGCAGTAAACAAACTAAAGCCAATGAGGTGCTGCTTTGTCAATAACAGACTACATTCAACACCCTGGAAATGAATTGGATCCAACAAATTTGGATTATGCGAAAAGACCTTAAGAGCATAAGATTTCATTCTTTACTCAAAGCTCTGTTTCACTTAGTAAATATCAAACAATCATTGTGAAAGTTAAGCATATGGCTCTCCATACCTGCAACAGGCGAGTCAGTTGTTTCATCTCTGTTTGAACAAGGAATCTCTCGTAACAAACTACCATCTTCTTTATCTTTACCAAGCCAACGGTCACATGGAAACTCGTAAACTTTCTTGGTGCTTTGATCTTCGATATTAATTCTTTCCAAGTACCAACTTGCCTTCAGGAATTTATTATCATGCCAAACTCTGACCTTTGTTAGTTCGCCTGCAGCAGAGATATGCTTATAGTGAAATCACAAACTAGCAGTCAGGGACCATAGGGACAATATAGGGATAAAAAGATCATGTGGTGTCAGAACTGCACACGAGTAAGGATTCTTACCTAAACTCAGAATCTCTTGCAAGTTAAACACGTCTGTATGACCCCGTTCAAATTTATCTTTATAGGTCTCCGAATTCTTCAGCGGCACTTCTCCCGAGTCTCCATATTCACCAAATATTATGAGAAATACATTAGCGTCAGTGCCAGCACCGCTCACATCTCCAGTGATTACGTCCACCTTGTAGCTTGTGTCTGGAATAGGTGAGAATATGATTCGTGAATTAGTATGTTCACAGGTAAAAGTTGTGGTAAAGATTAGACTCCTGTGACGGACGACTGTGTGGAAACTAAAGGAGCGATGGAAGAATCATAAGGTTGTTTTAGTAACGTACTTCCTAAAGGCTTTTCACCCTCCGTGATCGCGGGGAGTTCTTTCACCATTCCCCCGGACGATTTTGATAGCCAACCATTGCATTTGAACACACTCACCACACCCGTGTCATCATTACGGACGATAACCTGAAAAACAACAAAAGGTTAACCACAGTCGATTCTTTTACGATGTATGGTTATACCATAAAACTACTATGTAAAAAATTTGGTCTTAAGAAATTATCCTCCTGTGATAATAATATCAGACACTAAAAATATCATCTGGGTAAAAAATATGTGGTTCGCACGATAATAGTAATTATGCGGACCCTCACCTTATCTAGGTACCAATTCACACGATTTCCTTTACCCTCGTGTCCAATCCTCATCTTGCGCAACTTGCCCACGTCTTCGAGCTCCATTCGGAACATGTCGACACCGCCTCGTTCAAACCTCTCCTCACCCTTCTCGAGTTTCACTTCAGGCGTGGCGCCCTCGCTTCCAAATATGGTCATGGTGACATCACTATCTATACCGGCATCCTTTACATCACCAGTAAATACCGTGATTTCATATGGCGCAACTGCAAATTTGATGAAAAGGTCAGTGATAGGATTTCACTAGAGTTGACTGGCATAACCAGTTCATTGTATGCTTAGAGATGACTAAACTACCCTAAACGCAGCCTCCTAAACTACCCTAACTAAACTACCCTAAACGCAGCCTCCTAAACTACCCTAACTAAACTACCCTAAACGCTCCTAAACTACCCTAACTAAACTACCCTAAACTACCCTAACTAAACTACCCTAAACGCTCCTAAACTACCCTAGTTGTAATACAAGTATACTTACGTGGTTTGTATGAGACTTGGTCGTTTTCGTTAGCAGTCAACACACGTGTAGTCAAGCCATCTTCTTTATCCTTGGCCAACCATCGGTTACAGGGGAAATGGTAAACTTTACCTTTCGTTGGCACGTCAATTTCAATCTCTTTAAGGAGCCAGCCATCCTTTTGGGAATACCCGTTGTGTCCTTTTACGAAAAAAAGACGATAATCAATGTACCTGCCTTTCATTTCTGCCCTTGACTACTGGACTAAATACCTCACAGAAAAGACTAAGCTATTAGACAAAGACTTCAACATACCAACTTCAATTTTTCTGACCTCCCCGACATCAGTCCCATCTACTGAGAACGTCTCGGCTGTTCCCGTTTCGAATCCAGCTTTTTGAACGAGCTCAAGATCAATTTTATCCGTAGCCGCCTGAGTTCCAATCAATACGATATAAACCTTAGCCTCAGTTCCCCCATCTTTGTCATCACCAGTCCTCACTCGGACCGTATAAGAAATTGCTAGAATAAAAAAGAAACACATTGACCAACCGAAATACCTTTATTCTCCAGCTGCTTCAATTATTTCTATAATCGATCACGTTAATTACATTTCAACGGTGCATCTTTTTTGGCTTTGTCTTTAAATTCTTTCTCGAATATCGCATCAGCCGTTGAACTACGCTTCTTGCTCAGATCTCCAAGAGTTGACTTAGACAGAGATGAATCAAGCTTGAGACTGCTGGCCGTACTCATTCCAGTCATTGTTGTAGAACGATCACCCTGGTGAGGAAAAAATGGATAAACTCATTGCAAACAAATGGAGCAAATCCTACTTAGGTAAGCAATAGTAAAATGAGATTTTGCGTCATCATTGTAAGGAAGTAGGCAAATGGTTACAAACAAACCTTGTAATCTTTTTCATAAAAGTTTCTTTCTATCTTCTTATCCTCCTTGTTCTTAGCAAGCCACCTCTCGCAATGAAACAAGAAGCGTCTATCAGCGGTAAGGTCTTCTAACTCGACTCTCTCGACGAACCAAGCTGGATTTAACATTGAGTTATCGTGACGCAACTTGATCTTATGTACGGTACCAAGATCAGCAGCCTCGAATGTAAAGATATCTTCCTGGAAACAAGAAGGTTAGAAGGCAATGTTTAAGCTGTGTTGACTTCGGAAAATAGACAGCTCTTTCTTTCTGAAGACTTGCTATCTTACCTTGCCCCGTTCGAATTTATCCGTATGCGTTTCAGACTTTGTCAGCGGTCTTTCACCAGAGTCACCATATTGTCCGAATAAAGTGATGAAAACATTCGCATCGGTTCCAGCACCTTTGACGTCACCGGTGAACACGTGGACACGATATTTATGAACTAAACACGACAGGAAAGTGTCAATCAAAATTCTCACCAATAATCTGTGAGACGAAGCCTGTCACTAGATCTATTTAACTACAGATCATTGTACAAATCTCCACAGATGGAGCACCTGTTTCTTGAATGTCCTCCACAACGATGTTATTGAAGTTAATATTCACTTACCGTCTAGTGCCTGATGCTCGACTTTATTCGCCACAACTTCGCCTTTCTTATTAACCAATTCCTCCGTCACATCTCTCGGTACCAACTCTCTAACAATCGCGCCATCATCTTCTCCCTTAGCCAACCAACGTTTACAAGGAAACGTGTAGAGGGTCGTACTTTTGTTGTCGTCAAGCAATCGGCGTATTTCCACCTTATCGAGAAACCATCCGGCCCCAATCCCCTTTCCGTCGTGACCAACCCGGACCTTTTCTATAACATCACCAACATCAACCAGCTAAAACAATGAAATATATTGCTTCAAAATGTGTTATATGGCGAGGTAACTTGGTATTATACCGTCGTTAATACCTCCTTTACGAACTGGTCCGTTGAACCTCGGTCAAAGCATCCCTTCTTTTTCTTCTTCGTTTCGGCCAAGATGCATTCCCCTGTGTTTAATTCAGCTCCGTAAATCACTATGAATACATTCGCACTAGTCCCTGCGCCACTCACGTCTCCAGTGTATACGGTGATCTCATAAGGAACGTCTGAGGGAAATATGAAGAGAGAATTATTAATATTTTAGTCAAGTTATCACTAGTATGTTAATTTAGTTCCATGTTTCCTCTGGTAGTACGATTGGATCAAAGACCTAGGACTCGTACAAACAGCAACAACACAATGGAAAGGAATGACTGAATCAAAAATAACCAAGTACTTACGTGGTGTATAGACTTGTTCGGCATCTTCAACTGGATACAACTCTCTTTCTAACAATCCATCATCTTTCCCTTTATCCAACCATCGTCCACAGGGGAACAACCATCGAGTACCAAGACTTTTTGAATCGATCTCGACTTTATCTAGAAACCAGCCTGCAAAGCCACCCTTGTTGTCATGCCCGATTCTGAAAGCAAGAACAAGAAACGTGCTATTATGAGATTCATTGCAGCTCGCTTGAACGAAAACCATGTTGTGTAGAATACGTGAAACTGCGGGTCTTGTGGCTAAAACAATCGAATGAGAACTCAATACGTGCACGATCTGAAAACATCCACATTTACCTTATCTTTTTCAACACACCAACGTCAGCATCCAATGTAAAGACATCATTCTGATCACGCTCAAATTTATCTTTATTTGTTTTCGAAGTTTTCAGATCAAGTTTACCTTCAAAACAGAGCATCAAAGATGTTAATTATACGAGCCTGTTGTGAATTTCAAACTGCGATAAAGTTCTCTACCTGTTTCTCCTTTATCTCCAAACAAAACGATGTAAACGTTGGCGTCAGTGCCCGCGCCAGAAACGTCTCCTGTGACTACATACACCTCGTAGGAACTGAGTCGAGCTGAGTGAAAAGAGAAGAAATTTTGAAACTTTCACAATGGCTTTTTATCGCAAAAGACAGCGAAATGAATACCTTTCGATTCCAAGTCCAAAGAATCGACTAACGCCTTGGAACTTTGACGTCGGTTCATCTTTCTCTTCTGTTCGGCATTATAGTCCTCTGACGTCAGAGCAGGCAAGTCACGTGATATCTGACCGTCATCTTCGTTGGTTGCCAGCCAGCGGTCGCACGGGAAAACATACCGCTGCCCTTTCAATTTGTCTTCGATTTCAACCTTGGAGAGGAACCATGCCGATTTCATTCCGCTATTGTCGTGACGGATTTTCAACTTGGACAAAGCACCCAGGGAGATGCACTTGATTGTAAATATGTCCTCCTAAAAATGAAAAGAGGCAGTAAGTAAATAAAGAGAGACCAGTGAAATCAGGGAATTGTTATATTGCAAAACACTGAACTAAAGTTATACTGGACGACTCTTTCAGTTCTAACCTGGTTCCGCTCAAACTTGTCCATATGCTTCTCAGACTTCTGCAACTTCCTCTCGCCAGAATCACCGTTTTCACCATATATGGTAGCAAGGACGTTAGCATTCGTCCCAGCATGCATCACGTCGCCAGTGTAAACATGGATGACGTAGGTATTTTCTAAATGATAATGATGTCATTGGTTGGCAAACAGTCACCGAAAGTAGGCATGAATTGCAACAATAGTGAGATACAGAACATGTTTTTGAAGAATGGCTACTGCTGTTAAGCTATATATATATTATGAATGTCTAAACGAGGTCCAAACTGCTAGTATGCTCCTAAACATGAATACATGAAATTTTAAATACGTGTATATTACCCGCAAGAGTGTTTCGTCTCTTTAAACCAGACTTTGTACTTGGCACTAGTTCCCTCACGATCTCACCATCGTCTTCGCCTTTTGCAAGCCAGCGGTTACACAAGAACAGATATTCATAATCATTTTCATCACTTTCTCCCTCTTCATCGTCATCAGATGCTTTCTTTCCACCTTTTCGTTTCTTCTTTTTCGATTTTTCCTTTTCCCCGTCCGGTTTAATCCGGCTAATCTCGACCTTAAAGTATTTCACACCATGGTAAAGATGACGAATACTGCACATCAGAAAACATAACAAAAAATGCTGCACAAAGAGCTCACCTTGTCCAAGAACCAGGCTGCACCAAATCCTGCGTTATCGTGGCCAATTCGTATCTTAGTTAGGGCTCCAATATCTTCGCTTTCAACCTGAAAACATAATCATCAATAAGAAATAAAAAACTTGGACATAAGCTGTGCTTATCGCTCTTGTTCGCAGCCGTGAGATGAGACAGATACAGACCTTAAACTTGTCGACTTTGGCTCTTTCGAAATTATCAGTCTTGTTTCTTAGTTTAAACTCGTCAGATTTTCCTTTCTCTCCATACAACACCAGTATGACGTTAGCATCAGTTCCAGCTCCCCTGACGTCGCCTGTGTGCACGACAACTTCGTAGGGTATTTCTGCAAAACAAAACAAAACATCTTTTTGTAGTTCTATTATATACAAGAGATACGTTTAAACAGGAATTAACAATTTACTTTGTTCCATGGTGTTTTGTTGACTTGGATACAACTCTCTTTCGATTTTGCCATCATCTTCATCCTCTGCTAACCAGCGATGACAGGGAAACACCATAACTTGACCATGCGATGGTATATCCACAGTTACCTCGTCCAAGTGCCAACCAGCACCAAAACCCTTACCATCATGACCAATACGTATCATCTCCAACTATCAATTTTCAAATAATAACAGGTGTTTACAAATGACGTACTGCCTAGTTTTCCACTGCGAACTGAACTACCTCACACGCAGGAAATCTCTCATATTGAAATCGACAGCTACACAAATGTTACTCAAAAAGCTGATGGACCTACTTTGCCTATGTCAACTGCTTCAACCGTGAACACATCGGCTCTCCCTCTTTCAAATTTATTCTTTGTGTTTTCAGATTGTCTCAAAGGCAACCTTCCCGTGTCTCCTTTCTTGCCAAATATCTGAACATAAACATTCGCATCCGTCCCAGCACCACGAACATCTCCTGTCCTCACAGTCACTTTGTATGAGGTTGCTAGGAAAAATAAATGACTTTAAGTGAAGATATCAAAGTGAAAGTGGATCGGAGATCATAAAAATAACCCATTAGAATGAAACCTTGCATGCCCCTGCATGCACTCAGGCGATGCTTCACTTGACGCAAAAGAGACTTCGATATTGTAGTTGCAATGGAAAACATACTCATTTGTAGTAATCACAAGCACAACTGCACAAGTCAAGCATAAATACCGTAACTTACTTTGCAGCAAGCTGGTTCCACCTAAAGTGAGCTCTCTGATAATCTGACCATCGTCTTCGTCTTTGGCTAACCATCTGAAATAAAGCAAGGAAGTGCCTCGAGTTATACATGAGTTTTGGTAAGAGCTTCGAGGACAAAAACTGCCTACGAGAAATGCATTCATGTCACAACTTAAAGTCTCTCAATGTGGCGTGAAATAGTACATACGAAAACATTGTTGAAATTCACCTTTCACAAGGGAAATTGAATTCCTTCAAGGGATCATTGGGATCTTTGATCACAACTTTATCCAAGAACCATCCGGCCCCAGGTCCTTTGCCATCATGACCGATTCTGATCTTCTCCAAATCTTTAAGGTCCACCGCCTCTATCTCAAATTCATCAACCTAAAATAGCGCAATGTTTACTTTAGTTTATCGTGCTTTACCTTGTCATTTAACAGTTGATATGAAGCATCAGCTTTTCTGCGTTTAATGGCATTAAGAGAAAGAATAATGTAACCGAAGGGGTCAGTCTGTGAGCAGTCTACCAAGTGGATAACTGGTCCAATTCTCCCGAGAGGTGACAGAAAAGAAACTGGTATTTCAATTCATAGTGAATACGAACTTACATTTCCTTTTTCAAATTTATTTCTGTTTGATTTTGAAAACATTAGCGGCCTCTCGCCGGTATCACCTTGCTTGCCAAATACGGTCAAGAAAACGTTTGCATCAGTACCAGCCCCAGACTTCTTGGCAGTGTGTATGAACACTGGATAAATCAGCACTGAAATAAAGAAAATGATGCCCTTTTCATTGATATAAGATGAGAGAGCTTGAAAAGAAGACCAAGCAAATGAAAATCCAGGAAACTTTTAAAAGAGGAACTAAATAAAAATTCAAGAAAGACAAACCCGGCTGAGGTTGAATTCCTTCACCAAATGCAGGCAATTCCTTGATAATACTTCGATCATCTTCCTTGAGGGAAAGCCATCGACCACATTTGAATGAAAACTTAGCTCCAGTCTTTGTGTTTTCAACTTGAGCCTAAACAATTGGTAGTTTTAGCTCACGTCACCGTTAACAAAAAGCAGACTAGGAACACGTAGAGAGGTAACTAGACAGTACCTTTTCTAAATGCCAATCTGAGAACGATTTAGAGTTGTCATGTCGAACCCGAAGCTTGTACAATGGACCGACATTTGCAAGCTCGACCTAGATAAAATATTATAAACATTTACGACCATGACGTCACTTTTAAGGGTACATGAATGATTAGGATTACGTCATTCTTGAGCTACCTCGATGATGTCACCATTCAATGAAATGGTAATCCTGATCATACCTTAAACTTATCAAGTTGTCCCTGTTCAAAATTATCCGTTGCATTTCCAATTCGAATTTCTTCAGTCTTTCCTTTCTTTCCATATAAGGTAACAAAGACATTGGCATCGGTTCCAGCTCCCCGTTCATCGCTCGTCCAAACCCACACATTATACACGATCTCTGAAACACAGAAGAAAAGCGTTGAAATGAAGTTTGTGAGATCTCGAGTACAAATAAGTCCAGTTTATAGATCAGTACAAGTCTGGTTGATTCACATACTTGGTCTGCGTTTCTGTCTCATATCTTCAGATTCAAATAAGTCTCGTTCCAGTCTTCCATCGCCTTCGTCATCTGCTATCCATTGTTGACAAAGAAAAACCTGTTCGCATCCGGTGCTGGGACAGTCAACTACGACCTGCAACATAATATTCCGTTTAAAACCAGCAAGCACCGTTCATTATTCGTTCTTAACTGTTAATACTTTTTCTCTTGATTTCCATAAAGAAGAGTGAATATGGGTCAAGTATTGCTGTGATTCCTACTTTAATACATTCATATCGGATTTGTCATTCAGCTCTAAACTGCTTTGCAAATTCAAATCTGGGACTCTCAATACTTTAGTTAGAAGAGTTAATAGTAATCACACTTAAGCACTGGTGGATGTTTCAAATAATCGATGTTCCGGGCCTCCCCCCCTGCATTAGCATTTCCTAAGGCTATTGTCTCTTTACCTTCTCACAAAACCAACCAGCTCCTAGGCCGGTATTATCATGTCCAATGGTAATGTGATGTAAAGGACTAAGACAGTCCGCACTCTCCACATTGAATATGTCAGTTCTTCCCCGTTCAAAATTATCGCTTTTTTCATTCCTCAGCACCAGTTTCCCGCTGTTCTTCTCGCCTTCCTCGCCGCCATAAAGGACGACAAACACATTTGCGCTTGTCGAGCCGTTTCTGACGTCACCTGTGGTCACGTGAACCTTGTATGGAACACCTAAAAACAGTGGTTCCACAAGAATACTTCAAATAATCGACTTCAAAGCAGGAAAAATCTCGCATTTTAAAAAACCTCGCAGCGTTACTCACCAGGTGTGATGTACATATCAGCTTGTTGGGAGCCGTTAGTACAAACGAGTTCTCTCGTAATTTGTCTATCATCCTCATCTTTAGCCAACCAACGGTGACACGGAAACTCGAAAACTTTCCCCCGACTTTCATCTTCAACTGTCACCTGGTGACAATGAAAAACAAACGAAGTCAATCCGTGTGCTGTGTACAATGACGAGGAATATGGTATTATTGGGATGATAGGTGATATGTACGATGGATAGGATAGGATCAACATAGGTCAAACCTATCAATTTGAGCCTATCAGGTGAAAGGACGTACTTTATCCAAGAACCATCCTGGTCCAACCCCACGATTGTCATGACCAATGCGCAGTTTAATCAACTCGCCAAGATCGATCCCCTCCAAGCGAAATGTGTCCATTCTAAGTAAACCAATGATCGAAGTTTATTAGGTATTGGATAACTTCAATATTAGGATAATCCTTCAACAATAACAGCAATTTTAAAAAAGAAACACCATGCATCTCCATTACTTACCTTCCTTTCTCAAAATTATTTCTTGAATTATCAAGGCAATGTTCTCCAGTGTCTCCGTTCTCACCAAATATGGTGACCGTGACATTAGCGTCCGTCCCAGCCCCCCTCACATCACCTGTGTACGTACATACTTTGTACTTGAAACCTGGAGTGAACGATGAAACGAGTAAGTCCCCTGGTATTTTGCTAGAAGCCGGAAGGTTTTAGCTGGATGGAAATTTCCAGAATGTACGCGAAATTGTACCGTAACATCAGAAGAAGTCAAGAAGATATTAAGGCGATCAGATGCAGAAAAAACGCCCTCAATTTTATCCTTAAGCTAATATCAAACCCACAATATTACCTTGGCGTTTATCAGTGGCTTTCTTGGTCGCCATCAATTGTCTTCTTATTTGACCATCACCTTCATCCTTGTCCAGCCATTGATCGCAAGGAAAGTACGTCACAGTACCTTTGACCAACTCCGTAACTGATATCTGCATAAATTTTTAAGTCATAATAGGATAACTCGGTTAATTAGGACCAGGTCATGGTCATCTCATACATATATGGTCATAAAAAGAACTCCCCACCTTATGAAGGTACCATCCAGGACCAAATCCAGTATTGTCATGTTCCACGCTAGAAACGATAAACAGAGTTCATTATTTAAAAACATGTGATGAATGCCTCCTTTTGTGATACAGCTGGTTATATCTTACATCATTTTTCTCAAAGATCCAAGATTGGTTGACTTGATCTTAAACCGGTCGGTCTTTCCTCTTTCAAAGTTGTCATTATCCCTAAACAGGAAGCCATTGCTTAGTTCAGTTCAGTCGTGTTCCAGCCGTGAGGCGCAAAAGAATCGAGCAAATTTCGCTACACCTCTTAATTTTTCTTTCTCGTGTGTGGACATTATATGAAGGCAGATAATATTCGTCTCCGACATTCTCATATTTACCTGTTTGCTAATAGTACTTTCGGTGTTGTCCCTTTTGAGCCAAATAAGGTCATATAAACTTTAGCATCAGTTCCTGCCCCACGAATATCGCCAGTTTCAACAGTTACCTCGTAAACTGTAATCATAAGGTTTGAATGAAATAAAATCTCTGTTTCTGTAATAACTCATTAATGGTACTGTATTCCAAGCTTCAATCAATTTTCACTGTCAAGTTCATTGCATGGTCATCTGAAACTTAGCGAAGTTGGTAACCCGGGAAGACATATGTAGAACAATTAACACAAAGGCGTAACTGAAACTGATTTCATTTAACATGCTAACCTGTTTTAACGGGTTTCGAAGTGCCGCTGTTGGCATGCAACTGACGTTTGATTTGACAGTCTCCTTCAAACAAAGACAACCATTGGAATGATGGAAATGTCCACACTTTCTTATTTCTTGTATTTTTCACCAAGATTTCGAGTACGAACCATCCTTGCTTTCTGTCTATACCATCGTGCTATGAACAAATATATCTCTAATTACATGGATATTGATCAGAAACTTAGCTCTTGGGGGACTAGAAGCTGTCAATGAAATGTGCCTATGATGCTGCTAATGTTAAACAAGGCATTACCTCAACATTAAGAACCTTCACATCTCCGATATCTGGACCTCGTATCGTGAAAGTTTCCTCAGATCCAGGTTTAAATACGAACTGAGGTTCGTACAGAAACGAATTTGACTTTATTCCTTCTGGTTTGTGAAACAATCTTGTTTTTCCAATAATACCTTTGTTTCCCTTCAACTCAACATATACCTAAGATTTATAACAAACAGACAGATTTGGAAAACTCGTAAGATTTTGAGAGATTTGGAAACCCCTCTGGCTAGAAGGGTGGGGCTGAGTAATTGGAGAGAGAGGGGACAATGAGAGAGGGTTAGTTAAAAAGGATTATGAGTAACGTAAAATTGAGAACTAATTTTAGAGATAGGGTTGTTAGAGATGGATTACTGGAGAGGGGTAGATTATAAAAAAAATGGAGATAGGGAAGAGGGGGAGCAGATTACAAAATAGGGGGTTGTTGAAAAATAGTTCATTAAGATGAATTTTAACAGACAGAGGACCAGATTATAGAAAAGAGGGGTTAGTAAAGGTAGAGCCCCATTAGAGAAAAGATCATAATGGGAGGTGGGTGATTATCAGAGGAGGGTGACTCTATTAGAAGAAAACACCTTTTTAGGAAGAAGACTAGATTGAACATTTATTTTGATGGAATAACCACAACAAATATAATCAAAGAGCACATGCATACATTAGCATCAGTTCCAGCATTCCTTCTGTCATCTGTTCTCACCACAACTTTGTAAACAACCCCAGATGCCTTTCTTCTTCGTCCCTTTTGTGGTGTCTGTATAATGAGAAAGTGAAATGTGAAATTTCATATTGATGTAAAATGGTTAGGTATGAAATGCATCAGTAAATTTGTTAATTAGTATATATGTGTCAATCTGAAAGTAGAATAAAGTTCCAATTAACTTCAAATATCATTCCACATACCTTGAACAATTTTGTTTGTGAAGCTGATTCAAACCTCCTTGCATAATAACGAGCAAGGTGTGGATCATTGAGTGCATTGTATGGTTCATTTAGATGTGAACGTCCACCAGTGGCCTGCGCCCTAGTTGGTGAGCCAAAGGTTTTACAACATGCGTATGGTGCTGCTCTGCTGACGCGAGAATCTTGAGATGCATGGTGTAATGTAACATTATATTTCTTGAGAGGACGGGCAGGTAACGCATTTGGATTGTGCCATATTGGCTGCGTGGGAGCTGGAAATGAAAGATATGATACATGATTGTGAAAAAAATATGTGAACGTTTATGAGACAAGGTAGTGGATGCTCAATTCAAAAAAATTAAGATTTCTCTTACATAGCTCAATAAAGCTAATATGAAAATTAGTTACTAGGCTATTAATTCAACTGGCAACAAAGTGAAAATGTATAAAAATGATATAGAAATATATAAAAAACCAGAGCAGGGTGAGCAGCTGTTACATTAACAATGATGTGATTGTCATCACTAGTGTCCAAACTTGAGATGCATACATACAAGCCTTTCATCATTTCAAAGTACTTCATACCTGACAATGATCGTGGCTTTTTCTCAGGCGGCTTAGGATCTGTTGCGTATGATTTTGATCTGACCAACGCGGGGTCTTGCAACAAGGTTTTAACACCCAGAGAACTTTGCATTTTTGTGACGTTAATTCTTTAGCATCATTCGAAACAGCGTTCACTCATCACAAGAATATAAATACGCTTCTAAAATCAGGTAAAAATGATCACAATGTGTGTATCCGTTAACACAAATACAGGGCAATATATGACACTGTTTAGATCACACACATCATTCTTTACTACAAATTGCGTGACTCTACTAGATCCCTACTATAACTAATTGTTGCAAATTGAAATGGCACATAAATTCAATGTACTTTTACTGTAATTAAACAATCGTTAATATACTAAAAAACCATAGCACGCTAAACGGTATAGCTACATACGTAAGCCACACAAATTTAAACATAGATTCTCGTAAATATATAAGTAGACATATTATGTTACAAAATATATATTTAACTCCTCGAGAGGATTGTTACTTTTATAAATAACTAAATCTCTACTATCAAAAATTATACGTACCTTTTTTTCTGAAATATATTTTAAGATCTAAATGATTTAGTTTCTAATCTAACGACAAATGAAGCGCTGTGCTGTTAAGATTAACAAAAAGATATATAAATTTTATCCATAATTTTCTTATTAAATATTGCAGCGTCTCTGGTCGTTAGGCAACTGCAAACATTGCAACACGCGGGACATCGCGCGAGGATATTACATAATACATATGCAAGTAGCTGACCGAATGAATGAATGAAACTGGATGGTGTATCGTCGTTTTTTGCATAATGAACATACGCGAAATATGGTTACAACCTTCCGTACTGATTTATATGAAACTAAGTCGTTTAAACAAAATATAAGATACTAAAGGATCATTTATATTTTACAGTTGTAATACTATTTACTAAAAATCTGAGCACACTTTTCCGACAAGAAAGTACAATAATTTAGCATATTTACTGATAAAACGCTTGTTGTCTAGGTTTGTGTCTGCAAAGATATCTCTTGAAACGATCAGTTATTTTGAACGCAAACTACGTGATTTTTCAATTTCCGATAATTTATCTGTCTTATCACACAACTTGTCCTAGGATTATAATATATAAGAATGATATATATAATAATAGATGAATATTATAAATGATAACCATCAACTTTCTTTAAAGACATTTACGACACAGCAGAAAACCTCAAATCGCAATCGTTCAGGCCCAGATCAATGTTATTCAGCGGTACCATACCCACACGAATACTAGGGTCAACAGCAACAATATAGTGCCCATCGTTGTAAGAATCTTCTCGCCTATTGTCTCATAAAGAATATCATCATTCAAGGCGAGATCTCCTTCAACCTGATGATCCGACATCTTGATATTCGCCACGCCATTAGCACCCAATTCATCTAAGGGAAAAATTAACGCAGAATATCATCCGAGAAAATTGACATGGACAAGTGAAAACTGAAACGCAAACATCTGAACGCGTCATTACAAAAAGCCTAGCTATGCGTATGGTTAGTTAGGGTCTGTTTACATGGAGCAAGTTATCCCGGCTAGGCGATGTAAAAAGCGCAACACTTCAAAGACTTAACCTGATTAGTCTTTCATTATATGCAGTTTTCACCTCGCCTAGCCGGGATAACTCGCTCACTTAATCCCAGTAAAAAACCCCTGCAACAATAGAACGAACGAGTTTTGTTTGGTAATCCTGCATGTTAAAACAGAGTTTGCGATCTACGATAAAGTCGACGTCGCCCCTTTGATTTCTACCTAAAAAAAGCGATTAAATGATAAAGCAATATATAAGAAATTCCACCTACAGTCTTCAGCACCAACGTTAACTTGAGACGTCACATTATAGGATTTCTTCTTTGCTCTGATTGTGGCCCACGTCAGACCAGCAAGCTCTTCTTTCGGAATGGGTGCCGTTAGGAGACTGAGAACGATTATCACGAACGCAGTGGCCGCAAAAAGAATCACACCTGTAAAAAAATGATCTCAATTTTGAGTTGTACACAATTGTTGAGCTCTGTGTGTATCTGAGAATGTAAAAACGTAAATAGCGAGAGACAAATTGGCGCCTCATTAAGGGAAGAAAAAATAGATATGAGGTCTCGATCTGAAAAGAAAATATCAAAAGGAAAAGGAAGAAAGTAAAAAAACTGACCAAAGTACATGAAGTTCATGGAAACAAACCCAGGACGATCGTCAACCTCGCCACATTTCGGCGCTTGATAAATATATTCCGTGATGAATCTGATGACACCAAGCACCGTACCAAACACCAAGCCTTTATCAATGAAATATTTCAATGATGATATGACAAAGTTTAATTTCTGCGGTATGCAGTTGATGATGAACGCCGACAATTCAATATTTTAAGCATGCTTCAACTCCTTAAGACTGGTTTGTTATTGTGGATTTCTGCAGTATGCAGTTTTTAACTTGTTGAACCCACGAAAAGAAGAACGTTGAACCTGTACCTCCAAGTCCTCCCCAGCCGTTTGCGCGCGGCCACAATATTCCTATTGAAAAGACCGCCATGATAGGAGATCCCAATAAGGCCTGGATGGTTTGGATATATTTGAAAAGGCGACTGCCACTTCCACCTAACAATTAAAATAATATGTATATCAATTTAGTGGGATAATAGAGATCATATAATTGAAATGAATCTTGTATTTGTCTTGTCTCGACTAAAAACAGTTATGGGTGACTGCAGTGACGAGGCCCAACTTCATTACATCAACCACCTTGACTAAATGGAAACGAGATTTAGGGCTGATGATATGATGGCTGGACGTCTATACAATTCCACGGTTTATGACTGAACTACCCAATGTGTGGGGGACTGGGGGTACGATGTAGATTGTATTCCAGTGCAAGGCTTCAGCAGGTTTCCAACAAATTCTGATCCACAACGAGGTCAAGGGGATTTATGATCTGCCATAGAAACAGGCCTGTTGTTCACTTACTATCGATTAAAGGTAGCCATACGACTCCCAGACCAACCAAAGAGACGACAACGAGACGCCCAACTATAAGTTTTTCTCTTTCACCTGCCTAAGACAAAACAGAACGTTCCGGGTAAATCATTGGCGCATGCCGAATTTGGGGATTATACATAAAGTATTTGGGTATCAAGCCCTTGGAAAAGTCTCGTGTTGTATTTTACCTTGGGTCGTATGTAGTTCCAGATATCCACTGTGAATATTGTACTACAACTGTTGTATACAGACGAGAGAGATGACATTACAGCAGCGATCATCACAGCCATCATCAGGCCAGTTAACCCGGCAGGCAGCAAGTTGAATACGAGTCTTCGGAAGAAAAAATATTGACCTTACACTTTCTGTCTCGAACTTATATTTTGTAACGGATAGCAGCTATCAGAAAGCAATTGGGCTCCCCTCCAGGTCGACAAGAACAGAGTTATAAAAATTCATCTCCTCCAGGAGGAATTTATATGAACTCAAAATTATGTTATTGAGAGAACTCTCTTCTTTTCAATTACATCGAATTTACTGGTTCCGCCACACTTACTTAGGGTAAGCCTCTGTTCGTACAGCCCAGTTCGTTATCACATCTCTCCTTGCAACTTTTGGCGTCCGGACAAGCGATAGTATCGGCATAAAGCACCCGGGAAATCATCCCCGGCATTACCATGATAAACATCGGAATAACTTTGAGAAATCCCGCTAAAATCGTGCCGCCTTTTGCGTGAGCGAGAGATTTTGACGCCAGGGTCCGTTGAACTATGACCTGCATGTTAAGTAAACAAACAATAAATTGGTTTCAAACACTCGCTACCGCTATGGCTAAGCAAGAAGCACTTTACCTGATCCGTACACCAGTACCATATTCCAATGATAGGCAGGGATAGCCAGAGACCCAGCCAGGGATAATCGGGGTCATCTATTGGTCTAAACATGTGATCCCAGTATGGTGTCATATCGTAACAACTCGAGTTATCTGTAATATTACTGATATTTCCAACGAACTGCCTTTGCGACAGGAACTTGTCCAGAGCTTAAACCCCCAATTTCGCGAAACCCTTAAAGAGAAATATAGCAACCGTAAAAGACCTTTATGAAAGACAATGTGTGTATGCATGAAGTATCGACTCTGTTTCGGAGCCAGTACGTCTTCAAAGGCATTGAAAGTAAGATTCATAGTGGAGCTTATGGAGGGAAAAGTATCATACCCATAATTGTAAGAACCACAGCACCAATTAACATGATCGTGCATTGCAAAACGTCCGTATAGGTAACTGCCTCTAAACCGCCTAAAAAAATGAATCGAATGGTGGTTACACCAGGGCCGTAGCTAGACCGAGGGGATATATATTCATGTTTATCTACCACAAGAACAATACGTACAAAAGAAATCAGTCGGGCATTAGATGAATTTATGAATAGCACCCCCCAATTAAGCTTCTAGCTACGGCCCTGGGTTACACCATAGTTAATATACTAAAACATAGAAGCCAGCGCCACAAAGGAAAGACAGTCTTGCAGTTGTTCTGCACGAAAGCGATCTAGTTTTGACAGTAAACTGACCTAGGATGACGTACAGAGCTGTAATGGCCAGGATAATCACAGCAGAGATATAAATATTAGTTCCTGTTGCTTCTTTGAAGTAAAGACTTCCAGCATATATATCAACCTGCATTTGAAGAAAAACTTTATCATCTTCACAATATCTGATCGACTTTACAAAAAAAATTTTTATACACTTACGGATATTTTTGTGAACACATAGCTGATGAGAGCAACAACGGTCATGAATAACTGGATTGCTTTGCTCTTATATCTGTTCTTGAGAAACTCTGGCATCGTAAAAACCTGGAACACACACATGAGAAATGGCCTTACACTCTTGGGTTCTTCTCAAACCATATTGGATGCTCAAAAACACGATGCTACTCACTCCTCCCTTGAGGTAGATTGGAACGAAAACATATCCCAATAACAGGAGAATCCAGGATGCCTAAAAGAACGGGGATCACCAATATCATCAATTAATATACTACAGCATTAAAGTTAGGGCGCTATATCATCATCATCATCCTCATCAATATCATCACGATCATCATCACCATCAATACCATCGCTAACATCATCATCACCATTCATCATCATGATCATCACCAATATCATCACCACCACCACCACCAAAACGCTATAAGAAGCCTTACCATGCAAGCACTTACCTGCCATTCATAAGCTACCACCGCTATACCCGTAGCAGCACCATCACCAGCTATGCCAACGAAATGTGTACCACCAATATTACTGGCGAATAAACTACCACCAACCATCCACCATGCCAAGGAACGACCAGCCAGAAAATATCCTTCGGCAGTTTCTTCTTCATGTCTCCGACTCTTTCGGAACTTCGCCTGAAAAACACCAAAAAACGAGATTAAAGATTGCACGAGAATTGTAACTGAGACATGGTCCTCGTAAGTGGCAATATTTTCGACTACTTCCGCTGTCGTCATGTAACGTTTCCTGAATTCAAACAATAAGACATATTTTTTTCAAGTGGCAGTTGTTAAAAAGCCGCTTAAACTAGGCATGGTGGAAAGTACGGAGTGCGGAGTCGGAGTACGGAGTCTGAATTAGACTCCGTATTTTCCCGCGAACTCGACCATGGTCGAATTAGTCGTTTTCCGGCGAACTCGACCATGGTCGAATTAGTCGTTTTCCGGCGAACTCGACCATGGTCGAATTAGTCGTTTTCCGGCGAACTCGACCATGGTCGAATTAGCCGTTTTCCGACGAACTCGACCATGGTCGAATGCAAAAAAAACGAAAACTTTGTGACGAAAACTTCGATGAACCTTTACTCCGGATTAGCACCAATTAGGCTTTAAGAAACTGACTCTGATCTGCTCGCCGTTGTCGTCTGCCATGCAAGCTAGCTAGATGTTCACAAGCATAATCATGTGTGCTATAAAACCTATCGCTGTCACATAATAAGTGTGATATTTAAGCCACACCATTTGCTTACCACAAGACCAATACATATCGTGAAGACGAAGTAAAATACAATAACCAACCAATCTCCCCAGTGAAATGTGCTCGACATTGTCTCACGGAATCAGTCTGTCGGGAAAAACGATGGAAAAAATGAGAAAAATCGGTTTGTCCAACAAACACTCCGGAACACCTTAACTTATGGGACAGAAGTGGAACACTGCGAAGAGAACAGAAGAGAACCAGATGCATATGTAGAAGACATCATATGTTAGCAGCAATCTGTTTGACCTGATTAGTTGACGAAGTCATCTTAGCTGGAATGTGATGACAGTTCTTGCTAATTCTTTACAAACCACACCGCACGAACCTTCATCGTTTTTCCTTTTTAACCGTACGTTATAGCATGTATAATTTGTATTTGAAAATTGGCACGTGCGGGAACTCGAGTCTAAACTACGAGGAATACCTAATACGGGGTACTGTTTCAACGTAAGCCTGGGACCTTTACCCTTTATACTATATATGATATACCTGTAACATGCAGTTTGATTCAATACTGCCTTTTGTTGACCTCGTTTTTAGTATTGTTATAGTTAACAATACTTTTCTTCCTTCAAACCTAACTTAGATACAAACAATTGGCTTACAAAACATGTCTGATGTCGCCGGTAAGCCGAACTGCATACAACACGATAGCCTCTATAAAGAAGCGTGTTTCAGACAGACGTCATGCACAGTTCCTAAGTAGCGATTTAAAGTAGCGAGAAAATATCCAGTATCTGAAGTTCAAATGATTTCTTTTTGAACTGCTTCGAGACATGAGAAGCACATTGGAATTTGGAAATAGGGTCACATGAAACCAGTCTTGCAGCAGTTAGCTATCATATTCAGCGCGTGGAATATGTGAAGACGTCCAGTTGTTAGAGATTAACAACCGTTGTCACAATGTATTTAATTAACTGCTCTTATTGTGAAAGATTTTTATAGCCGGAACACTTAACGAACTCCATTCCAACGAAGTTAAAAAAACAGGACTTCATGCCCTGGTTTTTCCAAATGCCAAACTGACGCCAAGTGGGTAGTGGGAAAAAGCCAATCAGAAATGCGCAAGTGTCTTGTGTATAGGATTTCTACACAACGTTTACTCTGCAAATTCAACGCTAAACAGATCTATAACGAGGTCTACCAAGTATCTTTGTGAACACGTTCGTTAATAACTCGCGATATGAGCGTATGTTATCATTTTTTATGCCATACAAACGAGTTCAAGCTAAGCAAGGTCTAGCAGACGCTGGCTGGATCTTGGCAATATAGTTCATGACGATTATTACATAAAAAATGTCGTTGTACAATAATACAATTCCATGCAGTATTAAGCAAAATCCCTACATGTACTTACACAACTTTGAAACATAACATATAAAGACGATTTCTAAATCATAAAGATCGCTGTGAAGCATCAAAGTTAGACGCATTTGAAGCTCCATGGGTATTTGACTAATTTGAGTTACAATTGAGTATAAATTCAACACCCTGACTGTTTTACATGTTAGGAGTTTGGTCAGACTGCTGTGCTTACCAATCTGCGATTTCTGTTGAACCTGGCGTAAATAACTTCCTTGGGATAAATAGCTTTGGCGACGCTGAGAGTCGAAAGTCAGCTACCTATGTCAATACTCATCCACAGAGAAAAGAATTATTATAGTAGGTGACACTCAGCGCGGATCAAGTTACGAAACAAAAAGCCTTGCGCAAATATTATTAACCAAGTTTGCGCGGGTGGTTTACTGCTTGTGGGGCAATAGAATTGTAATTATAACAACCAGCAAATTTATAGCTCTGGGAAATAATCTAAGAATATTAGGCGGATATAGTCAGGAAGATGTATATGTACATGGTGCAGACACAAAAAATAAAGTGTCTGTAATATCAATAATATGGCCGTATTGTACTTGGAAATTATTATTCGCCGTAAAAACAGAATTATAATCATGTAGATATACTATTTAGGCGACGATTTTTTTCTAGTCAATTATTAGTTAGAATTAAAAATACTAATCCCCGGCTTATCAGAGGCTCATAACACTCTCTTGTAATCTATCCGGTTCAGCCTCAGTAAGACTGTTCTCTATTGTTCATTTGTAAGTTGTGTTTTCGTATAATCTTTGGCGAGTCACCTTAACATGAAAACGTGTTTGGCGTTGGTCTTGCCCAGCGGCTCACCACCAAACCCCAGCAGGGGGGGGCGTCCTCATAATTTCCAAAGTACTTTCAATTCATTGGGTAATTGCTACATTTCAGAACGCGAATGTAACAAATTGCGATCGCATGTAAACAAATCATTCATACAAAATATTACTTGGATATTGTACTGTGTATATTATGTAAATTTGCGCTTGGAAAATGGAAACATGTTCGCATATCCGTGGTTTGGAAAGTGTTAAGAATGAGGCGATGTTGACGCCGCGAATGTGGTCCTGCGTGGACTGTGGGACAACAGAGTCCGTCTGGGTGCGTCCGATATTTTTTCTGTTTTTTATATGGCTGGTAATCACGGGAGAATTGATGTTAGAAATGTGTTAAAATTATGAAAATCCACTGTTAAGATATGTATTTTAACAGCAAGGTTTGGAAATTTGACCTCACGACCCCTGTATTCAGACGTCATAATATTTACTTCCCCAATACCGCACGTGGAGTCAATTATATTACGTAACGTTTTACAACAAACAATAGCAATATCCCCTGTAAATAACTTTCTTTTTCTTGTTTAACAAAGTTACACATGGGTCCATTATTTTTATGTATGAATGTACAAAATTTCCTCTAAGATTTATTCTGCCTTCCGGAATATATTGTACAAATCACACTCATTGTGAAAAACGTCTTTTGCTGGAAATAGGTTGGGATAGATTGGGTAGCCAATTATCCTCTAAAATTGTATATAAGTCTATTTGTATATGTTTATTGTTTAGGCTTGTTTGCAATGCAACAATATAGCATGTGGAAGGTATAATTCCATTTTTACAACATTATACATCAAGTGACATTAACAATTATTTAATTAATTGATTGCTCAATTATATTCAATAAGGCAATCATAGCATTTAATATTCTCCAACTCTAGGTTTATTGAGGAACATGGTCTTAAACATTTTAATGATAAAGGAGTGAGTAAATAAAAAGTATAAAGCTATATGCATATGTTACACATATCATTATATTATACTTGAATTGAATATACTATACTTGACTAGCAATTAATTTCATAGATATCTTTTGCAACTGATTGAATGTTTTTACTCCTATATATAGCATCCACTGGCTTTGGAAGTTAACAAAAAATACTTGTTTTGGTATGCTATATAAAAAGCCTTCTTTTGCTTTAGTCATATCTTGCTATCTCCTGCCTAAAGTCAATTATTTTACTGTTAGAAACTATCCTACAGCAAGATCTTATACATGTCTGTTTCAGCTATATATGTGATAGTTATGTTTTCAATGACAATTGCTATGGTGAAATAGCTCTACTACGAGAGACCTTGAAAGAGATAGAAACACAAGTATTTAATGAAAGTCTAACAAGGAGTGGTTGTGTTATTCGTGGACCAAGCACACTTAGGATACATGATGAAACTAAGTAAGGGACATGTAATACTACTATTGTCATTAAAAAATAAAGAGTTATAACTAAGAATATGTGTATTAAAGTTTCGTAATCCTTTGATTTTGAAAGAAGTGAAAAAGAACATGCAAAAATGGAAGATAAACAATACACTGCTGTTTGTCATTGGAGGTGACCAACATTTACATTATTTTTCTGTATTTTATTAACCTAAAATGCTGGCAGACAAAGTAAAGCATCAGTTCTTCATGAACTTCTACTATTAACGTTAGTCCTCCTGTTTCCAGACTCAGTTTACTGTCGAAGGTTTTCAGTGCACTTGTTAAACACAGTAAAGAAGAAAAGTTGAAAGTTCAGGTTAATAGAATTGATTTCAAGTTGTTATACGATTGTTTTCACCATGTCTGTAGCAACTATAATGTTCCATAATTTCCATATTTAGTCGGAGGAAAAACAAACTGAAGAGAAGAAGGAAGGTAATTTGGGAAATAAAAGTGAATTTCTGCATTTTAAAGAATAGACCTACGTTGGACAAGCGCTCACAGTCAGAGTATTATGTTTTTAAAAGTGTTATGTTTTTAAACAGAACCTCCCAAAAAAAGGCGTAAAGTTATAATCCCGGGCGTGACGGGATTACGCAATCTTGGCAACACGTGTTACATGAATTCGGTGTTACAAGTTTTAAGGTAAACGAGGTATTGAATACGGGACAAAAGTAGTCCAATGACAATGCTGTCTATAACGAATGATCTCCCTAAGGAATATCCTAGTACAAGGAAACTGATAACTAGGATAGAGAGGTTGATTTCTACCTGGTAATATCTCCTTGGGCTTCACAAGAAATTTTCATTGCAACTTGCAGCGCGATTACGTACGAATTTCAAAGGGTCGTGTTATGCAATACATGCTATACTCAGAACGGAACGATAAATACCATCTCTTCTACAAAAGTGACGAACATGAACGAGAATGATAATAATGGTTTAATACTGTCGTAGGAACGGCATTGCAAGGTGCAGCTAAAATTACCTCGTATAAGAGTGAGTCTTTGGACTTTACACTTTTCTTTTCATTTTTAGCCATTTGCAATTCTTCCGTCATTGCTTTCTCCTACTGCATGCCATGAAGTCGCCACCTGATCCACCGTGTTTGACCTCCACCCCCAAGAACCGTCGTTCAATCAGCGCCATCTACACAAGACAGACAACAGTCGAGTGTTATGAGGTTGAAAATTGAAATTTAACTGCATTGTTGTTAGGTTGACAGTGCCTCTAGGGGAAATTGTTTTCAAATGACAGAACTACCCAATTTCAATGAATTTGCCGGGTTATGTTAGGTTCGCACCTGTATATATAACAACAGCAACTTATACTAAGTAATGGACGGGTTCCTCTTCTGTATAACAGTGCCCAGTGGTAATTGCTTGTTTTCGTATGCTATATGCTATCTTACTCTATATCTGCAAAGAAATCAGCCCCCGATCGGTGATATGTTTTGCTTTGTGTCCACTCAGATATACATTCATGATATGGCATGACATACATGCCGACAAAGGTTGACATCAAAAGCCGAAATTGGTGCGGTAAATCGCGTACCAATAGACTAGGTTTTTATACCCGGACAACGGGCAGGTTCCCACCGATTATGCATTGAACCAATAGGATACGATGCCTTTATTTTAGCACGTTTCGATGCCGTTACGCAAAGAACAGTCTTGGCCCACAAAAAAGAAAACGCACATCAACTCGTTATTGGAGACGAAGATTGATGACAATTCAAACGAAGTCTCAGCTAATCACAGTTCACTGAATGAGTCCAGTGATAGCGGTGAACAGAATAAGAAAGTGTAAATATTTCAAAGTTTATCTGGGCATACTTTGAAGTTTTGTTACTTTTCCCACCATTTCCCACAGACTATCTTACGACTTTATAAAGTTGGTCATATTCTAGCGATTATTTTTCTGTGCAAGCCCCAAAAGTTGAGATGTTGTAACTTTGAAATACCTGCATGCAAGCATTTTATCAATTCTGTTTGTAGGTTTTTCAGTGACGAACTTCACGCGTTATTTAGAGTTATGTGGTCAGGCAAATGGGTATGTTTATTCCCAGTATAGCGGAATTATCTCACTCGGGTAATAGGCCAACTATACTCGTTCTTAGTATTGAATTACTGATCAACAAACAAATCATGATACCCTCAATGTTATTTCAGGCGATAGTGACACCATTAGCTGTCCTTCATGCTGTATGGAAATTAATTCCTTCATTCTTGGGTTATTCGCAGCATGATGCTCAGGAATTCCTGTGGTAAGCCCAGTTGTTTTACGGTAGTTGGTAGAGCAAAGATACTAGCCAAGATCATGACAACAGTATCTCGTACTTTTGTTGTAAAGATGTACATCAGCCACCATATCACCTCAGCAATGAGCTCTAAAAGTAAACATGATAAATGTTGCAGAGATAACTGTTCATTAAATTGGAACGCTATGATTAGGCAAAGCTTAACCAAAAGACATCTAGTTAACAGTCTTTTAGTCCACTATTTTCTGCCTAATTCTGCTCTGATTATGTCTGCTTTAGCGAGGTTCTGGAACGGTTACAGTCCGAGTTAGAGGGAGATTATGAAGTAAACTTTCAAAGCCCGATAACTGATGACGTAATTCATCCGAAAGATATCTTACCCAATGTTTTTGAGGGAAAACTTGTTAGTGAGGTATATCTGGAATCACCTTCCTATATACGAGAGTGTTTCTATACTCTCTTTCCCAACGAACTATTCACATTGTGAGAACGATTCTGTTTGCTTTAACAGGTAATGTGTCATAACTGTCATAATGTGTCGAAATGTTGTGAACAATTTTGGGATTTATCCCTAGAGTTTCCTAATAGGTAAGAGGAATCCCCCTGATCCCAAATCATTCCTCATAGCTCCAAGCAAAATAGAATAATGCTTCATTCTGCATGGCCTCCCTTCTTCATTCCTATTCAACTAACGATAAAAACGAGGCTTCAATCAAAACAAAATTCCTCTCTCAAGGTATCAAGTTCAGCCAAGATCTTCCAGGGGCCGCGTTACTGCAAGAAGACCCTCAATGGATTCTTGTCATTTAACAGGTTCAAAATAAAGATTCGTGCGTCGCTTTTCAATGAAATAAGACATGAGATATACTATATTCACCCTGCATATACACTTCGTGCACTCATTCCGACTTTCTGTTGTCAGAATTGTTATCAAAATTTACTCAACTTGAGATCTTAGAAGGGAAAACGTACAGATGTGAAAAATGTTTGGGTAGGTTTATAATTCGCCGATTATTGCTTCATATAAAGTGAAAATTTTGGGTAATAAGTAGCATTGGGTACCAAAGAACGGGAAAAAGAGTTCCACGTTTTGTTGAAGAATAAAGAAGTTTGTATCGTTTCAAATGTACCCAACCAGTCTCATTCCTTTCTGTTAGTGTCTTCACCTGACTCGTTGCAATTCGCTCAAAAACAACTTCAAATAGCTGAACTACCCGAGGTATGTTTACTATATCTTAATGACAATAGCATCAAACGTTTAAGCATTTCATTTGAAAAAAAAGACAATTAACTTAAAATTAATATTATCATCCTGTTTCATTTCAGATTCTTAGACTGCATTTAAAAAGATTCCGGTAATGATTGATACCTGTGCATACGATTATACTCGTGTCTTTTCTTCTGAATAAAAAATCAATTCCTCTTTTTGTTTGTTATTGTAGTTGGTATTGCCAAACACGGGGGAAAATTGTTTCCCATGTGCAATTTGACATGAAGCTAGACATGAAACCATATTGTCACGAGCTTTATTTTGAATCGTATACAGACGAAGATTTTGTATATAAATTATCTGGTGTTATTATTCACATGGGCACTGGGTAGGTGGACTGTTCGGATGAAGCTATAGTTACCTTCTTTAACTCCATATAACATCAACACCTTTTTGGATTTCAAATTAGTTCTCAGGTTCAGGTAAGATTAGATATATGGCCAACTTGCTTTTGAACTATCTTTGTTTTAATCTCGTTTGCTATATAGATTTGACGCAGGACATTACGTAGCATATTGTTGGAATGAACAAGCTGGTTAGCGTCAACCTACAAATATACATCTATATATATCTTGTACCTACCGAAACTGATAATTTCTCTCAACTATAACTTTTCATTATATTCAGGTAGCTGGGTATATTACAACGACGCTCGTGTTTCATTGTGTTCTGAGAACGAAGTACTAAAATCTCAAGCTTACATTCTTTTGTATACGAGATGCAATGGACGCTCTAATCTTTATGACAACTTAACTCTACCTAAAAGCCCTTGAACTATTGTGTGTTGGTTTGTGTGTCTTATCTTAAACATAGAATTTATGTTTGATATTCAAATATGGTATCTATTTTTGGAATAAAATTCTTCAAAAAAACGTATGCGTATCATTATTTGACATTTATAAGGACCGTACTTTACTAAAGCCAAAATGGCGACAATTGATGTTCACAATCCTGCATGAACAGCTCGTTCGTAAACTTTTTTCCGTAATTCTAGTTCTTCTGTTGTTGGTGAGGGTGACCCCGAGCAGCAATACTACATGCACCCTAACTGATTCATTCCAAATGCTTAAAGCCTGCGAAAATGCCTGTGAAAAGGCAATTAAATTAGGGAGCAAAGTTTTATAAAAATCAGCAGAGGAAAAACAAACTGAGAAAAAGACACGACTAATCAAAACCAAATGAAACATTAGGTTACTTCTAGTTATTTCAACGAAGTCTTATAAAAAATATCTTGGAGAAGGATGTCTTTCCAGTGATTCATAAAGAATGCATGGAACCCCTAATGTCAAGACCACCAAAGGCTGGATAGTTTCTGCGCCTTTAGGGAACCCAGGTATATAAAACATCTCGCATTTGTTTCCAATGATTCAGAAGAAAATATGGAACCTCTTACGACGAGACCAAAGGCTGGATAGTTTCTGCGTCTTTAGGAAACTCAGGTATATAAAACATCTTGCATGTGTTTCCAATGATTCAGAAGAAAATATGGAACCTCTTACGACGAGACCAAAGGCTGAATGGTCTCCGCGTCTTTAGGAAACTCTGGTATATAAAACATCTTAGCAGTGATTCAGAAGAAAACATGAAACTTCTTATTTTAAGACCAATAGCTCCGGGAAAAAAGTTAATTCCTTTGAATGCTTAGAGACAAAAGGAAACATTCCTGTCTGTGCTGGTCCAAAGGGATTATTTTCGTAAGTGAAAATTGACATTAAAAAATTCTCTCCACTCAGCTGCGCAATTATCGCCAGGAACAGACCAGACAGGAATGTTCTTTGTGTCAGAAAGCAAAGAAACAAACTTTGGGTATTTCGTGGAAACATTCTTCTTTTATAAACTGTACATGACAGCTGTCGAATCGAAGAGAAAAGCTCGTTACCAGTTCAAATTGGCGCGTTAAAGGTGCACTGAGAAAGCACTAAGATAGATCCTGCCCGTGACAACGAAATTTCTCTGTCGTTGAAAAAACGTAAAGCATTCAAGCAGATTTTTTTTGGCCGGACATCACGATAAGTTTTGGCTAAATAAGCATGGAGCACTACATAGCCGGTATCAAAAGGTCGTGCTCCTGAACTCAGAAAGAATTTCAGGAACTCTCACACTTGGCACATCTGGTGAAATATGTCCTTAAATCGTCATGTGCTAAGCTTATCATGTGTCATATCAAGATGATCATGCATAGTTAGAAATATTTTGGAAAACATGCCTAGTCTTGTATCGAAACTAATAGTATATATCATTAGCATCTGGAACTCATTATGACATTTTAAAATGTCATTTAGCGTAAGGTAAATTCCACTGAATAGTCTTCCAGAGAGTCTGGATAAATACTGTGTTTTGCCTTCGTTGAAAATAAACTGGAAAATATATTTTTGGCAAATATTCAAGAGAACTAAAACAGTGGTTAATACCGAGTTAATTGATCGTGATGCTCGCCGAAAAACATTTATGAACTTGGGATTTACCAACGCAAGTCTCTAAATGTGAATGCTCAGGAACTTTGACAGCGTAACCGGGCGTAACAGACAGATAAAGCTGTTGTCCGTTTAACTTTATTCATCACGAGCCTTGAGTCCACAATAAGTTGTAAAAGAAGCGAGGCAGCCTGGGTCTGCCAGACAAGAAATACACTACAAACATCCCTTGTCGAAAGAAGTGAAAAACTTTGAGGTCTTGAAACCAGTTACACGATACATGCAGATATCGCACAGCCACGACATCAAGTCTGAATTATGTTGCCTTTACAAGCACACCAACGAGTACATTTTGTTCAATTCTATATTTTTATCATAATCTTAAGTGTGAATTATACTTCAAGCAGTTAAACCTGATGTTGTGGTGATGTGAATCTCGGTATCGTGAAACTAGGGATTCAAACTTCTCACGTTCTTGTGCAGATGCATCGTCTCATAAAGCGTGTCTTTCAGCCATCCTGCGCGCCATCCCCGAGTGCGGGTCTTCGTGAGCGTGATATATGTTTCAAACACACGTGTTATATCAATTTATAAGCGTGTTATACATACGCCTTCCACCCTCTCAAATGCTATTCAATCTTCATGACTCACGGGTATTGTCACTATATCAATTCAAGTATGTACATATTTTTGCGCAGTCACAATTGATATCATTAATTAGCATTAATTGCGAAACCATACATTCGAAGCCGGGATCTGTTTTCAATTCAGCGTGCGCCATAATTTGTTAATTTCGTAGGACTGTTATTAGCAATAGGGTTATTTTGCATGGTAATTAATGAATCCTTTAAAACTGATGGAATTTGGGCTAGCAGTACAGGTCACAGTATCGAGATCAGATGTTACGAGCGGTCACTGTACATCAATTTGCTCTTACGTTATAACATTTGACATTTCATTCGTTCTGACTCAGCTGTTTTGTTTTTTAAACCTACATGGAAGCTCGCTTTATATATACACGAGTCAGGTCTGATGCATGTTTATATTCAACATCACTCCTAAGACTGTTTAATCATATCTTAATTAATCTGATAATGATATCAAGCCAACGCTAATCTATTAGCCCAAGTCAACACTTCACACATCAAGGGTTCTAATCCCTGCCAGCCTGCTTTAACGCGTTCCAAACTCTCAACGGTGCGCTTTTATGAGTTCATTGTTTACAATAAATGCGCCGAGGTGACCACTTCAAAGAGGTCAGTTTTTAAAAGCGAGAATCATGTCTAGACTTGGCCACATTAAATTGTCAGTGATAAAGAGGTCTCGCTATTCGTCAAAACTCGCGATTGTCGTATTTCTTGAAGCTTGAACGGTTTGCTAACTTTAAAGATAGTAGTGCGCTGTCAAAGGTCACGCTTTGGTCGCTGGATATGAATCTATGTGTAGCACCGTGTATTCTTAACCCCGTCAAGGCTATCCCCTGACCAGGCTGTTAATAGATTTTGAATACGAGATGGTCAAGTTCAGTTTATACTGACGAAAAAACTCAACTGTCTTGCAATTCACTTTTCACTAAATGGTTCCGCATACCACGATTAGGCAATACCATTTAAACAACACAAACATTGGCCAAGTTTTTGCAATACCACCTGGTGCATCGTATCTAAATTTAGTGAACTTGGCCAGAGCGTGACTCAAAAGTTTGCATGCAAGTGCAAAGAATAACATCCGAGTCCTGTTGAATGTTTGATAACTTTACCTCGCAGAGCAAACCGCGTCCTTTCTTCTTTGTTTCATGTTTGCAAAATGTCTCAAGCACTCTCAGCACGCTCTTGTGTGTTTTTGCACGAATCGTTTCTGCAAGGACAGCAAATATTAAATTAACAATTTGCCGGTCAATTTACTTGCCATTGCACGAGCTGAAAGCCGGCCGAGGCACAGTTGATCATGCAACCCACATGCATGGCAAAAGTTTAGTTGGGAGGAGACTGATTTGGACTTACATCCCGATGATCAGTTTGGTCATAACCCTCCCCGGGTCTCCCTTCCGAAGTATATAGCTGGTGTATTTCATTTCATATCCACGAAGTATCAGATTGGGGTCAAAGATAAATTAGTTAATGGTAATAGTTAATCCAGGGTTTCGAAACAGAAAGTTGATTAAACTCGATTAAAAACCACTTGTAGTGAGAGCGGGGAGCGCGTTCACCCCTCGCTGAGGGTGGAAATTCCTTGGCTCAGTACGAACACGTTCAGGCACAAGTGTTTTGCGATAAAGCAAAGCGAACTGTTTTTAAAAATAGTGCATACCGGATATTACCGGTTGTTTTTCTAGATGTATTTGCAATCTATAATCAACATGTTAGGTGTATCCATCAGCAAACGCGGCAGGCTGTTTTGTTTGAGAGTGGAAAGTTTTGTTCGAGAAAGGAAAACGCAGAACACACCCGTCCGAGTAAACCCACGAATATATCGTCCAGAAACTGGTTTAATAGAGCTCTGCTTCCAGTTTCTGAGCTATAAATGACATATCTCACGCAAGTCTGAGCACGGGTCTGAGCAAACCTGATCCAGAAGCCTTGAGGGGGAAACACCTCACAAAAACTGCTATGGTAAATGAAAGCAGCTATAAATAAAACTAAGTGACAAACTCTACTCCACCAAAAGGTTTACAAATACACACTAGCAGTAATCCACCACACATCTTCTCTGTTTCATACGGAAAATTTTCGTTTCAACACAACAATGTTTCACCGCCAAGTTCGTACAAGGGCAGGCACAAATAGGGGAGAGATTTTCAAGAAAACACCTTTCGGCAAATTCGGAAAATTGGTTTGATTATTAAATTAGCTCAATGATCAATTGCAGCTTGCAAAGCACATCATGAATAATACTATGCTCGCTGTTTTTCGCACAAACCTGACCGGACATGTTCGGCCTCACAATACAAGGTGTTGAAAAAGCAAAAACGCTTTCCGATCGAAAGCGTAGGAGTTAGTTGAGTTATAAACGAGACGTGGAGTGCGCTTGAAAAATGCCGTCGGGCACAATGACATCAGGGTTAATAACTTCATAACTTGCGCGTATTTTTTCATTCTCAGGAATTTACGGACAAATGGCCACGTGATTATATAGCAATGCCTCTAACAAATGAATTATTTATTACACACCCTTCTTTACACAAGCTAGTATTAGTTGCAACATGCAGGCTTTCGAGTTAATCACGGTATTAGTCTATATAAATAATACCTCAATTGCACAAGACTATATTATATACTATCAATACATACAAAAAAGCTTTCGCAATGAACCCGATTCAAGTCACATATCATGTGCCGCTAGTTTTCTCCATGGCATGGGGTATTCCATTACAATATTTACCAAACATTCCCAGAACTTGGCGAGTGAAATGATTACTGCGAATACAATGAACTAAAACAAGCTGCAAAGCTGGCCTTGTTTAAGCATGTTAAAACCTGCAGTGCTTGTAAATATCAAACCCGATTAAAATTCGCGTCGTTTACCATTGTTCTTGCAATATTGCCACCCAGGGGTTAATATAAATATTCTTATGAAATAAATATAAATATATATCGTTGCCAAAAAATGGACTCTGAGCAATAATCGGTGCCAAATCGGTGCATTTTGCCAAACTGCCAATCCTATATGCGTTCTACTCTGAAACTGAGGCTGGGTGCTCGGACTTTTGCGGAAGCCGTGTTTAAGCCTTAAGTTGGTAAAGCAATAAATCGCGTGGGGTTAAAATGCGGAGTTTAGGATTTGCTTTTTCACGACATCTGCATGTAAAAAATTTACGCTGTCGTGAAGATTAGAAAGAGAAAGTGTTCTTGATATATTAGAAATGTGTTGTATCATGATCACTTTATATTAAAAAGAAAAATATGAAGGTATTGCATCAGAAGTTAAGCAAAAATCTCAGCAAGAAAGATGGACTTTGTTGTTTGTGTCGACTGCATGCACATAAAGGGATGAACTCCCCTGATGCTGATAGATAAGTTCTGCAGAGGGTAGAATGAGACATCTTGCATGCTTCGACCGCGATGTCTAAAATTCGCACACTAGTTAAAATATAATTGCAAAAATTATATCGTTACTTTAGTGGCGCGCTGCCAACATGAAAATTGCCATTAGATGTATCGTATCAGTTGCACAAGATATTACGAAATACATCAGGCTCTCATGCAAGCAATTTGATTGTAATTCAGTATTTCCGGGAGGAAAACGATAACGAACAAGCATTGAACACCATTGACAAGTAAACCTAAATTCACCATCTTGGCATCTGCAAAAGGCCTAATGAATAATCGTATCTTTTTCTCGTCCAAAAGCCAAAGTTTGCAAAAGTTTGCTTTAAGGTTTGTAAAACATTATAGAGAATTGTCTCCACTAACCGAGTTTTATTCCCTCGCGTCTACATACAGATGGCCAAGTAAGTGGAAACGCATGCGTGTATTGCCACAGTCAAACATTTGCATATTACAGCGCGACACAGCCCGAAAAATAAATGACAAACGTTTTCTCAAAGAATGTGTTTGAATTAATCATTCGGAACATTTGGGAGCTCTCAAAGCTTCGCCCAAAACCTCGAAGTGTCTTCAATTCGTTCTCAAGTGGTTCAGTCATCGACATAAACACAAACATAGGGAACCTCAAGTTTCAAATAGCAAACAGCCTCGGTATAACACCTAATCAGGCAAAACAAGTCTTTCGCAACACAGCCACGGACCAGCGTTACACTCTCTTTCTGCGGTATCAAATCACTATATTCGTATGTACAATGGCATAAATCCACAAGCCAGCTCTTAAATCGTGCTTCAGAGACTTGCTAACAAAGTTGACAACTCGTTCATTATTATTTATGATATTATGAAAATAGACCGTTTAAAAACACAGACATGAGTATGCTGCATGAAGACCTGTTAGGTCAGTCCCAACTTCGAATGAATTGCCAATATATATATAGACAATCGCTTCAACTTCAAAGTGCTTCTGTAAGTAATTCAGGCAAAAAGCACAGCAAATTATACCAAGTAAAGTAACTTGCTGTGGAGTAGGCTGAAAAATAACTAATTCATTAAAGGTTTCTACGGTAACTGTGATTCTTAAGCTGCGGAACAAACATCTGAAGACAGGCTGCCAAAATTATTACCTCGCGGTATATCCGTAACATGACCCCTGGCATCACATGACAACAACAAAATATATATCGCAATCTCATATATCAACCCGTCTAGTCTTATACCAGTGCGTGGTACACTGCGTTACACAGTCTAACATGACGGTCGCTGAGAGTGGCTGCGAAACTAACCGTAATATGGAGGATAGGAACTCGCCTGGTCCTTCCGAAGATGGCGTCACAGGGACACCGAACGAAGCAGCCTTACGCGCGCTCATGAAGCGAACTGGCTGCCCAATAAGACAGTCAAATGGACAGCGACGTTTTGGACCGCCGCCGGATTGGAGTGGAGAAATGCCACCACGAGGTATTACTGTATTATGATATTTTAGTCGCATTCAACAACACATACTTTATGGACAAGCGCGTTTGTAAAATTCACGAAATATCGTTCAAGAGCTTTCAGTATCAGAAAATGAAACAAATGTATAGTTCGTACTAGAGTTACGTAATTTGCTGTTGGTTCATGTAATGTTGAATTTATCTTACCCAACAGTGCAATAACTTTGAGCTTCTATACACTTCCCATGTGTATCGAAAAGCCATTATATGCTCAAGATATCATTCGAGTATAGTCGTGATTCAAACGAGAGCAGATTTATTCAGAAAGATTCATGATTATTTGTGTTATTCGACTTTGCCTAGTTTTGCACAGGATTTGTCATAGTTTTAGGTACATCTCTTGTGGTATATTAAACGCAAGCGAAACGTGGCTTCTGAAAGCCACACATGCATACATTGCGACGATTGTTTTGAAATTTGACGCAAAGTCGTCGGTATCTCCAGTACCAGTTGATACAGGATTTTCTACCAATACATTTCGTAACTTTAGGCTGTGAAGTCTTCGTTGGTAAAATCCCAAGGGATGTCTACGAAGACGAATTGGTTCCAATCTTCGAAACGGTGGGCAAAATCTACGAAATTCGTCTAATGATGGACTTCGATGGACGAAATCGCGGATATGCATTTGTTGTGTATACACAGAAGAAGGACGCCCAAGATTGCATCAAGAAGTTGAATAACTACGAAATAAGAAGAGGGAAGATGCTTGGAGTTTGCTCCAGTGTCGATAATTGCAGATTGTTCGTAGGTGGGATCCCGAAGAAAGTAAAAAAAAATGAAATTATGGAAGAAATATCCAAGGTATGCCATTAGTAATTAATATAACAGAACTATGTATGAATTGAATGGTCGAGAATTAAATTCTTGGCCAATGTTCAGAGCCCTGTGTTTTGTCTCTAGATCAAAAACACAAAGAACTCGGTGTGATTTAACACAATAAGGATGAAAACCCTTCAAGCTCGCTTGAAGTAGAACAATCCAAATTATCTATATAGACGTTTAGGTCCGATTATATTTTGCATTAGTGATACTTTGTTTACATTCTTTGACTTCTTGGGGGAGTATTCTGCAACTGACTGACTAATCGACGTTCAGTGTTCTCAGGATTAGTTTTGTTCAATAGTTTTTACTCGATATATCGTATAGCGGTTATATATATCAAGCCTGCATGAACAAGCCAATATTTAAATCAATTTTTATCCGTAGGTGACGGAAAATGTGGTTGACGTCATAGTCTACCCTTCCGCATCGGACAAAACGAAAAATCGTGGTTTTGCTTTTGTGGAGTACGAGAGTCATCGCGCTGCTGCGATGGCCAGGAGAAAGCTGATGACAGGGAGGGTACAACTATGGGGCCACCCGATCGCTGTTGACTGGGCGGAACCTGAGGCAGAAGTGGATGAGGATATCATGTCTCAGGTAGGAGGGGCGACCCTTTAAAAGGGGGGTTCCCACGTGTAAGGTATATCATGCGAGTTGTCACCCACCACCCGATAACTTCGTGAAATACATTTAAATCTAAGATACAAATGTGATACATTTTCTTGCAGGCGTCTGTGTGGGCAGGTTATTGACTGTCTTATTGTGAATATGCAAGCGCTAAATCAAGTTTGCAAAATTAATATTACAAAGTAAACAGAAATATCTATCCATTCCCGAAAATACTGTAATTTTGATAAAGAATTTGGCGGTTCGCGTATATAAAATGTGTGAACTCTACGGTTACTCTTGAAGCAAATTAATGAAACTATAAGGGCTTGGCTAAAATACTGATATTTCTATTCAAATACATGCACGGCGTAAGCTGGTTAGCTCTTGTAATTTCCTCATGTAAGCTTGCCAATGTCAACAAAGGCCGTGAAATCTCTATGATCACAAATCCCTCTGCACAAATTCAATAGGTTTATAACTAATAATATGCATTGGAGTTGACCAAAATAACTTAATCTCGTCGTTTTCGGCGCTTTCCTGTAAAAATGGATTTGATATCAACCAAAAAGATGACATTACCTACACGTCATGACAATATCATTTTTTTTCAACTCATTTTCTTATCATCAATCGTAGGAAATCGTCGCCTTATTTTATTTCGTATCAAATTACACAGGACAAATAATCCGTAAAAGCTTCGCTAAGAGGTGCTCTTAATTCGTACAAGCTGGGTTTGAGCAAAATTTTTTTAAATTCCCACCGCTTTGTACGGCTTTAATCCATCGAAATGGAGTTCACATCGGAATTCGTATAGGGAAAAAACTGGAAAAACTTAAATATATATTTAATTTCAATGGGAAAATATTGATTAACGTTGACTGTAGTTAAAACAATAGTGATTGCTTGCATGTGTATATTGGTTTGAAACGTGGCAAATCATAGCTATGTAGTGATAAATTATTTTAAATGAAGTACTTCTAAGGATGTCAACATTTGCCTTGCCCCCGCGGTTCTAGATTGCGAACACATCCGGCGTCCTAGTAGGGAGTTATTTATGTTTTAACTTTTAAAATATCTTCTGGTCATGGGTCCTAGCTACTGTCAATACTTTTTCATAAAGAATTATCACCCGTATTCAAAATTCTATTTCAACATTATCAAATCATATCTTGTATAAATTTGAATTACTGTTCTACCAACAATTAAACCATTTCAGAGCTGCGTTTGTTTTGAAATTTCATTTGGTAGATTTCATTCTAAACGAAATCATAGCTAGAGAAAGTAGACTTAATGATTTCTCAACGCCAAAAACCGGGACAATTTCCAACACTTAAGAATTCCGGATGTATAATTTACTGCTGAGGCAAGCAATTTGCCATCGATTTGTCAATGTTTATATTGTAGCGATGTACATTCTTGGCGCTGCATAGGGATAAGGCTGGATGAGGAAGTAAAATTTCCGATTTCAGAATTCCTTTATGGACAAAAAAGCATGTAAACAAGTGCGCATTGCGCTCAAACAATTAACGCATTTTTCGCATAAATTGCGCGTTATAGTATACTAATATTGCACAACGTGTGTATTGGGAATATACAAAGGCATAACTGGAATACTTCAACATGAGAATTTCAACGATTTTTCTAAATTCTTACTCAATACTAAATATCAAAATCTACCAAATATATGTATATATATAAGCAAGAAATAACATAGAGCATCTCTGTAACGATATATCCAAGCATCGTAAACTACTTGGACATAAATGACCTTTGTTTCATCCTAATTAGCAAGAATTTTACTTTACGCCTCTAAAATATCACCTAAAATATTTCTTAACCACAATAAATTAACATGACGGATAATGTTACTAAATTGTGTTTGTTTTTCAACAGTTATAGTAGTGTTTTCAAGTCGCCAAACATTAAGCATCGCGCATGATTTATGGGTGCGCGTGAAGTCCTTAAATGCATATGTGTTAAAGTAAAATCAATATTTCTTCATTTAAAAAACCATGACCTACCCAGGAGCCAAATAAATTATTTGTTGTTTTTAAATTACGTCGGGGGATTAACCTTCACTTAAGATCACAGTGCATGGACGTAAATAAATCATGTCGTGTTTTTATAAAGTTTTGAAATCAAAATATATTTTCTCTAGAGAACATGCAAAAGGCTTTGAGAAAAGTATTAGATAAAAGATCTATTTATTATGACCGTTATTAACAACTGTCCTGGTTTCTGGTTGGTTAAGAGTAAAACTACTTCCACTGACATTTGGAAAAACAAAATCGTGCATATGTAAATTTCCCCCCTAAATTTCCTAAAAACGGAAAATTCATCTTCTTGGTTCTAATTCCTTTTTTATTGCTGGGTATAACCGCTCCAAACTCAGTGTACCGGTGAGAAATAGTTTGGTTATGTTTCCTCGTAATTTATAATATTTACTTTATACCACTGACGAAGCTATCAGTATAACAGTGATCGTTAACTGAAATACTAAAGTCTTTCCAGTAGATTACAGTATAGCCCGGATTGAACCAGCTAAGCAGCTATCCATCCAGCCCAAAATATATCAGGATTCTTTTCAGCACAGAATCGACATTCTGCGCCCCCCAACACGGGCTATTAAACGCCATAGCAGGCGGAAGTTGGCACTTGTTAACGCTGACTCGATATAATGTTATCTGCATTTCGGATCACAATCAAGATTTAATCGCCACGACACACGGGGTGTACATACATATGCTTTAGGCATTACAAGACCATTTATAGATCAACACAGTCATATCATCCCGATGCATGTATACTGCCTGTTCTTAACATTAGCTGCCTCAAAGTGATCTGATATTACGCAGAGCTCCCAATACTGACAAACTATAATATCCTAACTGATGTTGTACAGGATACGTGTCATGAGCATTCCAGCACAGTTCGATCATACCAACTCTATAGAGGCGGTAAATAATCTTGGAGTAAGCCGCTCTATTAGTACTATTCACTATTAACTCCTTACAGCTAAGTCGAACCACAACTGCTTGTCTACTTGATTCAACATCGGAAACACGACAGTATTTATAAGCAGTCTAAGTGATGATTTATTAAAAGCAATGCGACTAAAAAAATCGTTTTAGTTCAAAGAAGCGTTTTGTTGACATTTGCAATCGTTCATTATATGAATGACTTGTGTCTGTCGTGTTTAATTTCAAAGTCAATAGATCTCAACTCAAGTCAACTTGATCAGTTTAAATCCGTGCTTTGATTTGAATTGCCCGTCATTTGCATTAATCATGCATCGTCATGGGCGCGGCACAGTATTCTAATAGTGAGTGGCGCATTATAGGAATTTCTTAAACTCATCATCAATGACTCATATGATACAAACACACAAGGAAATGCAACATTGAATCGAGTTTCTTTGAGACGCTATATCCACACTCAAACGGCTGAACCAATAAGCGTAGTTCAACCATGAACTATAACGATAGATAAAACCATAGATAAGCTTCTCAACTTTTGCCGGCATTGAAACTGCATTAAAACTAAATAGTATAGCGTTAAAATTTCTGCTTTACTTTAATTATAGTTCTGCTTCAAAAAAGCACTTGATGTGTTGATTATGCATGATGTAAGCTATAGAAAAACATCTAAAACTTCGTCAGCATTCCATTTTTTTTTCATTCCAGAATGCATTATTGTTTTTTCAATGTATTTAGCACACAAAAAGTTCCCTTGTCTCACCATAAATCGTACCATAACAGTGATACTTCAAGAATGAATAGCAACCTTGAATCAGTGGTACTCCAGAAATAATTTATATATCTTTATCATCTTTTATAGGTGAAAGTTTTGTACGTGAGAAATTTATTGCTGAGTACGACCGAGGAGACGATAGAAGGCATATTCTCCCAATATGGTGAGGTGGAGAGGGTGAAGAAACTAAGGGATTATTGTTTTGTTCATTTCAAGACAAGGGAAGAAGCTAGGAAGGCGATTAACGGCATGAAAGGTAGGACTGGATTATCTTTTGTTACGCATGTGTGGGAAATTCATTCAATTGGTTATACAGAAAGGCTACAAATTAAGCGCTCTTACGGGTTTCACTTCAATTGACAAAGGAAAGAGGTGCCCTTTGACTGACCGATTTACCTTTGACCCACTAAAATCGTAGCGCGTAGCCGGCTTAAATGCTGGTATAACTGCCGTGTTTTACAAAGTACAGCACTATACAACTCCACTCTAGGAATCTTGATCTTTCCACCATCTTTTTTAAATAACTAACAAAGGTCAGAGCTTCCAAGTTCACGAATTTCGTGTAAGGATATATGTTCTTTTCCCAAGAAAATAAGCCTTTGGCAATGCCTTAGGTGACGGTCTGAGGTATCACGAGGCGCTGAGTTATTCGTATCTCCAAGGAAATCTGCCTGCAATTTATTTCATTCTTCGGTTTATTTAAAAAATCGGTTGTAATTGCCAGTATCCAGTAATTCAAAATGATACAGCTACATGTATAAAGCATGATTCTCCTCCATGCAAACTCTGTTCGTTTCACATACGAATTTAGCAGTAGGGTAACACTTTTATGTTGGACATTTCAAAGAAGACTTATTGTTTGGGGTTGTTCAGTTCGAATCGATCCTGCCGCCAAAGAAAAATTTGCACGAACGATATTTTCCTAGAACATGCGGAAACGAACACCTTTTCTCTTCAGTGTTACAGTAACACTAAGTGGAAAACTGATGATAACAAGATATTTCGATGAATTCTTTAAGGTCATTGTTTATAATTCAAGCTGTGTTTTCAAGGCCTCCCGCTAGAGGAGCATGTTGTCCTTGTTTGAAAAGGGGTCGGGAACAGATAAGGTTGCGCCGATCAACCGAACCGTAAAAATTCCTCAGCGAATTATACGCAGCTGGTGTCTGATTTTCTTAAAGGCAAAATGTCAGAGTGTGTAAATCATATTTTTTACACAAATTGTTGCTATGTCTGTATCTTGCTGTGAACGACTGCAATGACATGGCTTATAGATTACGACCAATAACCGCTGTTAAGGAAACCCAGCAATTAACTTGTCACTGACACTCCACTCCTGCTCCGAGGTACATTTATTTCTTATTGATTGTGAATATATAGAAAAAAACTCGAGCAAAAGTCTTGTATGTATGATGATCTTAGCAGTTCCAACTCTTCAGCATTCACCATCTCCTATATTCGCAAACCAACTGAATTAACACTAGGTGTAAGTACTTACTAGCATAAAGTATATAGGAAAAGTTTTCAAAAAAGTGGATATCGTTTCACGATTCGAGATCATGGACGTAAACTAGGCGTAAACTGCGCAGTTATTTTCATCGAAACATCATATAACATTAGATGAAGATTGTGATTGACAAAACTAATTGAAATTATCTATTAGCAGACATTTCCTTATTCCCTTTTTACGAAAATTTAAACATCTCAAAATCATCCATCTTTCGAGCAACCAGTCCTAGGAGTCTCCTATAGGGGGCCTTTCTGGAGTGTTTTTTAGATTAGAAACACCGTATAGCAATCAAGTTGTATAGCTATCCAGCAGTTAATCAAAACAAACTCGTATTAGGATTAAGAGTATTTATCTTCGAGATCTTACAACACTTTTGAAATTACCGTCAAATCAGGATGAATCGCATCCCGCGTGTATATAGAATTTACCCTTTCAGATATTTTCTGAGAATAGAAACGGAATATATATAACCTTGCAACGGACATCCAGCAAAGTTCACATATATTGACCGAGAATTTGTTAAAGGGAGGTCAGAGGTCTGTGAAGGAACTCGAGTCTCAAAACCATACGATATATCAGTTGAGCAGGCATGTTTTCGCAAGAACGAACCAGCATGTAATGGTGATAAATTTACCATACAAAGATGCACAAGCAATTTCCTGTTTATACAGGATAGCAAAACTCAGACTAACGCAAGCAACGACTTTATCAAAACAACGTAACAATGTCCGATGGTTGACTCAGCTCCCGGGAGGAATAATTGTGTTGACGTTAGCAAGGCTGTCTGTAAATAAAACTGCAAATTGCCGTCACGACCCAGCGTGAAAGGCAAAATTTACATCAAGATTTCTGTTTATGAACTGTCGGAGACCATTCCGTAATACAAACACCCAACGTTTATCTTAATGCTTGCGAAAATGTTTTCCGGTCTGGCAAGAAAAGAGGAAACAATTTGTTTGGAAGTTGTCCTGCAGTGAAAAATGTGTTGGGTTTTAGCGCGTGCTCTGAGCTTATGTTAATGAATGCCAGCCTTTACTTTCTTGTTTTTATACGGGACCCACTTATAAGAATGACTTGACTCTTATACACTCAGACTATAGGAGAGCGCGAAGTGACTGAATATTTATTAAGTTAATAGTTATATTCCGAATACGTCTGAATAATAAAAAAAATTAGTATTGCTTAAACATATTATTTAAAAAGAGAGGAAAACTGTCTAATTGATAGAGCTATATATGCACGTACAAAGTAAACTTAGTATAGACGTGTTTCAGGACTACCTTTAAACAGCAGGAAATACGATTAATACGGTATAAACGATAGTGTCCTTGCTATCCAGCATGGAATGGAGTCTATCGAGGAAATTTCAAGGTGTTTCTCTACCAAAATGGATCACGCGAAGCAAATATTTTGTATTGATCTTTTTGAACTTGATGACCTCGAGTTCGACAGAAAAATGTTCAAACATTCCTCTTTTGATAGAAACCTGGAACAGGAACGGGCATGAAACAAATTCAAAATAAAAATAATCCTTTTATGGTCCTATAGCGGATGGCAGTTAACCTTGACACTTGATGTCGACCTCTTCTTTAAGTTATGACGACTTTACGAGTTTTTTCCGTGGCTAACGGAAAGCAGATGAAAGGAAAGTCGAGAATCAAGCAGGGTTTCTAGGAAACGATGAACATAAGCTGGATTATAGTTATTCCGTCAAAGTTGCCAGCAGTGCATGATCAGCCGGAATTTTCCAAGATAATATTTCCTACATGTTTTGCAGAATTTGCTGTTGTACCACTTTGGTTACAAATTGTTTAGAAAGTTGAACGCGAAATCCTTAATCCAGGCCATTAGAAATTTTATTTTATCTGTTCCAAATAATTATCTACTTTAGTAATAGAATAAGGTTCATGGATCTAGCTAAATGAACTTGGATTTAGATCATTCGCGATTGTAACTTTAGCGGATTAATTTGGCATGTAATGAAAATATCGGTAGGAATGTGTCCATTTTGTTGAATTTCAAATATTCCGTAATAACCTCAGTCCAAATCCTCTTAAAAATAATCCCTTTTGCATTTTGAGATATTTACAGGAACATACGTCAAAGTTTCGCAACTTGATGCGTACAAAAAATACATCTTTGATTTATTTAGTCTTGTTCCCATGGGTCAAATGTTGAAACTTGCATATATCAGCACCTAGATCAAGTATCTTCGCATTAAGCGGGCTATTAAACCAGATCAATGTATAATGTATTAACGTGCCTCTAATTCTATCTGCCAAGCTTTATTTGATATCAGCCAAGTTATATTTAATAAGCCATTTCGCAGGTGCCTTCGAAAGCGCACATTATGAATGTGGTTATTGATTTTTAAGTCCAATTATTGTATCAATCACATTAATTAAATCTAATTAAAGCGAGCTTTAACGATTCGACATGTGCAAAATTTCACACTCAACTAAAAATATTCGAAGTTTCGTAACGAAATTCTTCAATCCTTTATCTTCCAACGTCAACATACGTTTTTTATTGGCGCTGTGGCTCGTGATGAGGACTTTTGTATGAACGAGCCTAAAGCCCTTCGCTGACATTAACAAAGAAGAACAGGACAAAACCCATCTCATAAGAACTTAATCTATTAATTTAGTTTCACCCTACCGTTTACAAGTGGATTAGAGTGCGACCACTTAAAATTCCGTATGATTAGAAGATAAAAATACAATGCGGGCGTGCTGTAGTCACGAGAGTCGAGTGATAGCCTTAAACGAACATAAATGAATTAAACTGTATCGTTGAACTCTCGTAAAACGTTTCGTCTGGAAGACAAAATCTTAGACTAAGCTAGCGTGGCTTTCTTTTAGCACATGTTTAACCGAATACGGTATTTTCAAATGACTTCACTGACTGTAATAATCCAGAGTATAAACTCAATTAACGGTCTACATTATATTTCCCGCGACTGTTGACAAGTTCTCGAACGAACTTTGAACTAAACTCATTGCGCACTTCTAAATATCTTATTGTTACTGGTGAAGAAATGAAATGGCATATGGTAGCCGCATTTGAAACTTCTTGAGCGCACCATCATTCCGGCGCTGTTACAAGAGCGAGGCCAGACGATATTGTTTTCTGGATAACTCTAAAAGCTCGGAATGTCTTCTGTTTCACATTCCACAGAACACCCACGTTCCTGGACCGAGTCTTCTAGTATGTATCCACGAAATTATAATCAGATGGCAGCCCAATGCACGAGACTACCCAAGGTCTTCAAATTAGAGTCTGACAAGTGACAACAGCGCATTACAGGCCAGAAATCAGGCGGAAGACGCAGATACCCCGAGCACTGTGACGCACATCACGGCAACCCCAGATGAGAAAACGCATGTATCAGTATGTGATATCCTTTAGAACGTTCATCTTGCATTTTCAGGTCAACAGATTGAAAACAGCGATGTGGAGGTGACTCTGGCTAAACCCGTGGATAAAGAACAGCGCCAGCAACGGGCTATGAGTAAAGCAATTATGGCAGCAGGTTCATACAATTACCCAAACCCTCCTGATTACGTCATACCATACAATGGTCCTTCATACCCCTACACTGTCAATCAACCTCTGTACCCGTTCCCCACGCCGATGTCCAGGTAACTTTTGTTTATTAAACCATGTCTGGATTTTATTGATAACCCAGGATAGCTCTTGCAGTTTTAAATTTAATCATCAATTAAGATTACAATCAGAAACCTAATCTAAATGAAACTTCCCCCCCCCTGTTCTTCTAGTCCACAGCTGATCAAGCCGCGTGGTCGTGGAAGGACTGCAGCTGGAAGTCGTGCAGCTGGGGGTAGGAATTACTTGTTTCCATGCTACCACCCTGGCGCGCGGCCGTTCTATGTTCCATCGTACGAGGACTACACGAAGAAGAGGACGCCCGAGGTAGCGAATCTTAATATCTTGTCACTGATTTGTCGACTACAGTCACTACACCATATAGTAGCCCGAGTTTCATTGTCGAGATTTGACTTCAACTCTTGGACGAGAGATATACAGACCAAAATAAACTAGCGAGAAAGTTGATCTTACATTGTACATACATCATCAAAACGTGTTTTCAAAGAATTATGTTTCTCTTCTAGGACCATCTCTATGACCTTCTACCGGGAATGGAGTTGACACCAACCAACCCAATCACACTAAAGCCACAAAAATCCTCCACCCAGGTACAGTATAGCTCTTTTGTAAATAGCTCTCTTCACACGTCATTATTCCTCTGGATTTCCGAGGGGTGGGGTGGGAGACTTCGAAATTTGTTCACTTCTAAGTTGCAGCCTTGGTCAGGAAAAAAGGGTGATCAAATCGGGTTTCGTGAGTACTCAGCATATGAAGATCCCACAGACTGACGCATCACACTTTAGGAAAGAGATTTTAATTGTGCGATAATATTTCTTCCAATCTCTCAGGTGTTGGAAGATTTTTGCCTCAAGAACAACTGGGGCAATCCTGTGTACACACTCCACAGTACCCAAGCGCCAAGCACAGATATGCAATTATTCGTATACAAAGTTAACATACCAGCATTGCCAACGTTATATCAACCACAGAAACTGTGTCGAAGTGTGGAGGAAGCCAAGGCATACGCAGCTGAATACGTATTACAACAAATTGGAATTCCTTTTGACGGTACGTAGTACGGTAGTTCCGTAATGACCGGTAGGGAAGCTAAAGCTGAGAAGCAGAATAAAGCTAAAGAAGCCATGTTGAAATTGCAGGTCCAGAGTCTCCTGTATCTAGTGTTGCCGCGGTGGTTACAACTGCCTCACCTTACGTCACGAGACCAGTTGTACCAGGTAAACACATTTATCATAATGCATTACCTCGCCAGAACTTTAGCTCGTCTAACAACACAGCTGACACGCACGCAACCTGATCTGTTGTTGTTTATTTCTATCTAGTGACATACGCAGTGACCAACGGCCGGGCAGGAGAGTCCGCAGGCTACCCTGGATTCATGCCCCTGGCAAGCCCCACCTCACCAGTCCTAACAAAGGTGCCTGGGGCGTGGCCAGGCGGGGTGCCGCCCTCACCAGATCAGAACGGCGTCTACGGTGGTTTTGAAGGCTACGGAGATCCACAATACTCCGCTGGAATGTACGCGCAATATTGAGCAGGTCAGATCACGCATGCGTAGATGGCCAGGTAGATCACACCTTTACATATTTCACTTTATATATACCAGCATGTACTCCGTTATTTTCATATTTACTGTAAGCAAGTACCAAACGCAATCGGCCGAGATGTTTGCAGGTCTCAGTTAGACGTTTATTTGTCAGTCGATAGTGATTAAACCATGACAGTCCAGTTCGTCATTTCAAACAAGTCTCAGAATGAAAATTCTTGTCGGATCATGTCATACATCATTTTCTTTCATATCCATTCAAATAAAATATACTTCATCCTGGACTGCCCATTATTCGCTGACCGATATCGTCTGGTGGGGCCCGCGCGCTATGAATTTTCACCTCACAACAATTCTCGCCAAAAAAATATGCGCACGCAGAGTTGTAAAAAACACCGTTTAGGAATATTTATGAACTAATACCCGCAGGAGCGAGGTATAGTTTTGTGTCCGTGTTCCAATCAATTTTCAATCTTTGCAATAATATATCAATCAAATTACTGCCGAATTTCCCAAGTACAACAACACTGACTCACTGACACCCAGGAATAAAGCCTTAAACCACAAAAGGCAATTTTTACTTTTAAATGGATAAAACTGGTCCATATAACGTAATGTTTGGTAACCAAGCTCAGAGTAATCATGCTCAGAGTAATCATGCATCTGAACACGTGTCAAACTTTTTTCGGAAATGATACAATTCACCCATAGTGCTTTGGGAAATTCCGCACCAGACTTTGATTAGTGTTAATTTGCCCTGAAAACGTTTTCCGCGAGGGATTAATTTACTGCATTTTAAATGCTGTGATGATAGGATTCAATAGTCCAGAATAATGCATATTATATACTCATAATTAAATACGGCTTCTCTATAAGCCACGTAGTTTAAGCAATGTTTTGATTTAGTTAGTACATAGCACCGTCTCGAAGGGTGTCGTAAGGTAGCATGATTGTTTTACGGGTCTGGCCTGCTCAATGTGGCTGGACCTGTGTTTGTAAAGTTGTCATGCTATTTCCGCACCTATATTCCAACTGCTATATTTCAAACTTAAAGAGCGGTGCTGTATAAAAACCATTTGATTGCTCGTTAATTTTTGTCGTTAATTTTGTACCCGTTTGTCCTGTATAAAGTCATGTATACTATATTTAGGGAGCTGTATTTGTACGTTTTGTTACACGTGATAATATATTTAGCTACTTATTTACTATTATTTGTATATATATATAACCCAGATGTTTATTTTCCAGTATTGTAGCATATAAACTTTGACATAGAAGGGACATTGATTCGTATACGATAGCAAGTCTTTTATCATTCGAAGTTTAAGAGCTGCCTTAATTACACTACCTAACTAAAACTAAGAACCTCTAATATTCGATCATAATTAACATAAAATGCGATGTTGCAGCCACAATTTCCCTTCTACAATTTACTAACATGATCTTCCCTCATGGGCCGGGCCCGGAAAGATCGCCATCAATTTTGATTCTCATCAAAAGCAATCAAATATGTATATAGAGCCTTGGATGATGAAAAATGATCGCACATTTTTTAAGACTATGTGCACACGGTATTATTTTCGAGCGTTTTCACATTCGTTTTCACGCCAAAACGGTTTCAAACACCGTCAATTTTCAATAGAAGTTGAAGCTAATTTAACATATTGAGCATATTTTCCCCTGGACCGTGTGGACAGGGCGTCCAAGCGATAAACTAAATAAAAAGGTTTTTGAAAACGCTCGAAAACTACGCTCGTGTGCGCCTAAATTTGTACATTTCTTCACACTAATCTGTTATATAGCCAAACACAAAAAATTCAAGGTGCCAACTCGCAGTCAACTGCGTTCTAGTACCTTACAAGCACTCCTCCTCAACGATACATTGTTTTCAATAAAAAGCGATTCAATTTTCATCATTTGAGGCTTTACCAGCAATTTAGCCAAAGCCTGATTATGGTGAAGTATGTACCATCATTGATTAATCAATCTTTAGAATATCCTTGCTGGCTGGCTAGCTGGATGTAAGCTCAGGTTATTTATTAGAGTGTACAGTCAACGGAATGGATAGATCTATTTTTATGAACGAATTTAGAAATGCCATCATTGGGAATGTAAAATTGAAAACTATAATCTAAGTTATTGTTGCACTGTGACTCAATAAATCGAATGGGGAAAAATTATAGGAAGGTTTACATACCATGATTTGGCAGGAATAAGGATCATCTGATTTTTATTTGCGATGAAAAGGTCAAAGAACATCATTTGGTCATCTAGATAAACAATGCAGATCACAGTATGTAAACATACCTGACATCAATTTTATGGGGGTTTTTTCCAAGTGAATGGCTTAGAGCTAGGGAAAGCTATGGTACCATAGTTCTATCTTACAGGAATCTTTGCCATTTCACTCAAAGTTTAAAGAGTTTTTTGTTTATTTTGTTTCCTAAACCAACACCAATAGTCCAGGTATATTTTCACCTGTTTGTTTCTATGTAGTTTCAAAACATATATTTTTGTAGTTTTACTAGTCTCTTTAGAAGTCATTTTTAACACTTAGCTAAAATACTTTCTTATATATTTCTGGTTTGTTGACACATTCTAGTGTCAAGGAGAGGGGTGGTAACAGATGTTCATGAAGGCTAATGAATTAGAAGGGAGAAAAACATACAACATTTGAACTTCAATTCAATGCCAAATTCCATGCCTTCTTCATTGCCTTCAGGACAGATCCAACAGACATCTGTTATCAATGAAATGTATTATTGTTTTTCTGAATGTTTTTAATAAATTTATTTCCTCTGGAAGCAAACAAATTTGTCCTTTTTGTTGTCTCATTTCAAGTGGTAAATTGGGAAATTCTAAGTGTTGGAGAAGGTTGATTTCCTAGAGTTTGGCCACATACCTGGGGTTATACATTCAAGAGTGAATATCACTCCTGTCAAGTGTGAGCATAAGAAGTAAGGACAGGGCAGCATAAGAATATGAATAAGAATTAATAACAAAGTATTCTTGTGCTAAATTATGGCACAGTTAACTGCGATTAAGGTTATGTGCAAGTGAGGCATGCAAACAGTGCAAGCACGTACATAGCGCTCAATGCATATTAACGGAGGATCTAATGTGACTGTACATTCCCATATTACTTGTGCTGCCCACGTCCTCACCGTTTATAATTTTATCGCTGTTGAAAGCCACGCTTCAGGGTGCTGCCGGCTAGCTAGTGGCTACCATCTTCCCGAAGTAAACGTGGATTTTACAAAGCAGTCCAAATATGTCATTCTTGCTCAATATGTTTTCGCTTTCAAACGCTTGAAATTTTAGAACCCCTCACCGCCGAAGAGACAAAATATGCGGCTACACAGCACATGATTAAAAATTACTTAATTTACCTGAAATTTAACCATAAACGAAAGTTTCGCTATGATATACTAAGTATAAAATATTCCCGGCTGCCGTCGAAATTCGCTGCCAATCTGCCATGTGCTTTGGGATATTCACAAACTACAACATCGAATAAAACGAAATAAAAAACATGACATGCCTTTATAACAACTATATCTTCATAAAATAAAGATATTTGTACTATATGTTGATAAAAAGTTAAAAAGAATGATTCTTTACCTTTAAACTAACGGTTAATTTTGGGCTTTAAATTTTTAAAAGTAATTTGCTACACCTGGAAAGGCCAATGGGGAGCGCTCACTGACCTATGTGATTCAGGGTCACTGGATGCTCCTTATTAGTGAAAACAACCTACTGCTATGTTAGAGAGGATTAAGTAAAGAGAATCTTTTTATATGATAAAGAGCACATTGGATTATAACAGAGAAAAACCCTTGATAACACGGAGCCGGACCACGTGTTTACAAGAGGAATATCTTTGCATTAGAAAAGCCCCTCCTTTCAAGCCTTGCGTGTATTAAATTAGTCACCTACGAGAAAAAAAATTCAATTTCACAAAGCAGTTTCATAAAAATGTTTATTAGTTGTTAACGTGAAAAACTATTAACGTTCATTCACTGTGCTTAACAAGACTAATTCCTATAAATACAAGTAAATCAGTGGGCAGTTATATTAGACACTAAGTGAATCTAATCAGGCAATCTAAGTGGAAAGGTAATATACTGTATTCTTGAAAACTGTAACTTGTGATAGAATTAATAGTAAATAGCATGAGAAATTAGCATTGCAGCAAATACGAAGTATGCCTGGCCCCTGAATGAAAGCCTTTCAGAGTTGGCTTTGGTAGGTGGGGGAGCTGTAGTGGGAGCGGGGCCGCCACGGGCGTAGGGCTTTGTACAGTTCTGTTGTTTGCTTTCGGTGAGACAGAGGGCATGATCCATAACATGGAAGATGTAGTTCTGTTCCACCACGCCATGGAAGAGATGAGCAGAAGGTCCTGTTGCATAGATTCCTTAAAGAATAACAGAGGAATTGCAATGAGCACAGAGGAATTCCTTTCATGGAAAACTGATATCATTCCATACAAGATCTATGTTGATATATATCAGCTTGATCGTTAATCGATGAAGTAATTTAGTGGATCTGTAGGATGATAATAATTTAGTGGAGTTATTCAAACTGTAGATTGAGTATTGGACTTTCTTCATTTCATGAACGTTACAAAATATGCAACTTAACACCCCTCCCTCCTCTCCCCCAGGAGTCGAACCTACACCCTTGCCATTCCGTAAATTTGCGGAGAAGGCGTAAATTCACGCTGGGTGATAATGTTCGACGGTGTGCTCGAAATCTAGCCCTTTTCTAGACGCAATTCCGTTGGTTATAACCGACGTACCAACGTCTTCGCCTGCATGGTCCTCGCTACGGAAATAAATCAACGCCTGCTGGAGGAAATCGTCTGCGGTATAATCGACTCCGGTAAGATTCGCTCGGGACTGATTCTCAAACTTCAGTCCCCCAGGACCGTTAGCATAGGAGAGAGTCAGACCAGGTTTGCCATCCGGGAATTTTGTATCCTGAAAACCCAGGATGGGGTTGCCACGTTTCACTTTCTTCCCATAAAGGACAAATGAATGGGAATGGTCGGCCGTTACGATCACCAGAGTTTCATCTACAATATAAGAAAGAAAGTAAGGATTTCGAAGTCCTCCTGGATGGGTCTTTTTGCAGTCTAAATAAGCTACAGATGATACTAACTTTCATTGGTTACTTCCCTCGCTCTCTTCACAGTTTCGGCAAAAGCAGAGGCCTCGGAAAGGGATATCTTGGCCGCTCCCTCATGATGTGCCCAGTCGATTTCCCCACCTGAAAATGAATTCAAAATCAAGTCATTGAAAAAGAAACTACGAGGAACTAGTCTTCACCCTAGTCTACTGATTCCACTTATTACCTTCGACAAGAAGAAAGAAGCCTTTCGGGTTCTTCTTTAAAATTTCTAAAGCTTTTTCAACCATCTCTATCATCGTTGGTTCAAACGTTTTTTTCTTCTTCTTACGAAGAATGTCGTAAGTCATGCCACTTGATGAAAACAGTCCTGTAAGGGGAAAAAAGTTGAGTTGAGTTTTGGCCCTCATTACTACGAGTACTTTTGAGGAAATATCAACCAATCAAATGCGATTTCTCTTGCAGATTAATCTTGGAATCAGGTTTATATTTTGGTATAAAAGCAAATGAATTTCAGATTTCCTACGACGATGTTAATTTAGTAAGGTTATAATAATAAGAGTAAGAACCCAATATAAACACTTACCAAGCAAATGATCGACTTTGCTTGCATCAACATTATTTAGTTGGGTTCTATTAGTCACGTATGCAGAGTTGTTATATTTCTTCACCCATTCCTTTGTTAAATCTTTTCCATCCCGGCGGCATTTTGAATCGTTCAACAGTTGACCATCGGGTGCTACTGTTCCGCAGCTGTAGAAGCTTCTCCAACCACCTCCGAGAACGACGTCGATACCATCGCCGTAGGGATAGTTTATCAATTGTGTGCCTGGGAGAAGAGTAAAGGCAGAGTTGCAAAAAAGCTGCGGGTACGCGGGTACCACCCGGAGGAAGGTTTGCTTTGAATGAGGTTTGTGAGGAAGGTTCAAAGTTGAACACTCTAATTGATCACATGCATGTACCAAAAATTCAAATATTTCTTTACGCTCGTTGCCACTTGACTCGGTGGCGCTACGTCATTTTCTGAGTAAACTCTGAGTCATGGCCCTGTTACATGGTGCAATTTTTCTTACAACTTGCAATGCAATTCTTCTTTTGCGAGATGTAAACTTGTCAACTACCAAACTTCTGTCTTTATTACACTCCAAGGCGTTTCTCACACTTACATTTTGAAGACCCTTCACTCAAATTTGTATCTCTTAAAAGTAGAATTGCATTGCAAGTTGAAAGAAAAATTGCACCGTGTAACATGGCCTTAAAGAAAGGACTTCAGACGATGTTATCATCAAATCAATACACTACAGCATTGACGAAATTCGCATGCACATTTCAACCACCATCACACATTCTTGCCATAACTCACGCTATATGGATAAAACATTCGTACAGTCTTTCTTAGTTTTAGAGCCATTAGGAAATTGGAAAGGGGGGCGACCCCAACCTTTCCCATTTCTCTTGGCCCACACCTTCTTCAACCTCCACCTTGTCTTCATGATAGACACGTGCTCTACTCACTTATATCGACACAGTCCCCCTGTGCCGCTTGATCATTCTCCCAATTTCGCGACGCCGAGTGACTGTAGAAGGCTGCGGGTGTCGCATGCGTCACGCGTGTGTCCGTGATTAAACCAGTACTCATCCCTGCCTTTTCCGCATAGGTTAAGATTGACAAGACCTCGTTTCCAGCAGCGCTGGCGCAGTCCTCGAATACCGCTTTTTCGTTAAGACCCAGAATACCTAAAAACATTTAAGGAAACACACTTTTTTAATCAATTCCGGGCCTACGATAAGCTGTTCATACGAAGAATGTTAGGATACCGGGTCTTTTCTTGCACAAATTTGTGATTTTATCCAACTTTTACCGCTGTGAGAAGACTGAATACAACTTAGACACGCCGCAAATATATATTATACCTTCATCTGTTTTTACACCACAAGCAAAAGCTGTTGCAGTCCCGGCTGAATCAGGAATCTGAGCATCGACGTTATAGGTTTTTGATATTGCTGTATAAGGAAATTCTTCCCAACTCAAAACATTCTCTTCACCAGATATTCCTCGACTCTGACCATCAAATATTCTCGCCGCAGTCGTCGTACTGATTCCCATGCCGTCACCTGGATGATGGAAAGTATTTTTAAGCCGAACAATTACCGCGGCGGAAAAGGGGCTAAATTGCACTCATTTTGCAACTGAATTTTGCAGGAACCGCACGACATTGGTATGAAAATATCCAGTGTATTAAAATTAATGCTGGCGTACCTAAGAAAAAAATTACATTCTTCGCTGGGTTTGTGTTTGGTTTAACGCCTAAATTCTTCTTGATTAAATTATTTCCATCTTTGAACCACTGATTCTTCACCTGATCGTCGTAAATCTTGTCAGCGGGAACGCATGTAAAAACTACAATAGAAGTTATAGAAATTATTGAGCGTAGAGGTCGACACAGACCGCACACGATGCAGGAACGCGGCGGGAACGCGTTCAACATAGAAATCCTTGTCATGGAATCGTTATGTAGACATGTACCTCATGTCTTCACACAATGAATGTAGATAGAGTGCTTGGTATCGTTCAATCATTCAGAATTATTCGACCCTGATACATTAGTTATCTGCATTGAGCTTCTGTGTAGGAAACAAAGCCAAAGGCAGGAGGTTCGGCACATGCAGCGCTATTTTGAAGATTTAATTGTTGCTAAACGATGCTAATTATCTAGGAACGTTTATTTTGCACACAACAGCATTCCTAGATGACAGCGCCGTGGATGACAGATAAGGTGCTTTCTTGACAGGAATTGAGGTGCATATTCTATATATAGACAAAAAACCAACTGGAAAAACATCACTTCTTGACAGGCTAGGTGCATATTCTATAGACAAAAAGACCAACTCCAAAAAGATCTCTTCTGGATAAGCAATGTACATATATTGACGTAAATGGAAATTTGCTGTCAATATTGAAGACTTGAAAGAGACATCGCACGATTTTACAATTTACACCTGTATGATATTACATGCACGATGCTACGATCTATTTCTTTCAGCTGGTATACTGAATTATACTCTGAAAACAAACTTTCATTAACATATATTTAATAAGTTGTTAGTCAATCCAGGGGAAGTACTTCATTCTGATTCATGTTTGACTTTGCCGAAAAATGCTTTGTGGCCGGGACAGATACCGCGGTATTCAGCGTATCTCGATATGTAAACTAGCATTGTTCTCTTCAATGCTCAACTCTCTTCTCCTCGTTAGTTTTCGAAAAGTGCTAATAATCGGGCTCAATAGATATCAAAGCAATGATATAACATGTTGTTTTACATCTGTTATCGACTGTCAGCCGCTGATAGGTTCAAATAGGAAAGCCACGCATCTAGACTATATAATCTATACAGTCGATATTATAGAAGAACCATCGACATCGAAGAAGCTCGATCTCGTTGTATCATGTAATCCGAGAAAGAATATAAGAATATAATTGAGAATCATACTGCAGTATGATAAATCCCGAAGCCGGGATGTTCTTCACTACACCAATACCATCGATGGCCGATTGGCGCCTTATAGTTTTGAAAGCTTTTTTGAAAAAAATACTCATTGTAAAGCACTTCTATAAATGCACTGCTAAGCCTAGAGAGTGACTCGAAATAGCGACTTAATAGATATGATCATTTGTTTTTGAAAGATGCGTAAGGTATACGTGATACCGATCGATGGTGCCTTTGCCTGGATGCTTAAGCGTGGTGGCTCTTTGTATTAATAGGCCATTATTCATATGAAATTTGAAACTGCGGTGCTGCAGTGAAAATGCAGTGATAACTAGCTATGCAGGCTTAGCAAGAATGAATGCAATACTTCGGCTTAGCATAACAATCGTCTTCTTAACACGTTCAATAAACATATACACTTCATGCAATAAATGATATTTGTTCTGGATATTTCTATAAAGCAATTTGTCGGGCTGTGTAACGATGTATCCCCCAATCATAATTATAACCATTATCACCTATATAGTACGTTTTTGTTTTCCGTACGGGCGTCGCTATAAACTGCTAGCCGCGGCTTAAAGGACAAATAAGATGGCCGCACAAAACGACGGCGAATCAAGTCCGGAATTTAAAAAGTTAAATAAACTTACATCCCGCTACAGCTACAATATAGAACAACCAAAGTTCCATCCCTTTCTTCGATATAAAACTTCCTTCAGCTTTCTAGATCCGATCTTGATGGCTTGTCTTTTACCTAGAAGTAACGGCTTATAGTGGAGGTTTCGCTTAATCAGTGCACCGTTTTTTTACCAGCAGGTCGGCGGATTTAGTGATTATTCTATAAGGATCGCTATTAGTACTGATTGGTTGATGCTTATAGTTTGTCGTAGTATACGCAAATATTTGAAAGTTTTAGACTCATCTGCATTAAAAAGTATATTAACTACGATAATAAATGCACGGTTTTGCAGTAAACACAGCCTCCTCGGTCTGCGCTGCATGAATTTGGGAAATCAATAAAGGTCTTCCGCCAGCCAATGAATGAATATACGTCAAAACATACTTTGTCGCTAAGGTGAGTAATTAAGAACACGGATATCTTTTTTTTACTAGAAATACATGCATGCATGTAAACATGGCTCCGTGATGCAAATATATCTCCAACAGTGAAAGGTTATAAGGGAAATGCATGCAGTTCCTTTTCCGAATGTGACACAACTATTTCAGTTTTTGTTCAAACTACTCACTATACTCACTGCCAAAAGTAGTAAAAGCATTTGTACTCGTAAATATTGAATAATATGCACAAATTTATTTTCGTTATCGATCATAACGCTATATTTCCGGGTATGTTTTCTGGAAAACACATAATCCAGAGCTTTTGTAGCCATGCACCATTCATGCAACTCTGATCTATCCAAATATCGTATCCGACTTCATTGGGTAAAAAAATTTTGAAAAAGCTACAAAATTGAAGGATGATGAATCCAGAATGATGAATCCGAAATAACATGATCTAGAGTCAGATAACCTATTGCGCAATTGCAGCCTAACCATGCATTGAATTGCATTATACATTGTCACTCAAATCTTTGTTACTCAAAAGATTATAAATCTTTTCAGTTGCGTCAAGACGTTGACCTAACCCGGCTTTGTTTTTAGTAGGTATATTTGGCATATTCAGTGTGATTATCAGACCTGCCTCACCCCATTGCCTTTTCTTTTGCGTCCAGACCACGCAAGTTGCACGAGGAAGGCATGCGGCATTCACGCGCTATTTAATTAAAAAACCTTATTACTGATTATGACGTCGTAAACGTTTCTAGCGTTGAGAACTCACGTAAGGTAACTTTCGGAAGAAATTTTCTAGTCGGTTTTAGTTCGTGGAATTTGGTTCGTGGAATATGGAAAACGAGGTATATAAAATACGCTTTGTTGTAGGTTAACGCATAGAGATTATAAAGATTAGGGACCACCACACGCCCACGCCACTCGTCATTTACGTTCCCGTTTTCAATCCTATCGTTCGCCGCTTCCGGTCCTCAATAGTGAACTTAAGCAAGTGACGTTTTTAACAACAGAAACGGCATGAGTAACGTCAAAAGACTGGGTCAAGGATTGTGATTGGTGGAAAACAAAAACTTTACTTCCGGTCAACGTATACGTGTTGTCAAAAACGTCACTTGCTTAAGTTCACTAATGCCTATTGACAACTTCCTACGACAAGCCAAGCCAAAGCAGGAAATTACATGCAGGAAAACCGTACTATTTATCAATTATCTGCCCGAGTAAAACGATACAAATAATGTTTCTTGGATTTGATACAAATCATTCTCATACCCCTTTTACACCCAAAAAACTAACTGTGAACTGTGAAATAACCCCCGTGGATTTTGTACCTTCTCAGGTAGAACTCGGTGAAATTCCGAACATTGCCGTTCAACAGATACCAGATGTTCCTTCTTCCACCATCACGAAGCGCGCTTGGCCTACAGAACTTGTTGTTTCATTAGCATCTTCCTTGTTATGTTTCCCACCCCTTGGTATTTTAAACTTCATAAAATCTCGACAGGTACCGGTAACTTGTGAAAACCTTAATAAATGCAAAAATATATATAGTATGTAACTGCTAGCTATATCTTTGATATATATATGTTATTTACCAGATTGGTATAGGTCCGTATAGGGAAATATTTCCCAAGGTCTCAAAAACAGCCCGAGGCCGAAGGCCGAGGGACGTTTTTGTTCGGCCTCGGGCTGTTATTTTTTAGACCGAGGGAAATATTTTCCTGTACGGACCGACTAAACTGGTAAATAATAGATTTAATTTTTTCTTGCGGTTCGAATTCATAGCGTTGGCTCTGTGCTTTTAAATCTCGCGCGGTTCGTACGGCCTCATACGGACCGCTCACGTAGCCGATCAGATTGCAGGAAACGCTAAAATTTGAATTCGGACTGCAAGAAAAGAAAAAAGAATGTTTTATCAGTCATACTTTCTCACTAGCTAGAGGGCCACCGTTGAAACTGGGAGTAAGGTGATTTTTCACCGACACAAGTGCGCTAACACTACGATATATAGGCCGAAGTCAGACAGGTTCCTTTAGTTTGAATCAAAATTTTATTCACTCGCTATTTACTCCTAATCCCCAGTTCCCTGGCTTTCTAGCACCGCAGGAAATCGCCGTCCCAGGATGCAGATCGAATCCTGTCACGTGACAGTCGGCGAATCGCACTGATCTCGTGTTTCATGGGAGTGACTTTTATTGCCATGGTAACCATTGTCATGATGTTGCAGTTCCTGTATTTCCAAGCCCAGGCAAAAGAAATGAAATCCACATGGAGACGAGAATACTTCATAACCACACTAAACCTCACTGCTGGCTTGAGTGTGTTTCATTGAAATGACAGAAAATGTTCATTTCCGGGGGGAGAGGTTATTAGATCGTGAATATTAAAGTCATTTCCAACTGATCTGACTCTGAATCTGGATAGTAGTATTTTGTGCGTTTTAAAATATTGAGTTATATTATAAAAGAAATAGAAAACATTTTTCGTGTGTTTCTACACAGTTATAGAGACACTTGTGGGAGTTTGGAAGAACTCGAAATAACGTGACACTGATTATTTCTCGTTCTCCCAAACTCCCACGCGTGTTTCTATAACTCTATAACACGGAAAATGTTTTCTATTTCTTAAATGTTATTTATTTAATATTTATTTACCGAAACGCTTCCCGCCCACATCTCTGGCAACAGTATTGAATGCGTGTCAATGTGTAAATAAATTGCTATAGAAACTGACTTATATCTGTGTACATTTGGCAACTACACGGCAATAAACGCTCAAGTTGTTCCCGGTTGATGAAAACAGGCCTCAACAATGTTGCGCTGCACCCCATGAACAATTTTGTCAACCATGTTGTTCCACCTTGTTACGCTTAACAATATTGCACAACAAATCAATAGGATTAACTTGTGTTGTTCTCTTGCAAATTTGGAAGAGATTAGTTTGCCCGGCGAAGTCGAAGAGATCGTTTCGATTTCGTACAAAATTTGCTGTAATTTACACACCGGAATATCTCAGAATTCATCATAGCTAGATTTAAGTTTTTTTTATCACTATACACATATCATCACAATAGTATAGTGGAGAGTGGGAGCATGATAAAAATGGTCCTAACTGGAAATTGGTAATATAAAGATGGGGGAATTGCAGGTGGTCTTGCAGGTGGAGGTGGTCTACAGGACCTCTTGCAGAAAATTTTCGGTATTTTTGAGTCGCTATGAATTCATTTCCAGCATTTCGGGCCTTTGGGGGACAATTACTTATAAATCCATCTCGACAGAGTGAGGTCGGTTGAGAAAATACCATTTATCACTGCACATTTCTCATGTTATCACTGCACGTTCTACTTTTATCACGGCAAAAATTTGTTATCACTGCACACTAAAATTAGGTATGGAATTCATGATTATAACACTTACTGCAAAAATGAAAGATCCCCCAAATTCCCCCAAATTAAAATTGTAACCAAAAATAGCGAAATATAAACTCGAAATATAGTATTGCGACTCGACAGGTGAATTCAGTGAACTGTAATAAATAATAATAATGTAATAATAAATAATAATAATGTAATAATAGAAAAATAGAAAACATTTTCCGTGTTTCTATACAGTTATAGAAACACGCGTGGGAGTTTGGGAGAACGAGAAATAATCAGTGGGAAAACGAGCCCGTAGGGCGAGTTATTTCGCTATTTCGAGTTCTCCCAAACTACCACAGTTATAGTTATAGCCTTATATAATATTACGTGTTTCTATAACTGTATAGAAACACGGAATAGGTTTTCTATTTCTTAAATGTTATTTATTAGTTATTACAGTTCACTGGAGTATAATTTTACATGAAATGACGTAATGCTTATAATGCAAGTCGTTGATTGGCTAGAAGTGAACAGTGAACAGGACGATAGCAATATATCTGCTAGTATCGCATTAAATTTCATAATCGTTCGTTTATTAGGAACACGTACACAATTCCCAATTGATTCATTCAGGCTTCTAAATACTTGTCAGTCCAAAAGCTGACGAATAACTTTATTTTTGATCAAAGCAGAAGGGAAACTTTCAAACAGATTTTATGTAAACCTAAATATGTGATTCCGAAATTTGTTTTTCTATTTTCTTATCTTCTATATTGTTTCTCTACAAATTGAAGCTCTATTTTGTCGCTCCAGTTATATAGTTGAGAACTACCGTCCAGCTGTCCCCAGGCCCAGGCTCTAAAAGGTTGCGCACGTGAAAACGTACGTAGAGATTAAATTTGACTCAAAAATCTGCATATCCATGCACACGTAGCTATTATCCGGATTCGTTGCGTATTCTGGCGTCCACATGCACGAATCCGCGAAAACGTTACGACTACGGCTGGAATTATTTCACAGCATGTTGCTAATTACATATTACCGATAATGCCTGGGCCCGAATGCAGTTTCTAGTTGCTGGACACGTCTTGCGGAGGTAAGATATCGTGCGCGGTATTTTTTTCTGAAAGTTAACATGTCGAATCCCGTAGAAAGTTATTAAAAGTAAAAAAAAAACGAGTAAGCCCTTTTGTTGCTGATTTTTTCAGGTGTTTCCAGTTTTAACCGTTACCCTGCATTTCTATCACTGCATGGCTTTGCAATAGGCTGTTCTAGTGTCGCACGATTTCTTTATTATAGTCAGCCTGATAGTTTAGTTCATGATTTTCAATTCAATAAAGGCAATAATTCACGAAATGGTTTGGATCAATTTTCAATGTGCGTCTTGTGTGGGTTGATATAAAGTTTCAGCGATAACGTCCTCGTTTCCAATTAGTAGCGGTTACAGACGTCCACACGTATCCGTACTCGTCACGTTTTCAAAAGCTTCCACTCTGGAGAGCGTTTTCAAAAGTTTGCGGATGTCTCAACAATGTTGTTTTGCACCCCACGGACCTGGGTTTCATCATGTTACAGCTAAAGGCAGGAAAGGCATTGTTGCATGAGTAAAACTGTAAAAGTTCACCCAAGGTTGGCTCTAATCTTGTTCGTTTCAATCAACCGGCCGGTTGTGGGCGAGTTTTTCGTATTGGTTACTTTTGTTTTATTATCTTTGATGATTGTATATTCCCGCACTTGCACTATATACATCACGCAACCACTCACACATGTCGTAGTACTAATATTAGCAAATTACAAATACGTGATAATTCATTGAAAACTGCATCCCCGGTAACAATAACAACAACAATAACGATAACATTAAAAATTCACGATGTCGGCTTGGCTTTGAAGTGTATACTTCAATTACCTAAGACAATTTTTCAGCTTTTTCCAATACGCGAAAAGTTTAGAAATGTTGATAAAAATCTCATTGAACATAACATCCTATATGCATCATGCTGTTAGAATTGAGAAAAAGCCAAACGTAAATGATAACAACTGCAGCCTCTTAATTTTATACCGTGAACGGAAATGTATGCGAAGGCGTTTAGTATTTATTAAAATGGTGCTATAAAGGGATCTTTCCGCCACTGGTCCAATATTCTGAATGATAACTCGTAAGACATATCCTGTCGATTTTTAAATCCGCTTTGTCATTAAGCAAAGTTCTTCTTGTAGTGTATATTATGCACAGGCATAACAACCTTTGACAGGCAAAATACTAATGGCAACGTAGACAAATAACGGAAATTTTCGTCGAAATACAGACTAAGTCAACTCGCAAACAACAAGAAGAGAGGAGCGCCTGAATAAAAGCTTGTGTGTCGTAGTCTTGATGTTTATTAGAGAAATCAGGTAACGTCCTATTATTGTGAACGTTAAAGACGCTTATAGTTATCTGTCACTAGGCTGTGTAGCACTAAACTAACCGGCCTTATTTTAGACCGTTACTGGCGTTAGTATATGTATATTTAATCACAGCGACACACTGGGCTAAATTGCAGAATACCCGTCCACTAGTCATGGAAATGATGTAGCCACTATTTCACTGGATACGCGGATACGCAGTCGAAAATTGTAAAGCAATGAATAGGTCAGCGGTAATTCCATAGATTACGTAATATAAATGTAGGTATTACTTTAAGTGGATACGCGGATACGTTGGATACGCAGTCGGTTAATATTTTAAAGTTCATAGACCTTAAATCAAAGACGCTTCGTCGAGCATGCCGATTCCCGAGTAAAACTTAGACAATGTCAACAGATAAACAAACTCTGAATGATCATATATAAATTGGGAGTAAACGTCTTTACTTCTATTACAAACGCAAATTACTCATTTATATGTTTCGTCTATTGATGTTAAAGTTTCATGCAGTTCAGCCGCACGACTGCCATATGATACTCAAATAAACTTTATTTTAATAACTTAATTAATATTATGAAACTTATCAGACGCTCTCTGGCTGTAAACATTTATTTATTACAAATTGAACCTATACGGCTCATCACAAGACAATAACAACATTATAGTTTCTAACACCATTCTTACTTCATTCGCATCGCTATATTACAGTATGGATAATTCTTAAAAATTTCCATATATATTTTTTACATCTATAAGG